ATCATATACAAAATAAAATTTCATATTTCAAGCTTCAATAACCTTTTATATAAAATTGTGAAAAATCTGAAAAGCTGTACCTGAGCTAATAACTATATAAAGAATCTGTTTTTAAAATTTCATTCAATTTCATCGATTAACTAAAAAGTTATAAAAATGAAAAATGACTGTTTTTGGTGTGAAAGGGTGGTCCATAAGTAGGGTAGTTGACTTAAAACTACTTCAAGTTCTATATTTAAATAATTTAATCTTACCTCAGGCTGACATAAACTAAAACCGATCAATACTGAGTACTAATAATTAATAATAATACAATCTAAACTAAACTCAAATACCCAATCACTCCCATCCCTTGTGGGAGGGAATATAGAGATCCTTATAATAAACCAATCTGAGATCATTCAGATAACTAACCATTCATATCCCATCCCATCTATCTATCTATCTATCTATCTATCTATCTAGTCAAGACTAGATAGATATACTCGAGTATAATTAGAGATAGACTTTCATGAGATTTACATACTACCCAATCAATTGAAGCTATTATTGATTATTAGAAAACGAAATAATGTTCTCTGCGACCGTATTTAGCTAAAGTGTCAAGTACTCGTAGATAATAAGAACACTAATGTAATCTCCATTTACTCAACAAACAACAAACACCTAACTCCATATTTTGTCTAGTTTTATCTACTATTCACACTCTCCACCATTTCCTCTTCCCACCCCCCTCCTTCTCCTCCCCAAACACGAAAAAACCCTACTCAACCATCGACTTCCCAATCTCACTCTTCCACCCCTTAGCCCTCTCAAACCCATTTGAATGAGTCTGAAAATCCATCATTGCCTGATAAACTTCTTCTTCCGAATTTAGGACAAAAGGACCATATTGGACTACTTTTTGATCGAGAGGTAGACCTGCTACTAGAACTTTTGGGTTTGTTAGTTTATACTTTTTTTTGGTTGTGGTTGGTGTACATAAAACAATGAAGGATGAAAAAAATTAAATGTTGGAGAGAAGGGGAGTTCGGGTGAGATTTAGAGTTGTGATGGATACGCTCAGTGATGATACTAATCATCCTGAGATCTATGACGACCAGTTTAGACAACATTATATACTTGCATAGCCACCAAGTCATCGAGGTAGTGTCTCCTCCCTCTAATCTCTCCAGCATCGAAGCACTTGCACCGAAAATCTACCCCACTAAACATGTGACCCCTTTCTTGCATATAATGTCCCGCACCACTTGCAAAATCTGCAAAGAAGTTTCGACAAAAGCTTTTACTTTAGTACTTATTCTCAACAACGGGCCTATTATCATCAAACAGCAATAACCCGCATCCGTGGTTTAGTGGTAAAATCGTTGCTTGCCAATATCTCAGTAATGCGAGATTTATAACTTGCAATGGCCCCGGATTCGATTTCCGGCGGATGCATTTTTTTCTTTTGCTGTTTGAATGATATCGAAATAATGAATTGTTGTTTTGTTGTGTGATTTTGAAGTTGTGGTGGGTGGGTTGGTTGTGAGGTGAAAGGGCTTTAGACGATGAGGTTGACAGGCTGAGCTAGTCTGCTCCTGCCAACGTTGCAACGTTGATGGCTAATATTCTTGGGGAAAACTTTGAAGCAAGCGAGACGGGAACCAATCAAATAAATGAGTTGACTTACTGAAATGACCATTCTCCTTAGCAGACTTTTCTACTTCTGCATTCACCAAATCTCCCTCCTGGCGGAATACCACATTGTGGAACTGTGCAATCTTGGTCTTTTCTTCTCCACTTCCAAACATAGTCTCCCCACTCAAAGTATAAGCAAAGGCATTCCACCCCGCAGGTAACGATTGTTCAATCTTTCCACCCGGTTTGATCTCTACATCGAAAATCCAGACCGGGGTATAAGCAAGTTCCTGTACACTATCGACACCATGACTTTTCCCCGAGATGATCTTTACATGTACTTTTCCATCATCAATATGGATTTGTGGAATTTCTTTGGCTCGTAAATCGCGATATCGTGGTTCGCATTTCTTAAGTTTTTCGGGTAAGTCTACCCAGAGCTGCATTCCAATATTTGCGCTTCCGTCGAGATTTTGTCGTGGCATTTCCGCGTGCATTATACCTTTTCCCGCGGTCATGAATTGAAGATCGCCTGCTTCGATAGTACCTGCATTTCCTGCGAAATCTTCGTGGTCGATGGCGCCTTTGAGGAGGTATGTTATTCTGATTGGGGGCTACGTTAGCTGTGGTTCGATCTTTAGGATATGAGATGGTCAACTTACGTTTCTTGTCCTCTATGTGGATGATCTGGAAAACCGGCTCCGGGCTTGATGTTAAAATGATCAAGCATGAGAAATGGTGAGAAGTTCTTTAATTGAGGTGTACCAATTGAACGACGAACTTTTGCTCCTGCACCTTCGGCTTGTTCGCGTGCCAAAAAGGCTTTTTGAATTCCTCTTGATGTTGTCATATTTACTGCTTTTGAAGTAGTGAAATATGCGGTAGATGGGAATTTAGGAAACTGTTTAAGTGAAGGTATCGTAGTTGTGTTGTTGGTAAATAAGTTGGTTATGATTTCGATGCGTTCGATAATTGGATCTCTGAATATAATTGAGAATACTGCAATAGTAATTGAAAAAATTAGAAGCAACTTCATCTGGATACTATGAGAGTTTTATAGGATATCTGAAAGCGAATGAGAAACCAAAAGAATGTTCTTTGAGGGAATACTGAAGTTAAGGATTTGAAGGAGATTTCACTCCTGGAGCTATCATCATTGTTGATAATGATGATCAACTGCTTATCGGATTGCTTATGAGTTGCTGATTAAACTCCCTCGGCTTTGTGAACCAAATGGCGAGGCTGACTAAATAAAGCGATCGTTTGTAATCACTCTTTTTAAATCTACCAAGTTTTTCATCCTCTTAAACAAGAACATATCAGGTGATGATCCAACCAACCAAGTCTGTAACTCTATAAAAGCATCAAGGTCATTCTTCTCCAACGCAATCTGAACATCAGGGTCATGCCATCCATACGTTCTTTTGACTTCGTGAAGCGACTCCCCAGCCATCTTGCAACTATCAAAATCGATCAACACCGGCGTGCCATCTTCTTCGAATATGATATTTGAAGGTGTAACATCGTTATGAACAATACCAAGTGAATGAAGATGTTTGATGCCAGCCAGAACACCATCCAAACACATCTTGATCGAGTCGTCCACAGACACACGACCACTGGAAAGAAATTCGGTTTTGTTCAAGTGGCCCGGATTGACCTTTTGAAGTAGAGTTGATGTGTACTGCTTGAAACAAATGCCCGATACTCGTCCGTTGGTGCTGAGGCAACCACGATATGAAGAAATGTTTCGATGGGGATGGAGTTTTAGAAGTTCGCATATCTCAACCTCACGAAGGATATGTTGCTCGAGGCTAGGATTGGTGTAAGCCCAAGGATTTGGTGTTTTGATGTAGTAGTCGTCTGGGGAGAGTAATACTGTCCAGGTTGGCTTCAACTGAGGGCCTCGATCCTTCGTTTGCAGTAGCTCCATATCATAAATCTTTGAGATATCTGGCTCGCGGCTGAGGCATTTTGCAAAGTATAGTTGATCGTCTTTTCGTACGATAAGTTGCACATAGCTGAATTGGTATGCACCTCCATCAGACTTTTTGAAGCTTTCGGCTGATGTGATAATCTCCATGATATTAGGATTCGATGGATTGTAAAGGTACATGAGAATTGGTGAGAGTTTTGGGAGGTAGGTCTATCCCTTTCATTCTCTGGAGATAGATCTTTTCGAAGCTTTCTTGAAGCCTTCGGAATATTGGGTTGACAGAGACAAAATGTATGTCGAAAATCAACGGTATAGGTTCGATTGGTTTGTTACTCATAGATATAACCCATAATGCCACAGTTCAGCCACAATATTGATTTCCCTAAAATTTCAGTATCAATCTCTTTTTGGAGTATGGCAAAGTGATAGAATGTGGATATACAAAAGATCAAGATCTTGTTCACAACAAACCCTCCTTAGCAATCTCCTTGACAACAACCAAAAAAGCAGAGAAACCCCCGACTCTCATTGTTTTTCTCCGAGAGTCATATTCATCGATTTGCAACCACATAGATAGAGATTCATCATCCAATTGAGAAATCTAACACCAATATTAATCATAAACTCAGTCAGATGGAGAAGGTTGCGCTTATACTTCAAAGGTTACTCGATTGATCTATACAATAGTATGAATATGAATTCATAGATAGTTTCTGTAGGGCTAGCTGCAGGTACCTAGTATGTTCCTCTAATTCTTTGTAGGTTTGTACTTCACAGAGTCTAGACAAGTGGATGATCCACAATCGAAAGTCTTTCGCGGGTTTTACCATTGTCTACTGAAGACCAGGAGCAATAGTTGATAAGGTTGGCTTGGGCATTTGCTGCGATGGATCATCTGTAAAACGTGAGCTTAGCACAGTCTATAAAATACATGTACTTTACTCGTATATTTGATATACATACATTCAAGGAATGATCGATATAACGGAGAAAAGGGTGTACTAGTAGAAAGAGATGTAATGATGTAGTGTAACAACTTCCCCTCCTTTTTCTATTATTCTCACAATCAGAACCCTACCAGAATGATCGCTGCATACAGCGCACAGCATTCTGACAACTATGGAAAAAAAAGGCATACTTAGTACTAGTGATTATATTGAATAAATTAGTAGTTGACGCGAATAATGGAGTAGCTAATGTTAGCGGCGGGAGATTGGAATGAATCGAGAAAAAGATTTAGCATGATGATAGGAAGTTGTGTATAAAGTGGTATTGAATAAGTCTATGTGCAAGATAAAGAGAAGTTATATGCCTGCCGACGCATTTGTTCCTATTGAGAAACGGTTCCATTTAATTCCCCTAGGAAACGCTTCGCTTGCAAAACTTACCGATCATGTTATCATAGTTTTCATTCTTTCGAGGGAAGCGTCATAATACACTATGCTTCAACAGCGGTTTGCTTGACATCGGCTGAAGCCACAATACCCAGCGCACCCGTCGAAACAACTCTCGCTCTACCAGCTCCATGTACAAGCACAGCGTCCAACCAGACCCTTTCTTTGCCCTCTCCGAATTTCTCCACTACCCAACCCCTGTCGGGGCCCCATCCCACAATCTTTCCATGCCTCTTCACTAACTCTTCCAATCCACTCATCATAGCTCCGCTTCTCATCACACCAGGATAAGCATCGAACTCAATAGTTTCAATTCCTTTCACATCCCTTAATATTCCTTCTAGGAGTTCCTGGCAAAAGCCCTCGTAAAATCCATCACTTACTCTAAAACCCTTAAATATAGCATCGGAGGGGTCGCATTCCACGTATACTTTTAAGGCGCGAACGGATGTACAATCTAGAAGTCCAAGTAAGGGTGTTATAACCCAACCTCTTGGAGGATTATTCCAGCCCGGACCTAGACGAAGTTCAAGTGTAACTATTGAGTTGCGGTAATGGGATGGCAGACGCGCGAGTAAGGGTTTCTTTGTCTTGAAATACCGACCTGGATGAATGGGGAAGATGCGGAAGGTATAAGTAGCGAAGAAATGGTGCGATGATTCGTTGTATAGTTGTCTATTGACAGTAAATAGGGAGAGTGGTTTGTAGCGATGGATGATGGAGAAAGTTGTGGGGTCGAGGTCGATAACTGGAGGGAGGGGGGCGAATATGAGAGTGTATATCTTGGTACGGAGTTCGGAAGGAAGAGAAAGGAATGGAAATGATTGTTTTGTCTTTCGAGAGGTGGTAGGGGTGATGTCTTCAGCATCGGATGGATATGCTGAAGGGTAGGCGGATGAGTTCGGGGTTGTGGAACCAGATACGGGCGTGCTTGCTATTGCGCGACGATGATTCCGTAAAGTTAAAGTATGGTGGTGTCTCATAGTTGGAGCCATGGCTGTTATTGTGATTTCAGTAGAGGAATTACAACCAAATCGTGAGTTTCTTCTCGATACGCTCGCTGTAGAGAGTTGTAGATAGTAGGTGATTGTTGAGCTGCAGATGAACAGATGGAAGAGATAATGTGCTAGGAGAAACTGAGTCAGGTCACGGATAAGAAAGGTGAATTGCGTGGAATCTCAGTAGATTGAATAATAGATGATATTTATGATTTCAATTATACACAAGAAAGACCTCTCTCTCTATCAAGGATTTTACCGAGTAAAGTAGAGAGGGGGAATAAGATTTGCCAGAATATGGAAAGTAGTATTGGGATTGGAATATGGAATGTTATGACACCACGGGACTGAAGTTGTAATTGAGTAGCCGGTACAAGTGAAAACACAAGCACCGGCTTAACATCCAATTCTTGAAAGTGTCATAATCGTTCTCCTCAGTTTGTTCAACTCTTCGTCCACGGTTATTGTAGGCTGCGATGAGTATAAATTTCTGTCCACTGAGTGTCAACTTTAAGGAAAAAAGAAAAAAGGAAATCAGAATTCAAAAATCAATTGATGGTTTTATGGTGGGGGATTGACGCCAAGTGAGACTAGTATTATTTAGTATTAGCGTTAATATTTCCCGCATCATGGTAGAAAATTGTATTTTGTGCTTGGGAATGGAAGGAATCCGGTTATTGTTTATTTGAGAGGCCAAAGAAAGAGAAACTTTGAATCTCTCTCTTTGCTAATTAACTTCAAGAGTTATTCAATGCGATTTCGCATATAATACCTTTTTCATTGGAGTAAGCTGTGTATATTGATATTTCCCCTTCATAATGTTGTCTAGAGCTATTGGAAGGTCGTTGCATACGCCAGCATTAAGAAATAGCTTTACGAATATCCGGATAGCCTCATCAACATCATGGACTCGATCAATGGCGAGTCATCGCCGCCAACCCAAGAAACCTACAGATTATAATAGACCCCCAGGTACGCCAAAACCATCAGGTCCAGGTGGGGCACAAGCTGCGTTTACTTCATCCAAGCCAGGACCGAGTAGTGATAAATCTGGCAAGCCGGACTTTTCCAAGGCTCAAGATGAAGTGAGCAAGGGCGCTTCTCCGCAGAGAAATACTGTACCAAAGTCAAATGGGGGAGGCGCTGGCGTACCAAACCCAGATGCAAGGAAAGGCGAAAGCCCAGAGTTCTCTGGCAAACAAGATGAATTCGAGACAGTCGCTGTCGACCCCGCACAAGCAGAAATCGAAAACCAACCTTTACCAGATCTCACCCAAGGCATTCCTTCGACTTTGGATTTCGAATTGGCCAATAGAAAGTCGAAGAATTCGCCATTAAATCTTACAGAAGCAGCGGATCCTGAAGAAGCTCCTAGTGCTGGGGGTAAGGGCCGCGGGGAATTACCAGCATCTGCGTATATCTCTTCGACGGAAAGGAAGAGAAATCAGATGGCCAACTACATGTATCTTGCCTTTGTCGTATTCGCGATCACTGGTACGGTATACTTGGGTAGGAATTGGGATACCGAAGAAGAAGAAAAACTGCACTCGGCAACTGCTCCATCTGGCTGGTCACTGACTGGCATGTGGAATCGTGTAAGAGCTCGAACCGGTGATCAACTAGGCCACTACACTGAGCCAGCTTTCACAAAGTTGTTGCCCGACCCAGATCCTATGTTTGAGCGACCTTATACATTAGTTTTGAGTATGGAGGATCTTTTAATTCATAGTGAGTGGACTAGAGAACATGGTTGGCGATTGGCGAAAAGACCTGGTGTGGATTATTTCTTGAGATATTTAAGTCAATATTATGAGTTGGTCATATTTACTACTCAACCATCCGCTCTGGCAGAGCCAGTCATCCGAAAATTCGATCCTTATCATATCATTACATGGCCACTTTTCAGAGAGGCAACACTTTATGAGAATGGACAATATATCAAGGTAGAAAACTTAGTACCCCTTTTGTCCTCGACTTCACTGACCCAATGTAGGACCTTTCATACCTCAACCGCGACCTCTCAAAAGTTATATTAGTCGATACCAAAGCACACCACGCCAAGAAACAACCAGAAAACGCAATACTTCTCAAACCTTGGGAGGGCAACGTCCAAGACAAAGAACTCGTCTCTTTAATCCCATTCCTCGAATACATTCCTACAATGCAATACGGCGATGTGCGCAAAGCCATCAAATCATTTGAAGGCACACATATCCCCACCGAATTTGCCAAACGTGAAGCAACAGCAAGAAAGAAGTTCCAAGACCAACTCGCGGAAGAACGAAAGAAACATAGTAAGAGAGGCGGCGGCGTTGGTTTGCTAGGAAGTGCATTGGGCATCAAGCCGGGTGGAATGATGATGACAGATCCCAATGAGCAAAGTCTGGCAGAGGCGCTTTCTCAAGGAAAGATGTTGCAAGATTTAGCGAGAGAAAGAGGGCAGAAGAATTACGAGGCCTTTGATAAAGAAATCAGGGAAAATGGTGCAAAATGGTTGAAGGAAGAGGCGGCTATGGAGGAAATGGCTAAGGAGGAGGGATTAAAGGCTATGAAGAGTGGAATGTCAGGTGGTTGGTTCGGAGGTTCTTCGTCGTAATAGTTGGTGGATTGGATGGGTCGAGCGGACTAGTGTATAAAATAACCTGTATCATGAATGAGGCGTCAATGGAATTGAAGAATGGACGGCCTCGAATCTCACCTCTGCAAATATGGCTGAGTTTGGATTGTGGTAATTGTGGTATATCGGTTATGCGGTGCATGGATGGGTCTTGCGATATTGCATTGACGGTCACCGTTTGAATGTTATTACTATGATGCATTTTAGATAGCGTACGTAGTGTGGATGCTTGATATACATGTATGCATGTATGCAAGATTATTATAAATGTTGATTTGATAACTGATTAGATCTGCTGAAGAAATATATCATGTTCAAAAACCACTACTCTTTATGTTCATCTCGATCTCCGTTCCTATCTTCATTTTCATCTTCATCTATATCTTCATCTTCATCTTCACAATACATCTGGAGTAAATATACATACTTAAAATCAGCTTGAGAGAGAGTGTGTTGTGCATTTTTGGAAAAGAGTATGGGTATGGGTATGGGTATGGGTGTGGGGACTGGAATGGTTTGTTGGGATATTGGGGATATTGAGGATATTGTGTTAGGAGGGATGGGAGCTGGTAGGGGCGGTTAGGTGAGTAGATGAGTAGATGGGTAGATGAGTAGATGGTTAAATGGTTAGATGTTTAGATGTGCAGATACTTTGGAAAAAGTTAAAGAACGGTTGTTGTGATTGATTTGAGTGATTGATGAATGGATGGAAGTAAGTAGGGTGTAGTATTGTGGTGATTTTGCTGTTTTGGTATATAGTGATGTAGAGGTCTGGAGATATACTCGAGTAGTGGCATAATAATAGCTATTAAAAGAAAAAGAGAAAGTAAATTACATTTTTAATACCCGTACTTATATCTGATTAGTCAATGAGGACAATGAGAAGAAAAGGGGTCTGAAACTCTGAGAGGCTGCTTAGCGAGAGAACAAAGATGCATTGCTTCACTTAGCAATTGAAATGGGTGTATACTGTTCACGGAAACAATATCATCTACGGTAGCTTAAATATTGAATAAAACATTATTATCGATATACGTATCTGTATCTATCAGGATCTCGAAGCACCGGGAGATGACGGGATGATCCGCAGTTACGTTAGAATCCAGTTTCAGGGGGTTTACAGATGGTTTGATATAATAATACTCGTACTGGTATACATGTATATTTTTAGGTCGGTCAGTATTACAAACAAAATTAATTATCGAAGCAGGAAAGAAAGAAAGAAAGATACCTTCTCGGCGATGATATTGGTGTGTTCTGCCGAATAAGAGCTTCAGATATCCCTTGGGATCGAGGTAGGCTTTAATTCAACTGAATAGAACTCCAATACGCCCCCCGCCCAACTTCAAACGTATAGAAACGCCTACCATGTAAAATATGATTAAGACTCGAGAAGCTTTGAAATATAATTCCCTAGGCTACCTCAATAACCTTCACTCTGAATATTCCGAAATGCGAAGATCTGTTTGTCCGAATTTATCCTGAAGAAGTACCCAATCACGCTCAAAGCTTAGCAATTAATACGCTGTACTGCCAGTAAGGGTAAGGGAACCGATACACATGTGCTATCTTCGACTAAATATAAATCTATGTTAGCGAAACCGATCTTTACAACATCTGTCGGATTTTGACGGGGAAAACATATCATCACTCACTTTATAATAACTCTTACACCCCGCATCAGCAGGGGGAAGTATTGCCTGGCCCGGTCTTAGAGATAAAGTCCAGTCCCTGACACGTTCCTCTTTCGCCATAACAGCATAGCGGAAAGTACCCATGTTTTTATTATCAGAGAAATCGACCCAAGTTAGCTTTTTTCTTTAAGTGCGTCGACGATAGTAAATTTAACTTCATCTGTCCCACCTGCAACTGCGACTTTGACCATGAATGTCGGTATGGACAGTGTGCTACTGGCGCTGACAGATTATAGACAATTTAATAGATAATTCAAACCTAAAAAAGATTGATAGCGAATTTATCTACAAACTAGACTCATACACGTCATTCATTTGCATAAGCTCGACGATGCAGCGAAATGGGTAGTTCTCGGATCCCGAGAATAATATCTAGGGTTTCGGATCGAATTCCGATCTTACGTCGCTTGTTCGCAGTGTATTGCGAATCAGAACTTAGAATCACTACCCCTATTTACTGTTCGCCAGCTATACGATACTTACTTTCAAACAGCTCTCTAGAGATGTGTTTTGCGATCGTATCCACCCGCGCACTCCTATTCATGACTACCATGAATAAAACATCAACTTTGTCTAGACGGAATATAACATCCAAAAACTCGGCCACGAGCATGGGGGCTTGATTCCCGAACCAATCAGCAATTTATTTACTTGAAGTCGGGTAGAGGATATCAAAAATAGCAAAGAAGACTTGCTGACTGATCTACCACCATCACCCTAAATCTCCACTAGAGACCGTCTGTCATCGCTAATTTCAGAGGGAAGGAATGACATGACATTTGCAGCAGCATCTGACTAACAGTTGGTAATTATGCGACTAAAATCCGCTGGCTCGTCTATGGAAACAGTATATAGAGCTCCTAGTCTGCTTTGAAGGCGAACTGTGATTTAATTAAGATTTGGGATAGGGAGTCATGATTGAAGACAACGGAGATATATCTAGGTATAAGCAATAATGTGTATTGGGGCCCACTGCGTTGGAAAATATCAAAAGCAATGCACCGAAAGCAGAATTAAAGTGGCAATGTGGAGGTATTGAGGAGTAAATTTTGGTAACTAACCCTTTATGATAAGCCACTACCTCATCAATATACAATTAGTAACTTACTCCTCGCCTATGAGATCCCGCCAATATTAGTAGCTGGAGTCGTGCAAAGCCCGTCAAGGCAGTCAGACACTACCCGCGTCACCATATGTAACCCCAAAATTCCGATGCACTATCCTCCAACATAATACTGAGCTGCTCTTCGGTGTGATAGTTACAAGCGGTTTCCGTTGAGATCTCTCAGATGAAGACCGCGTTCCAACTCATAAGGATAAGCCAAGAAATAATCAAGAACAATCCTCAAGTCTTTCAACGTAACATCCATGCTTCCTTGAAAAGCAAGACCGGCCGAAGTACGAAGAACCGTCATGCCTTCTATCTTTAACTCTCTGGTTCGTGGAATGGATTGCCCTTCCATAGAAAGAATAACCAAAGGTCCTTTCCAATCATGCGTCATCTTTCCACCCGTAATTGAACTTGCAGACTGCGTCATCTTCGATCCATCAGCTCCAAAGTTATCTCGCATGTAAACAGCAAGCGTATGATCGATGTTCTGTTCTCGCATAATTCTCTGAGGCTCGATGAGAAGTTGTTCGGGATCAAATCGATCGCTTGGGCCGTAAGTGAGAAATTCACTGACATTTGGCACATCGAACAGGCCTTCGATTTCGGTGAATTTGGTCTTGACAAAGTTTACCCATACTAATTTTGGGGATGTGCTATCAGGAGGAAATAGAATGCCAAGCTTGTGGGCGAGACTTGGACGTGGAGGGGTGGCGGTAAACTTTTTGCAGAGGGTTTTATGGAGAGGCCAATCTAGATTTTGACATGTGGGGGAACAGTAGGCAGCAGATCTGCAGCGTGCACAGTCTTTTGCGGGGAGATTGCAAATGGTGCAGGTTAAAGCAGATGGAGTTCGTGTACTACAGCTAACATCGGGATCTGTGGTAGACGCCATATCTTGAGATTCTGTGATGGGTGATGAAAGAAGAGCTCTGAAGATGTAATAGTAACAAGAAGACAAGAAGTAGAAAGGTAGGCGAAAGAGGGAAGAAAAAGGAAGTACTGTACTGGTAGTGAGTTCTATATCACTTCTTTTTGCTGGAAATTCGATGCAAACGAGAAGCAATCTCAATGAGATTTGACCAATAAACCAATCTTATCATAAGAAGGCAGGGGCCCCAGTAGTATATAATGGTACCGTCGGATTCCTAAATTGCCATAAATAGGAGATAAAAGCAAATCGATTGGCTGGGAATAATGGATTGAACCGCCGTTGAACTCAACCATTGTGAAGTTGAGGGGCAATCTTATATGTATTGATCACGTGATACCGCGATTTTAAAAGGCTAACTATATTGCATAAGGCATCCTCAATCAATCAATCAATCAATCAGTATAGTAAGTATTGAAATTCTCACCATGTTTAACTCTGTACCCTTTACTTTTCATCGCAGAGAGCTAATTACTTCAATGAATCGTCTGCAGTTTCCAGTTTGCAGATTCCAGTTCCTACTAATCCGCAAACCGCGATTTCATTAAGATACAATTCTCGAAAATGGTCGTCCTCGACAAGCTTCCAGGTCTGGAAGTAAACATTGAAGTAGATGGGGTGAAAGTTCAGGAATACAATGATGATGAGGAAGTAGAAGTCAAGCCAGGACGGGTCGGCGAACACCAAGCCTCGAGAACAGTATCCAAATACATCGAAGCCATCGATGGTGCTGAGTTCAGCATCAAATGCTTCCTACCAACCCAATTCAAGATGAACGCGCCAAACATCCAAGTAGATGTGGCTGTCGATAGCAATTATGCTCAGGGAAGATTAATACCACAATGTGAAGCAGGATCCTTTAAGGAGTTTCAAGGCCCCAGGATGTTTCATCCTTCGTCAGGAAATGCTGCAGGACGGTGGACTTTGCAGAAGTATAGGTTCTCTAAACTTGATATCTGTACGTTTTCTTAAACCCACAACTACTAGTTCTGAGAGCATTCTGCTGAAATTGCGAAGCAAATGAGGAAACTCGACTCTCGAGCTTAAACAAAGATAAGACCGAAGCCGAAAAAGTTGGTACAATTGAAATCAGTATCTGGAGAGTGTCCGAAACAATTCCAGTGGCAGCAGCAAGTGGAACAAGTTTTCGGCCCAAAAGTAGCTCCAATAGCTTCCATGAGAAGGCGCTCAAAGGTCAAGCTAAATCTCACAAAGTTTCGTAAGTCAAATAATTATCATTATGCACTCGTTATTTGACCTATTCTCTTAGGTACTCTGCAGGAATCCCCGTGGGTCCCCAAACTTACGCCACTGCCATAAAACTTGATGGTGAGGACTATCCTATAGCTATATATAGGTTTAAATATCGGTCCAAGGGTAAGACAACAAGGAACAGACTTGGGAGGCATCGCTAACATCGATATAGAAGCTCTCAAGCAGTTACTGATCATTGAGCGAACACCCGAACCGGAAGACAGCCCAACCCCAGATCCAGCACCAGATGTTGATCTCGAAGATCTGACGCCTGCTCAACGGGAGCGCGTCAGGGCCTTTCTACGTAATGAAGGGGTTAATGTAAGCAACTTATTGATATCGACTCCATACTCATGCTAATTTTTGTATAGGCGGGCGGTGCATCCGACACTCCTGAGAGAAAGATTAAGCGTGAGCGGAATGATGGAGAAGATTCAAACCAAGCACGACGAAAGAAGTCCAAAATCACGCAGGTCATTGATCTTACCGCGGATTCTGACGGAGATGAGTAGACGATGAGTTAGATGGGTCTGCGTTGGGGACATCTAGAGCCGCCAGAGATATTACTTCCATTTTGTTCGCGGCGTTCCGATATGGCCATTCACCAGCAAATCTTTTGTTTTGTTGATCAAATTTACCCTACTTATTTCTTGGACACAAGAAACTATTTATCGGGTGCAATGGCGCAACAAGGTAGTGGGAGTGAGGGGTAAATTATAGGCGTCATACTCTAAACTTGTGAGCTCTCCTACAATTATATCCGAGTCTTTTATTTCAATATCTCAAATTTCGGGTGCCAATATTCTAATAGAACGAATAGTCACCTTGTCTACACGTGGCATTACTAATAATCTTCAAAACCAAACACCAAACACATCTCTATCAAAGCTATTCACACAATCTATCAAGCGAAAGACCCCTTAATAGCTAGCTTGCATGCATGCATTGTCCGTCCGAAACTTACAGTAACGCAAAGTGAGTTCGAGAAAAGCCATCTTTACTCCGTTTATCATAAATCAAATTATAATGAGAGGTTAAATGAAGATATATAAAAGAAACTCAATATATACATACACTTGTTACTTCGTACTGGAACGATGTGCTGGTACTGGTATACTCGAGTATCAAGATACAGGAAATTTATCTTGATATTGGATATTCGGCAATCTATTTATATATGATTATCAAGCTACTCGATTAGTTGTATACTAGATGTGATTTTGATGGGTATGAATGGGTGGGTGAGTGGCTGAGTGGGTACTCGTGAAGACCTGCTCGGAAAGAAAAGGTGAGGGGTACTGTATATAGTCTGTATTACTGTAGATGGATTATAGATGCCGGGTTGTCTTGGTGCTATTACTATTGGATACACTCGAGTATTATGTTATGAGAGCATTCGGAATTTTGGAAAACTATCTATGAGTTACACTTGTAATGAAATATTAGTTGCGATGGATAGTTTTGGAGGGATGAGAAAATGCTTCGGCTATACTCGTGTTTGTACTCGTATTGTACCACATTGTGCTAGAGTAGGCCATGGCTGAATTGGTATAGGTATAGGTATGGGTATGAATGCGCATATCTGTGATATATTTGTGTTGCATGGCAGAGTGATGGCGGCTGTATCGCATAGGGTTTTTGATGCATGGGATGGGTGTATGATTTTCGGATGTGATGTCTAAGAAGATTACTAAACAATATGGTCGAAATTTCTTGGTCGTGTTTTCTTCATGATTGCTGTCATTTGAAGCTGATGATTTCGGAAAAGAGTGTATATTGTCTGAATGTTTGCTCGCCACTACCAGATATTTTTATATCCTTGCTACTTCACCTTCGCTATGTCACACGCCCCTGGCGGATTTGATAAATGGTCCTATTGCCGATAATTTCTTCTGTTTGAGGCTCGTTGATGCTTCTATGCTGCAAGCCGTTGAAACGCCACATCGTCCCGAAGTACTCGAGTAGTCCGAAAGCTTCAGCTCAATCCTCATCATCTCCTGTTAGATCAATCTCGACACGTTCGCTATTCTTTGATCGCTTGCGCGCTGTAAATCCACTATCAGCTTCCTCTCTTTCACGCTTGATCTTTTTCTCGGCATTGGATGGAGTGCCATTCCCCTAGTAAAGGTATGGTTAGCGGAGGCAGAAATAGACATGGATTGAACGCACCATCAAAGCTCCTAGGAACTCCTGAAGTTTGGCCTTCTGAGCTGCATTGAGATTCTCAATGTCGAAATCTCCCGAAGCTTCATTTGGAATGGGAGAAGGGGGGGGGAAGGGGACGGCTCTGGGGTTCTTTTGAGTATCAATAGGGATTGAAGGGATTCTGCAATATTAGCAACTGCGGCTTAGTGGAGTGTGTTGCTAACCTTTGGACCTGTACTTGAATCGATAAATCGCAATGGGACAGTCATCTCCATCTAGATGATTCAATCGCCAGGTTTTACTTGTTTTCACAATTTCAGGAGCTCCCAGTCTGGCGTAGAGCTTTTAGTTAGATGCTATCATCTAAGGTTCCGGCGGAACAAAATGACCACTCACGTAGTGCTATGAGACATGGCTTGGCCTTTCAGCGCCTTTTCATGCACGTGTGTCTCGCGATCGAGCTTTTCCCGAGATTTTGATTCATTCAATACCCGAAGCTTTTCACCTCTGCGATATAGCTTCACTATGATCTCCCCAACAACACTCAGCCGCTGTGCATCCTCTTTCACCGAGGCGAGCTTTGCGTCATCGACGCCTTGAAAAGATATTAGCGTAAACGCATCATCATTTCATACTGAAATGGCTTCTGACTTACTAGTAATTATGTTACTGAAAATGAATGGCTCCAAAAAGTTAGGTGCATTCTTTGGCTTTGTTAGGCGTCCTCTTATCCTCCGAGTCCTATTAAGATCATCAGTCTTTTTTGGACCAAAGAATAATGTCTAAAATCGATATCCGCCTATTCATTGGAGAGGAATATATCTTACCGCAGCTTCTTTTTCGAGCGGGAAATAACCTCGGAACCCATTTTTATACCATCTACGAGAGTTGCTCGAACAAATTCGGAGAGTCAAATTTGTATTCTGCACCCATCTCAATTTTGATGCTGAAACTTTTGTCGGTACACGACTCGACATATTTGGCGACTGTTCTGGAAGCTTGATGTGCTCCTACATCTCCAGGTACAGCCTCGAACTCATCGTCGTCGTACTCTTGAAGAGCTTCGTCGTCGACACACACAGTAACCTTAATTCCACTGACAGCTTCAAGGACAGCCATGGCTGAAAAGTGTGACTACCTGGAGAACGCGTTCCAATCAGTGGTGTCGTGATCTTGTCTCGTAACGTTGATATCTCAAAATATGGTAGCGCGTTAGAATGGAAGGGCAAACGCGTACCGGTGCGCACCTTTGTGGTATGGAAGGAAAGGTAAAAGAGGTCGTTCACAGAGAAAACTTTTTAATAGTCAAGTGAAAGTCAAGTACCGGTATTGGTTTCTTTCTAATACTTCGAATCAAAGTTTTGAGTGAATATGTTTGTGTGAATTTGGTGGTCTCGGAAGGAAATCGCGTGGTCACGTGCTTAATCTATATCGAAAGTCAATTACTCGAGTACTCGTAATTACAAACGAATATGGCACAACCTCTCTCTCACGATGCTTTCTGAATCCGCGTAACTCGTTATCTTGGAATCAAAGAGCCATTTTGGGTTTAAAGAATGCTTGAGAAATTTATTCTTATCATACCCTCATTATGGGACACAGAAATAAATGTTCGAAGAGTGTCAAACTCGTACGCGTGAGGCTCATGACAGGGACCCTGGATGATTTGGCCTGATTAATCCAAAAAGCTGCTCCAGAGTTGAACGGATGTACTTGATTCCTCTAGAAGTAAGTTTGCTATGATGTCGTTATAACAATTGACTGAGTGCGCCCATAGGTTGTCTGTCGATTATCTAACTGATGTTGCATGAACGGGTGGAGGCCAAATTGAACTTTGATATTTCTCACATCAATCTCTTCCACAACCATACCACACCATACCGGTAGTACCGGTGTTGGAGACGAAGAAAGGTCTGACAGGCACTGCTTTGTCACAGCAGCTCTTCCATGTCTGTACTGTAAGCAGTGCCTGTACCGATAGTTATGGCTGAAGCCTTGATGGGCGATTAAGTTTTGGGTTGAAGCATGTGTTTATTAGTCCAAAGAACTCTGTTATTGACAGGTGTTCGAGTATAAGTTTTACTTGACCTTAATCAAAACTTGTGATATTTCATTGCAATCCCAGTTCTTCCCTTGGTTACAAAGTCATATTGTACCACGACAACGATCCTATGAATCAGACCTTGAATTTTATCTCGCCCGCCTTCCTTACTGATCCCTCAGTACAAATTTTCATAAACCATCTGAAGTTCTGATAAGGTCCAAAACACCTTCACCAAGCCACACCGAAGATCACGCACGCAAACTATACAAATATTCAAGATTTTCCCTTTTTGCCTGAGTACCTCTTTATTGTTTCACACTCGAGTCATGTCAAAATCTTTACAAGTTACAAGTTACAACATCAAGAATTAGATGAAAAGGACGAATCGGGTCGGATTCACCGGAATTCCTCAATCACACAACAGAGCGCCAGCATAAAATTCACGACAATAGCTTTTATAGCTCCGGCGACCTATAAAAAAACCATCACAATTATGACAATGCCCGTGAACAGTTCTAGCTTCGGCGCCCCATCAAAAAATGCATTGCGCACTGGGCGCTCTCTCCAGCGGCTTGGTCTAACTTTCAGACAATCAGCCGCTCTGTCCACTAAATATCGGGTGGGGTTTTGACGCACGTTTTCTTTCAACAGATCAATAGTTTGATGGCGTTAGCTTGATGGATCTCCTGCTACCGGTAATGCTTTGCATTCCGGGGAGTGCGCAGTTACCAGCTCAGTGAAACTTCCAAGACTAGACGTGAGACTGTAGCATTAAGTTTCAAAGGCCATTCTCAGCATAAATTCGTGTCTTCATGATTGACAAAATGTGCTATTTGCAACATGTATATCTGAGAGTCCCGTCTTGTGGGTGCGGAACAGAAGAACAGGAGGAATGTGTGATACACTCTGGGCCTTATCCAGCTGCCACATTGACTCGGGACAAGTATGGAGTCATCATGACTTTCCATATATTGAGACTCAAGTCTTCTAAAGATCAGTTTCGGTGCTGCCGTTTTTTTCCTTTTCGGTGATTATTTTCTGTTGGCGCAGCGCAAACTTCTCTCTTATCATGTATATTTCAATCGAAACTATTTCCAACTGGCCTGTTGCCAATTACAATAATCCCGTAAGATATGGACCAGCCATCTTCATCATCCATGCAGTATTTTATCCGATTGTTTTGTTGATGCTTGGAATTCGCACATATACCCGTTTATACATCTCGAAGAGTTTCGGCTTGGATGATTATTTGGCTCTCTTTAGTATGGTTGGTGTTTCCATGCCTCTACGACTCCAAAAGAAATAATATTGACATGGATAATCTAGTTACTTATCACCGGATTTGCTGTCGGGGCCATGTTAGTGGAATCATCATATGTGGGATGGGCTGTCCATGCTTGGGATATTCGCCCGGAGTCACTCACCCTTGGCCTCAAGTTCATATACACAACGCAAATACTATTTTCGGCGGCCCTCACTACCATAAGACTTTCCATGTTGTGGCTGATTAGCCGTCTGTTTCAAACTGGAGCTCCGAAACTTCGACGCTTTACATTTGGAGTTATGATATATATGCTTTTGCATAGCTCCATCTTCATTATTACTCTGATATTTCAGTGCAGGTGAGCATTGATCATAATACCTAGTCGAACTGCATCAACTGACGATCTCGAAGGCCAGTATCTGATTACTGGACGATTTCTCTCATTCCTCAAGACAATTGCATTAATCAAAAAGTTCATCTTCTCTTTACTTCAATCTGCAATGCGATTACTGATTTCGTGGTGGTGATTTTGCCACTGCAAACAGTATGGAAGTTACAACTTCCATACAAGCAAAGGGTATCTCTTTGCTTACTGTTCGCAATCGGCTTTCTTACCTCTACGGCAAGCATTATTCGCACGGTTTATGTTTATGAATCTACTGACGTTACCGATAAATCATGGGCAACATATGCTGTATACATGTGGAGTTCTGTAGAACTTTATCTTGGCCTGGTAAGTACAAATTCCGGGGACCAATCATTTCAAAAGTCTTTCCTAATCCAAATCCTAGTTTTGCGCTTGCATACCACCAAGTGTGGGTTTCTGGAAACTCTACTATCCCAAGGTTCTGGGCTCATTCAATCGATCAGAGGAAAACACATCAAAGACACGTTCATTCTGGAGTTCGAGTTCGGTTTCCAAGCATGATCGGAAAAATGCTTTCGAACTCGCTGATACTGATGATGAAGAAAGGGGTATTGTCGTTGAGCGAGGTATTACGATCGAGACTTATTACAGCAAGAGTGAATCTATGGGCAGCCGAGGATTATGTACTGCCATGGTTCAGTCACCTGCATTACCTATTTACCCCTTCAAGTCATAATTTAATAGCGTATATACGAGGAATTTGAGTAATGAAGAATTAACGTCACTTTATCATAACCATCTCTCAATATGAGTTTCCACGTTTTTCCCTTTTTCTACCATCAAAAATTGAAACTCACATTCACCAAAGTCATTGAATTCCCATCCCCAATCTGTTCTCCCAAATGTTCTCAACTTCTCAAACGGAGCCCAAGGGTTCTGCTCAAGCACCCCGGAACATCGCATTAGAGCCAGCCCTTTCGGTAGCATTCAGGAGATGGCATCATCTCAAATCTGCTTGTCACTTTTATATATTCTCGAACTACGAGTAAATTGTCCACTTTCTTTAAGCAACGTCGGCAATTCTGTTTGGAAATTCTGTCAGGCTGAGATAGGTTTTAGCTGCACTATCCTCATCCTCTATCTCAACTGTCAAATGTACAATAAAATGAACCGAGCCAGAGGCAATGTGAAGGCCAAGGCAAGTATCAGTTACACAACATCATTGTTTCAATGAAGCTGCCAAGCTAGGGAATAAATGCCAAGAGCGGTAGGGCCTAAATTCATTTTAACCATTTATGAGTATATGGGTACAAAATAACAAGGTCACCTCTCTAGCATTTCCTAGCTTTGCAAACATTCGTTAAATCAAGGAAACTACTATAGTATATTTGACTTGACTTCACTGGCATGTTATGCCATTGGATTGGATTGGTAAATCCTCTACCCTCTATGCTCTATCCTATCCTCTACCCTCAATCCGAAATATTATCCCGTGTCATCCCATCCCATCCCACAAACGATTCACTTGGAAATACATCAAACTCCCTTCCATTCTCCCAATCATGCACCCATACAATCACATATTTTCATTCCTATTAACCTATCAACCCTAACGATATCTACACCAAAACCAACACCAAAAATACACAACGTTAACATACAACATAATTTCCTCAAATATTAAATCTTCTTATACAAATACCAGTGTTTCTTATACAACACCAAACTACAACATCCACAACCACATTCACAATCCCATTCACATTCACATTCACATTCACAACCACAACCACATCCACATCCACAATCACAATCCCATTCCCATCCATCATGTCATCATATATATCTCTAGAATCCACCCACTCACCCACCCACTCACCTCACTCAGATCAATTTCTCTCCTCTCCTCTTGATTTCCTCGAGCCTCGAGTAATCTTACCAGTACATATATATATATGCTCACCAGCAAAAAAAGGAAATTAAATGTCATTAACATTCCATCTTCGAGGTTTCATTCGATTGATTTCATTTCATTTGATTTGGTATTGTAATGTATCTATCTCTGTATCTATCTCTACTATATCTCTGTCCTTATCGGTTTGTGTTTCTCTCCATGATATATGCATGCATTCATTCATCTGGCTAACCAATCAATCGATCAAAAATATACAACCCTCCCCTCCTACCCCTCCTACCCCTCCTTCCCCTCCTTCCACTCCCCACTATCCTATTTCCCCTATATAAACTCAATATATAAAATGATATATATCCCCATATCCCCAACCAAAACACCAATGCTAGCTACGTAAACTCCATTCCATATATAAAGCCTTAAAAACGATATATTTATATAAAACCCCGCTCCCAAATGCGTATACTCAAATCCATAGATGATAGATGAGTTTTTAAAAAGTAGAAGAAGAAAAGTATCAAAAAATCAAAAAAACTACATATGCAGAATGGGTATCGTTTTACAACATTGCACGACCAAAGAAATGCACGCACGCTCGCTATGCTCATCAAGCATTCCCCATGATTTATTCCCTTTGAGGTAGCCTCTTTCCATCTAAGAATTGTCTTGGGGGTCTCCTTTCATAATATGGATCGGGATCTTGTCTCCGTTTCCTTTCCTCGTATTCAGCTCTTTCTTCTTCGCTGAGACTGAATGCTTTCTTCAGCCATCCAAATGCACTTCTCTTCTTCTTGACTTTCTTTCCATCTTCCATCGTTACGGTGGTCATATCGCTCATTACGCTCATTCCCATCCGACTCGGTGCCATGGACCTTCCCAAAGAGCTCGGCACGCGCTCGTGGTGGTGCATTGGTGCTGCAGTCCAGGGTCTTTGCAGTGGTGAATGTGGGGATGCATTAACGGGTCGAAAAAATTGCTTGTCGGAATGGGGGGAAGGGATGAAATCTCTTATGAAGATGGGTGTGATTTCACGTGTACGACTTGTCGAAATTGGTGCTAAGATTGCTGAAGAAGGAGATTGAAATGATGGTGACGGGAGAGCTTCTTGTATCGAACGAATCGCAAGAGGAGGGTCCGATTCGGAACAATACGCCGAATCAACTCCACGGCATGAGGGTGCATCCGTAGCCAGCTCAGGGCGGCGGGGAATGCTCAAGGGCCCTGATCCTTTACGTTCTTCTCTGTTGCGTTCTTCCTTATCACGGTCTGTGCTCTTTTCAACTCTCTTACTTCCCTGTTCTCTGTTTCGCTCTCTACTACGTTCATCTCTGCGATGCTCTTCCCTAAGCCGTTCTCGACTACGCGCCTCCCTGATTTGCTTTTCTTTGATGCGGTCTGCCCTATCAACCGATATATCCATAGGCTCAATGCGGCGCTGCTCCGATCGATCCCGGGGAGAACCCATCTGACTGGACTTTGAGTAGGGGTCTATCACCGATTCCGCAACCGAAGTAATTCTTGGAGCAGAAAGCAGTTTCAGAGGGGGTTTCAAAGTTGCTGAGTCGGTTTCTTTCCGCTTTAAAGAGAAGCGCTTTCGAAGGGATGGTTTTCTTTTGCCTTCCGAAATGGGTTGGAGAAAAGAACCTTGACGGGTTGCTTTTGTTGGAGAAGTTTTGGGCGAAGTTTTGGGCGAAGTTCTGGGCGAAGGCTTAGGTGAGGGTTTCGGCGAAGGTTTTGGAGATGGATTTGGGGTGTAAGTTGTGGGGGGGAGTAGTGGAGAATAAGTTGTTGGAGCGAGTGTTGGTGAATAAGTTGTTGGAGCGAGAACCGTAGAGAAAGTTGTAGGGGCAAGAATTGGAGAATATGTGGTTGGAGGAAGGATCGGCGAATACGAGATCGGTTTAAGAGTATATAACGGTTCAGGCTCAACTTCACTCTCGGATTCTGGCTCCGACTCTGACTCCGACTCTGACTCGGGCTCAGGTGTTCGTTCTCGGTCCTGTACCAAAGCCAAGGCTGGTAAGGTGGTTGAAATTTCGGGAGTGAAAGGGGTTGGATCGCTGGGAAGTTCTTTTATCATGGATGCTCGAAGATTGCGAGATACGGGTACGGCGGCTTGTGCTTGCACTTGGGACGAAAGACTGAACTACTCATCGTTAACCAAGAATGATATGATTGATTTTGTGAGCTTACCCTCGACTCTCGACTTATCTGACCAGCTCTCCGATTCATCTCTGCCACAATACTTCCCAATTGGACAAGGGCAACACCCAAGTGATTACCCTTGGTCTGTAATGAGACATAAGCCTTATGCCAACCTTCCACATTTCCACACATTGCATCGAAGACTCTCTCCATATTAGGTCGTTGTTGTCGCCATTCCAGATTATCCTTCTGCCCTGCCAAATATATTGTAAACTCCTTACAAGCATCCATTCCTTGTTGCGCATCGAGAAGAGTATCTTTCATAGCAGCCGCCGTACGTGTAATGACATGCTCAATCCGTTCATTGCCACTGACGATTTGTGCCCTAAAAGCTCGATCTTCCAACATAGCATCGAAGATGGTGATATTCTGCAATGGAAGTTTCAAATGCTTCAATCGCTCCTCAATATCACATTGTGCCAGGTCGAAATCTTCCAATGTCATCTCTAAGAATCCATCTACCTCATTCACATGTCCCTGCAATATTGACATGACCTGTTCTTCATCTCTGGCGATTCCATTGAGGAGTAGATAAATCCCAAAGGATATCTGTGCCATCAACTTCCATAATTCATGATATTTTTGACCTAGTTTTTTCTGTGATCGTAAGGCATTTGGATTTTCGTAGAGACCTTGTTCGATTAAGATCTTTCGTCGGGTCGCTGCGTCGCCGACTTTGGGTGCTGTTCGAGTTGTGTCGCCAGCCTCTTCCATCGACTCTGCAAAGGCACCTTGCATGGAATTTATAGGATGCTTAGGTACCGTGGCATTTTTGGCGACTTCGTTGACTTTCTTGACCTCTCTAACTTGGTGCACTTCCTTCATTGTATCGGTGTTCATCCTCGTATCATCTATTTGCATCTCGAAAAGCGAATCATTATCAGGTTCGAGAATAATCGGAAGAGCGACTTCATGATCAGAAGAAGAGTCGTAGAAGGCCATATTGCCCAAGCTGAATTGCCTACCTCTTAGACTTATGCAAGAGTTGATAGTGCTACATGGATTGATTGAATTCTAGCGTATTTAGCTGCATATGAATATTGACCGGATTCTTGGTATTGTAGATGAGGTAATATACTTTTGATGCAGTACCGCGTACCACTGGTGGTGTACAACAGCGCTTCTGGAGGGGTCAACGGCTCGGAATGTACGAATAATAAAAGTTCCCGGCGCATCCAAGACAGGGAAGATAGGATAAGGGACGGTAGCTTTTCTACTTGTGCCAATCCAAACCAGTCGCGTTCTAGTCCAGCTCCACCCTCCCCGTTCAATAGAGGAGGTATCTGTGTCTACTTGATGCAGTAGCCGTCAGGAACGGGTGGGAATGGAAGGCTGTCGCACGAGGTTTTGAGGGTATGTAGCGGAGAAAGATTTTAGTTCGATTTCGAATTCAGGTTCATCCTTTCAATATTTATTTAAGTCAAGGGGGACCATGCGCGCGGGATGAGATCGACTTTGGTTCTTTGGTTGCGGAGGTTTCGTTTTTAGTTTTGATGTCGCGAATAGAAAATAGGAATGAATACTTCTAGTCGTAGAGTACCGGTACTGTACGAGTAGAAAGGAGAAACAAGGAATGTAAAATTTGAGGACTGGTGGATAATAAATATTGAAATTGAATATTGAATACAGAGGCTTGGTGATGGATGGCGGAGTGGGTTGGTTCAACTTGGTTGGAATATAAGAAAGGATCTTGAGAGGGGAAGGGGAATGGGAAGGGGAAGGGGGAGGGGGGGAAGAACGGAAACCTTGGTGTTAATTGGTTATGTAAGTATTATGTAGGTAGGTTGGTAGGTAGGTAAGTAGGTACTGAAGTTGTATATTTATGTATGATGAAGGGGGTATTTGATAGTATATACTCAAGTACAATATATTGGTGTAGTAAGTAGATCTTTGAAGGGGGGGGAAGGGGGGGGGGATTGGGATATTAATATTTGTATTTATTACACGAACTTTCCCTTTACCCTTTTTCCTATTTTCTTCCATTGAACGTTGGATGAACCATGAAGGAGATCTTAGTTGGGTATATAAACCGTTTGAATGCGGGATTATCGAAAGGTTGATTTGCTTAATAGGGGAATAATAATGTAAAAATCAATACTCGAGTAAATGATTTTCCTATAGTGAGAAAATCATTTTTCATCATTCAACGGTCCCCCTGGTTAACTACTGGGTATCATACTCAAATACTCTAATCAGGCGATCCAAAATATACATTCATCTATTATACAAATCATATATAATATTTACACTTTATTTCCAACCTAGCCGATGTATCCTATATCTTGTGTGGAGGGAGGTGCGTCGAATGTTGTGCGTAAGAAGTTATGGAGAAAAGAGATGGAATACTGCACAAGTTCATGCTGCTGCCCATCGCCCCATCTCTACATATCTTGCTTGTCCTGTCGACTTTTCCACTCCTCTGCATTATTCAATATCAACCCACGCGAAATCTGCATGGCACATTCATTCACAACAGGTCCGGCTTATTATTTGGTGGAGAAACCGATCGAGATTTCAAGGATTTTATTGTGCCCAATTCAGCATTGACACAGAATCTGTTGGACAATATCAGGAGCAGTGGCTTTCATTGGGAGAGACAGACGCTCTCGGGTAAGCCATATTCCTCTCTTACCTTCCCCTGTTTATTCACGGAGTACCTACTAGGTAGGTAGTAGGTAGTAGGTACTAGGTCATCGAAGTTTGCGGAGAGGTGAGAGGTTACGGAGTACATCCTTTCCTCTCATAGCCTTGTACTCCGAGACATCATCCATCCAATATTTCGGGATTCATACATTGTGGAAACTTGGTTTACCTTTTGGAATCTCTATTACCAAAACCCAATACATACTTTACCGAGGTAGGCTTACCATGTGATAAGAAAAAAGGAGGTACGGAATCAATCCTACTTCACTCACCTTCTTCAAGTTAGTACCGAATTGGAAAATTCATCTACACACAGACATTCACAGACGTCCTAATTTGGGAGATCCCCGGACTAACATGCTTGACGTCTTACTCGATTTGGACGACGACCCATGCGAATTTTCTGTAAATAATATCGCTGGCATGACATCTTTCGAATTCGCGACCGTTGCCGAGTCTATGCGATTGAGTTCGAGGTCTAACCGCGAAGAAGTTGGGTCAACAACCGTGAGCCATGAGAAGATGAAAAGGAAGGTCGTATCTCAAGGACCCAGCTCGTTTCCAAACGTTCGCTTTTGAATCTTTCTTTCTTTGAACTTTTATACATCAAAGTATGTAACTTGCAGGATGCCTGGCACATCAAGTTTCATTGGATCTTTTATACGGTAATTTCACATGATTCACCGGAGTGATATTATGGTTGAAGGTGTTCATTAATATTTTAGGAACTTGAAATCATATAGTCAACAAGGCCTTATTGACTATAATCTTTCGGAGATGGTATAAAAAGATAAACAGCAATCTACCCCTTATTCACCGTCACTCACTCACATGATTGATTAGTACTCATTCAATATTCTCCGAATATAGTCAGTCTATCATTCGATATTCTGATGTTCAATTATTCTGATGTTCAATTACATTTCGGATATTGGAATCTTTCATTTTCGCCTACCTTCATTTCGGTAGTGAATTGAACTTTCAATATTGCGCAGCAGAAACCAAGACATTCGAACATGATTCTCTGGCGAGATTAGATGATGGTGAGTAAGTGAACCAGCTTCAAAAGGTGAATCAATCATGGGCCTCAGGGATCAAATGTTGACCATATTTCGCTCTCATGAGCCGAACGAATTTCACTCCAGTTTTCCACATCCACATCTTCTTACCCGAACATGCCCGATACAACCAAGACGACGTGAAGATCCGTTGCTCCGATGACAATGATATTAGCCTGCAAAAGACCATGTTGCGAGATTCTTAAAGGAAGCTGCGATCCAAGAAGATTCATATTGAGATATACTCTATGGTTGAACTATTGGCATAGGCCGAAGAGGTTAGAGAAGCCAGAATTCTTCGTACGAAGATGATTCCTTAATCATTATGGACAAAATGATGGATTATTGGTCCCAAGGACTCTCAAACCCTCAAAGAGCATTTTTCAAGAGATCTATTGTCTGAATCGACCATCCTCTGCTTTTCCTGTTTAGCGCCAAGATTTGTAGGTCCATTCTGATCAGTACAAAGAACACAAACCAGTTTTATCATGGAGGCTCTTAATATACCTACCGGTAACTGGGAAAATGTTATATAAAAGGTAAAAGCTACATAACACAAGACGTTTCTGTGTATCTGTATCAAGAGTACCAATATTGATCTACTTGTCCGAATACTTGAAGGAGAGCAAGTACGACTGACTATAAAAGATATCAAAATATATATGTCCATCACGACCGTAATTGTGTATTAATCCAATCGATAGGAGATTGATTCAAGTCAGGAAAAATACCCCTCAGAAAGAATAGTTGTGGAAATACCTAGTTACCTTAGACAATTTTATTCCCAATAGGTATCTCCTCGAAACTATTGGTATATGTACTTCTACATCTACAACTCGATAATTGCATAGATCTGGATATCATTCCAATACGATATCGAACCCCACAGCTTACTGTCCTGATACCATCCCACAATCGTAGAATAAGAAATACACTACGAGTAGATATAGTATAGAACCTGTAGATGTCTAGGTAGGTAGGTAGGACTTACACACTCCCACAAGCCGAATAGTTTCTATTCAATCTGGAATTTGTCGTAGATTTGGTCTGAATGCTTCTCGTTCCATTTCCATTTCCATTTCCATTTTCATCTGAATTCAGCTCATCCCATCTCATCTCCTCTCATCTCATCTACCTACCTACTATTAATTCAACATCTATCCAGCATTCAACATCCATATTGACTACCAATCTTGAAATCAAATCTCATTCTACCGGCACATCTCCACTATCATCGGCATTGAACACCTATCTCGTCACCATGACAGGGATATCAATAGACGCTATTACCCCCCAAATTGATCCAAAGACGCCTGTATTACAGGGATATTAGAGACCAAATTCACACATCTGTCTAGAAGCTTTGATTTCTTTTCTTTCAGTTGAGGAGAGGAAAATTAATATATACAGGAAAAGGAAACAAAACAAATTGTGTTTTATTTTCATATTATAATATACTGTAAAACTTACAACACATGGTGTTGGTTGTTCTATTCAGAAATTAGATTATCGCAGGGTGGAATTATACATCTATCTACTGAGTACAGGTACCGGTATCTACTAGGTACTTCCACCATATCATCTACATCCAATCCTATCCAATCCAATCCAATCCAATACGATATTGGATAAGCGTAGCCAGCCATCACCGTTCCATCTACCATTCTGTTACCTGTTACATTACACCCGAGCCGTGTCTCTTCACATTTCCGCCAAGATATACCTACCTACCTACCTACTACGTACATGATCAAATCACCAATCCAATCATGATAGGTAGCATACTTCAAGCATTCAAATTCGGAGACGATATCTGGGACCCGAGCCATCGCTTTGAGACGTCATGGTTATTATCACCATGGGCTCTGTTTGCTGTTAGAGCATCTATTGTGAGTACAGTATTCTTTCATATATTTCTTCTTTCCCTCGTCTCAAATTGTGCAATTGGATGGATGGATGGATGGCTAATATTATTCACTCAATGTGCAGTCCTTGTATACATTTTTCGTACTCCTCTTCGTTATATTTTGGGAGATAGCTAGAGTTGCCAATGGCACTGCAGCCGCCCGATTCGAATTCTCGTATTTTACCAGTAAGCCACCTACCTCATCATCTCACCCTCCTTCTCGAAATAACATACTAACCCGATCCATCCAGTCCTCTGCTACTGGGGCCTAGCCTTCTATTTTTTCTTCGCCTCTCTCCACACCTTCAGCTATGCCCTCCACGGCGGAACACCCCTCCTCAATAAATTTCCCCGTCCCCTGCAAGCCCTCCATTCCCTCTACTACAGCACCATCATCTGCTACCCGCTCCTCGTAACCATCGTGTACTGGGGCGTTATCTTCCGCACCACGGTCCCCGTGGGTTGGTTCCCCGCCCCCTTTGCCGCTTGGTCCAACATCTCGGAACACGGGCTGAACTCGCTTTTCGCGCTTTTTGAAATCGTCGTTCCGCGTACGCATGCGCCGCCTTGGATCCATTTATTGTGGCTCATTGTGATATTGGCGTGTTATTTGGGATTGGCGTATATTACTGTGGCGACGAAACATCAATATGTTTATTCGTTTCTAGATCCGAGGGTGGCTAAAAATGGATTGGTGGCGGCATATGTGTTTGGGATTGCGCTGGCGATTTGTGTGATTTTTTGTGTGGTGAAGGGGGTGGTGGCGGCGAGGAAGTGGGGGACGGAGGGGAAGATGGGGTGGAAGGGGAAGTTTTTTGGGGGGAGGGAAATGGGGAGGGGGGAGGTGGAATTGAAGAGTTATGAGACGAAGAGTTAGGGGTTGGTTGTTAGATGGGATGGGATGGGATGGGATGAGATGTTGAATGTGGGAAGAAAGTATATATATGGTGTAATGATGACGAGACGAGCGATAATGCGAAAGATGGATAGATGGATATATGGATAGATAGATAGATGGATAGATGGATAGATGGATAGATGGATAGAAGGATGAATGGATATCATATAGCGGAAGCGACAGCGACAGCGAAACGGACATTTGGCGTTCGGGAGCAGGAAGGGGTTAGAGATACCCATCATACTCGCAAGCATTTCATCTGATCTTGTATCTTGTCTCTTGATATATCTCATCTGGTATATCTCATCTCATCCGAATAGATAAGACAGACTATATTTACATCATACACCTAATACAATCCCATTAAATTAAGAATAGGTTCTTCATGATGGGATTCGTGCTTGCAAGTGAGTATCTGTTCACGCAATATACAGTAGCCTATAGTCATCCCCATTTATTAAGAAATATTTCTATATATTTTGTCCTCCTATCCCATCCTATCCCATCATTCCCCCAAACCCAAGACCAAATCGAAGCCAAAACTCCACATTACACCTATCCTACACCCTACACCATACATACATGCATGCATGCATACATCCATTCATCCCTAATCCTATTCCTATTCCTATTCCTACTGGTATCAAGCTACAACCAAATCGATCGCACACAAACAACAACAACAACAACACAACAAAAATAAGCAGCAAGTAGAATCTCTAGCAAAACCAAGATTAAAAAACCAAAAGCAGAGTCAAAAGCAAAACCACAATCAATTCACTCGGCTTCATCTTCATAATCCTCTAACCCCTGATCTTCTTCTTCATCATAGGCTTCCTCTTGTCCTAGCAGAGACTCATGATCTGATGAAATACCATCACCATCACCATCACCGTCATTTTCATCTCTTCTTCTATGATTATGATGTTCGTGTTCGTGTTCTGTATTTGTATTTGTATTTGAAATTGTAGGTTCTGGATGAGGCGACGGATCCATAATTTTCATCTGTCTGTCGTCTTGGAATTCTACGCTTTTTCTTCCCTTGGGGGTTTCGTCTTTATTTTCTACGATACCGGTTGAGGCTTTGATGATTACATCTCCGCTCCAAGCTTTGCAGGATCGGACTTCGTCGCCGCATCTTAGACAGGTCCAGCCTTCGCCGTCTTCGGCTTCGAGTTTACTTGCGATACATACAAAACAATATATGCATCCGCATTCTGCTGTTTCGTATGGATTTGTGATGTCGGTTTGCGCGCTGCCGATTACGCCGGTGCTGGCCGCTGCGGCCATGGCTCCTTCTTCGGTTGCTTGGAGCGCGTTTTGATCATGGTAGCAGATGGCACATGTACGTTCGGGGAGGAAGGAAAGTTCGCCTTTTTTGGTGTTGTTGGAGAGCTCGTCGGGAGATGATGTGTTGACGAGAGATTTCGTGCGTCTCCAAATGCGTGATAGTAAGCGTCGCCAGCGAGAGATACCTACGAGAGGGAGAACGAATAGGAGGAATTCGGTAAAGGCATGCCAGACGAGTTGGCGATTCAGGTACTCAAATGATACTTCCCGGCTGACCTGGCTGGTTGGGGGCGCGAGTCGTAATCGTAAGATTCGATCGAGTAGGGTGCGATATCTGCCGTTTACGAGGAATATGAGGAAGGATGCGAAGGCGGCGGTGGAATGAACGTTTGTGAAGAGGTCTGTAATTCGCGAGAGTCGACTGATAAGGGGCGAGGGGGTGCTGTACCCGTCGTCGGAATCAACCAAGTAGTTTTCCCAGCGTGTCCAGGCGTATTTGCCGCCTACAGTGAAGAGTCCATATAAACTCTTCTGCCATTTCGATGGAGATACAAGGACGTGCCCGGATTGTCGCGCATCGGTAAACTTTAGATTCTGCAACGTAGCCCCGTACGTAGCATCATGATCCCATATACTGAGTTTAAAAAGAATAGCGCGCAGAGCCAGCATTATTTCCGCAGACCAATCATCTTGGATATGATTTCCGAAATACTTGAAGCCTTCCCCTACTTGCCCTTTCAACAGCTGCAACAACTCCTCGTCCAATAACTCAGCATCGACCTGACCGACTCGAAACGAGGGACGGGTCCCTTCGCGTCCAGATATTACATCCCATGTTGTGAGACCCGCAGTCCCTAGTCGAGAGAAGGGGAAAGGGAGGGAGGAAACGCGTTGGGAGATAGCGGTATTGCGTCGACGATTGAGGTGGGTTTGGGCTGCTACTTCGCGGGCTTGATGACGAGCGGCAAGGCGCTGTTGTGCGAGGATAAAGTCGTTGGATGTCATTGGAAGAGCATTGAAGGGGGGAGTATAACTATCTTCAGTATGTATGGTCTCTAGAGTGCTATACTGGTGACTAAGGAGGTTGATGCGATTTGCAAAGTGAGAATGCAGGGGTTCTGTTCTTGAAGCTTGTGTTGATGTGAATGCCGAGGTACTGGTGGTTTGATCTCCCGACTTTCCGTTCTAGGGAGACTGCGCTAAATGTCTATGTAGACTAGCGGGAAAAGCCGCCTTAGATTTCTAACTTCTATCAACTCAGTCATTCACGTTACTCAAAGTTCTATGATGTTTCTGTATATATATTTTTTGTTTCTGTGTCCATAATTGCCATCATCTTTTGGTTGTGTTCTTTCGAAATGCTATCAGCAGCAGATCACCCTTCTGCACAGAATATCACTGTACGCCTCGCAAGTAAAAGCATTCAGATTTCTCAACTACAATACCGGTATTTGCTTTTAGACGTACCATGCTATCCCATTTATTTTACAGGCCTTCTCTTGAGATACAGATTGCCAGTCTCAAGGAAATTTCTTGGGCATTTAAGTCTCTGGACGAGTGCATGACCCTGCTATGTATATCTTGTCTTGAGCTCACTGCCGTCAAGGATTTTTTGGGTTGCCGTTATGTGCTTCCTTCAAGCTTGACCTAGATATCCCACCGGATTGGTCTATCTCATTCCCCCAAATCCCCAAGCCTACCGTCGTAATGGATCGTCAATCTCTGGGCCAGTTTTGGTATCATTACAAATGACCAAAACGACAATTAAAATACCAGAATGTAAGCTGACCGTTGTACAACTTGAAGTAGCCACATACCGGCATCAACACACACGTTATCTCCAAGAACTCAGCCCACCCCCAAGAAGAAATCCACAAGATTGTAAGAATGTGTGAGATGAGATCTTACAAATCTCGTTACATTTCCGTTTGGAGAGTATTGTTCCCTGGCAATGTTTTACCTCTGTCCTAAATTATTGTTTGCTGCTCTTTTGGTATACCTCTCGTTCTTGGACGAATTCTCGTTCTATAAATTCTGTCAACGTCCTTGCGTCATCTGCAATGTGCTGACGGTTCTCAAAAGAAAATTCACCGCTCACAACATTGCAGCCTGATAGTTTTCTTTCTTGTTTTTGTTTTTGTATATCTGTACTGAAAATGTCCATTGCTACACAGGCAGTTGGGTTTGGAGAAAGTTCCTCCATCGATTCTACTAGAAGTGGGGTAGCTAGTGAAGGTCCCATTAAGTTTACAGTTCACATGTCATGCATAGCTTCCTTGGGACTTCCTCTCAGCAGGCCCTTCTTCGGATTTGCCACAGGGCTCAAGGCTGAAGAATCCTTTCGGAAACTATCCTTCTTAGAGTCAATGTTTTGCTAATTGGTGTATGTCCGGATGTTCCAAGGTGGCTCAGACATCGATTAAGCCCCTGATATTTGGATATCAGTCTGTTCATGCTATACTTACGAAGTGCCATCTTTTATAAGCTTAAGTAACTTCCAAAAAGTTTAAACTAGCCTCTTAGATCTAAGTTTTATTACATTCCATCAAATCTCTATCAAATTGGTTGAATGTATGTTATATATACTACCAGTGGATTTCTTGTGAATGCGCGATTTCGTTTATAATACAAAACCTTGGCGTACGGCTCAAGCCTAATATCTCAAGTCAGTGAAGGGGAGAAAATGTGAAGTTCGGTGGGATTTCTGTGATTATCCTCCGCGGAATTTTTTTTTACTACCACAATAGACTTAGTGCGGATTCGGCTGCTGCATAGAGTGCGCCACAAATGCAACCCCTTCCCCAGATCCCCAATTCCCATAGAACCATACGGTGACTGTGACCGTGACTTCCCAAGTTATCGCCGGACACATTTGCCGTTCAACGGGTTTTATTGATGTCTTCAAACCCCTTTGGGGGTTTGGTACACCTATCATTATTTGGTGCATGATAATCGACTGTTTGATTGGCTTGTGGAGCGATGGCGGATGTATATTCCACACGTGGCCAATTGTAAGGGGCGGCTTGCTTTGACACAATGTATGAATCTCGAAAACACCAATGACATTACTGATGGGACCGGACTTGTCTCTTTGACCTTCCTCATCTAATTTTGAACTTTCTAATTTATCCCTTCTGGTCTCGAACCTCTGCTGACATGAGAACGCTTTACTGTGCAGCGTGCTGACATCTTGACAAGCTTACTTTAGGGTATGGCAGGGGAACATTGTTTTATTCAATGTTGCGGAATTACATTACACGCAATCCATCCTCCATCAACCATACTCGCTGTCAACACTATCTCATAGTCTAATCAATAGGATCGTCAGCTTGTCACTTCAACCCTCAGCTCGTGAACAGTGTGCAATAGCATATTAGTATAACTTGTGAAGTCCCATATATTAAATATTTCTCAAAGCGTAGCTTCATCAAATATTCTACAATCCGAATATCCGAGCATTCACCTTGTCGCTAGGCATTATGGGTTCCGAAAGCTATAGATCCCAATTTCCATCTCCGAAAATCCCGGAAGAGAGCCTCTCGATGTTCTTTGACTTCGGAACGCCTATACAAGAAGTGCAGACTACATTTCAAAATACTGTTCAGAGTCACGAATCCAGGGGTGGCATCAGGGTCTCGTTAGCATGTGTCCCGGTATGTTGATGATATTCTTTGCTGCCACGTGTACTAATCATCAAATAGTGTCGAAGTCGTCATGTAAAATGCGGAGCAGAAATGCCTTCATGCAGTCGTTGTCAGCAAGACGATAAGCCGTGTTCTTATGCAAAGTCACGAAGAGGCATGAGAGACAAGAACGCTCCTCGGAAAAGAAGCTCGGCAAAAGAACAGATTCGAGGACATTCTGTGGGAATAGACCCAGGAGGATATACAACTTCAGTTGGAAGCCTTATTGAAAATTCGTCTGGTGAATCATGGACCGGTGCAATTTCTGACGCTTCGGCGAGTCCTGGCAGTTCTTCATCACGACTTAACAGGATCAGGCCTGTAGACCTAACAAGATTGATCGATCTTTACTATAAGTTTGTTAATCTGAACTTCTTCCTATACTCTGTCACTGACATTTCGCTAGTTTCTTCCATAGAGCCCACCCCTATATCATCCCGAAGGGCCGTTTCCTGAGCAAATTAAAAACTGATCCAGACTCCCTGAATAATCTCCTACCAGTGATGCAGTACATTGGATCGCTCTACGCGCCCGATCTTCAATCAGCAGAGTTCAGAGCTATAGCTTTCAGCCAACTAGATGTACCAAGTTTACCACAATCCGGCTTTAGCGTTCAGGCGTTACTTCTACTGGCCATCGCCACTCACTCAGAAGACGAAAGAGAACATGCGCGTGTTATCTTGGATAGAAACATATGTATGGCGCTAGAGATCAGGATGAATTATCGAGCGTTTGCTGAAATGGAAAGAGATCCAGTCTTAGCTGAGAGCTGGAGGAGAACCTATTGGGGACTGTACGTTCTTGATGGGGTGTTTTCAGGTATTGCCCGTGCTTCTAGTTTTATGTAAGTGGTCTTCTGTACAGTAGAGATTCTACGGTCTTGAATCATGTACTAATATATTTTTCCAGCTTGTCAGCGATTGAAGGACACGTAAATCTCCCGTGTGAAGATCACGAATATGAAAGCGGAGTATGTCTTGTTACATGACTTTCTTCTTTCCTCGTACATGGTCAAGGATGTTAACCTTCTCTAGAATATTCCCCAACCCCGAACTCTCTCTGAATATGACTCCCGTGATTTTGAAGACGAACTCCCAATCTTCTCCTCTTTCACATACCTCATCGACCTAATCCGCATCATCGGCACCGTTCTTAGCATCAACAATATCACGGGCAAGAATCTTGAATCTGCTGTGACCAATGCCGACGCCATGCTTGTAAATTGGAAACTTCATTTGCCGGTGGAAAAACAAGGGGTGGTGGATAAGAACGAGGAAGTCGATGAGTTATTATTTCAGGCGCAAAATTTATTACAGACGTATGTTTGATTTCAAATTCCTCTAAACTCTCTTTTCTCAATTGTTTTGTTTTGTGTTGATACAAGATATTGACAGAGTAACCATAGCCTTCTGGTATTTATTCACCGGCCGCTTTCCCGCCTCTACCACGCGCCTCTTGAGAAAGTTTCCCGCTGCGCACCACCACCATCTACCTCACCTCCAACCGGCAATGAAGATCTAATTCGCTGGTTACACACGAAGAAGACAATCGAAGCGGCTCAGACTGCCATAAACTTATATGCATTACCGAGTCCAATATTGTTGCATACGCCACTAGGCATTTGTGGACTTACGATGGCCACATTAGCGAATCTGAGTGCGTGCGCGTTCGTTTATGTTGATAGGGGAGAAAGTGTCGAAGGCAGTGCTGAACGAGGAGACAAGAGATCATGTGAGTGGAGGATGGCGAGGGATAGGATAAGATTGGGATTGGGCGCTACGAAGGTGCTAGCAGGGGTTTGGGAAGGTGCGAGAGGCACAGAGAGGGAATTGAAGGTCATTGCCAGAGGAGTGTTTGCAAATACTAACGTAGGTGTGGAAAAGAGCAGGGAAAATACATCGGGGGTGGTGGGGGGTATAGGGGATGGGAATACGTTGATGAATGGAAGGTGTACGAGGCGCGGGACAGAGTTTGAGAGTGGAGATGGGGTTGGTATGCTAGACGGATTTGAGGAGGATTTTGGGGCGGAGGATTTGGATTATTTGGGAGTTATAGATGGTTTGGCTGCGGGGATGAATGCTGGGATTGTGAATAATGGAGGGACTTCAACTGGTTGTCAATGATATGATGGAGTGAAGACATCAAGGAATGGAGCATAACTATGAGGGATACAATTCTAATGAATCATGGAAATGTGTTATATGGTGTACGCTAGGCCAGGTGCGGAAGATATGACTGGAGTTCGGTGTGTTTGTTGTATGCCAGGTCCGATTTCACACAGGAGTCTTGGGTGCTTTTGAGAAAGGCGGAATTGAACGGGTTCTGTATAGATGTCTGACTAGATATACAAGTATATAAATCAGTGTAGTCAGTGTAGAAAAAGAACAAAAGAAATGATACTATATCACAATATTCCATATTTATGTTATGTTACTTACTGTATGCAAATCTAATTGAAAGGGGGTTGCTAGTATCACATTCTATTATCCAGATTATTGTCGCTATTTTCCGCTGTTGTGTGATCATTCGATAGTAACTGATCCGAGTACATTTACTATCTAGATTTACTAATAATGATACATAGAGATCCTTGTATTGTATTGGTAGCTGTGATAACGAGATATGAATAAGTACTGGATCGACATATTGCGCTTAAAGGGGCTTTAGAGCTTTGAAAGGGTGATGTTTGAGAAGTATGAGTTGGGTCTTTTAGATATGTTGAATGTTTTAGATGAATTGAATCTCTCAAATACTGGAATTCTAGAAGTCTGGAAGGCAGGCAATCTTAAATTTGCAGGAATTAACATTATAGCACTTTATTCTTCTACCTACACTCGTAAAGCCCTTCCAATCTTTCCATGGCAAGATCTCGGGTCAAAAGGGGTGTATTATTGATGTGCGGTGAGTTCTGGAGACACTTCTGGGGATTTTGACTCACTCTTACTTTAGCTATGTACTCGTACAGGTCGATGCCATCTGACTACTGGCTAAAATAGACCCTTTTGCTACATCTCATCCTTCTAAGCTCTAGTATTCCACTCTCTCCCTTTCTCGCGCTATTCACCGACTCGGACCTCTAAAGTGAATGCGCGCAGTATATTCTGGTTCTTTCTGTGCTCCCTGTTTCTGTTATAAATATTCCTGTATTCACGGACTAGGTATCTTTCTTTCGCACATAATGCTACTCGCAAGGATAAGATGGACATGGGTCCTCGTGGTGGTGTGTTTTATATAATCGTCATGTGTAACGCAATATACGGTCACGTAGTTTTTATCTCGACGATACGAGGTGAGATATATTAGGAACACGCAAAAAGTACCAGGCTATATACTTACTAATTGGAACAATTCACATGATCCAAGTCCCAAAAACCATTCAGCCCCTCTTTCATTCACTCCAACAAAATCTTCCCTTTCGTGACTGTGCTCAATACTTCTTTCTAACTTCTACCATAAAATAGCACAACGAACACTCTTTTCTTGTTCTCCATCACAGAAGAGCCAAATTGATCTGAAAAGATCAAGGTCATCCACACTCACTCTTGCGAAGAGGGTGCAGATAATTTCAACCTTATGGATAGAAGTTTTTGTGTTTCGGCATTTCGACCATCGATTATAGAGCTATTTTCGTGTGGTTTTAACGTTGACGGCTACACAGAGTGTGAGATGGGATGAGATGAGATGAGAATCAAAAATGACAATATTCTTTTCGTTGACAACAAGAATCGCACATAAAATCAAGAGTTCGTTGACAGGGAGAAAAAATACACTAAACCAAGGTTCAACTTAACATTTTAGTGTGTCTTAATTGGAATTGCAAACAGTGATTTGCGCTATTTCCGCATGTTTTTCTGGGGAAACAGGGAAGCACTGTTGATCGAATAGCAAACTTGCTTATAACAAATTAACGTGGCAAATCAAATCTCTTTCAGGTAGCCGCGGAAACAAAAATGAATCGATTCCTGAAGAGCGAGCGCGCTGGTGTACTTGATACAGTGACTTTGCGAGGCTAAAGAGTCTATAGGTAGGTATTATTGTAGGGCTTAGACTGAGCGGAAACCCTATGCTCATGGTGGTGAGTGGATAATTTAATTGGACACTTGAGTACTTCCACCTTCTATACCCATACCCATACCCATACCCATAACCCATACCCATTAATACCCATTTACTTTCATGTTCTAATAATACATGAGTGAATGTGGTCAAGACACCTCTGGAAACAATGCGTGTCTATATAAACCCGCAGGAAAACTGGCTTCTCAATGCAACTGCAGCAGAACAACGGGATGCCGAAAACTTGTTGCTTACCAAACGTCTCCCAGCTCATAATCTTGGTTTCAAAGTCATGTACGGTATCCACTGCCCTATTATTAATTGGAAAATACCAGTGCTGTGAGATTTGCGTGACAGTGTGTAAATATTACCGAAGGAGAGAGGTGACAATGAAATTCATCACTAGTGTTATGTGCAATGTTTGAAAAAAAGAGAAACAGGAAGGGTGACAGTACTAATTGGAGCCATTGGCTGTGCCGGGCCGGAAGAGTAGAAATCCGAGAACGTTGTAGCGTAGGGAAGGAAGTAGGTCGAGGTATACTGCTAGACAGGAAGACATTTCAGTCCTCTTGATTGTCTATTGCTCCATTATTTGAGGCTGCTGCTAAATGTTGAACCTATATGAGTCACGAAAAGAGAATTCTCGGCCAAGCGCTAGCTGGAAATTGATTGGGAATTATTGTATTTTGATTGGAGTTATCCTTCTTATAGTGCATCATATCTGAGCACCCCTTGAGGGGTAATCGATTCTAACTTGCTCAACTTGAGCCTGTGCATCCATTAGACTAGATATATTAAGAGGACCAGGAATTGAGCTATGATTTTAAAAGGGAGAAAGTTGGTTATGTCTTTACCTACCATTTGATGTGCAACTCCTTTTCATCTTTTCCAATCCTTTTGTTTTCAGGTGAGTGGACGTGGTCCAACGAGATAAGGATATAAGGTACTGATTCGAGATGTCCGATATTTCGATGGCACTTTCAACCGAACGATGATGTATGATTGCCTTGAAAGACAACAACCGAAAGTGTATCAACAAAGTTGATTGTTTAGACGGCAATATTTGGACAATGCTATTGTAACCTCAACCAAAAGATTTTACTTATCACCATGATATTCCCACGTACTTCGAAGGCATCAGAGTCTCTTCCTTTCTTCCCCTTCTCAGAGTCCACACTGGCATAATAATCCTCTCAAGCCGAACACAATGGCTGTTGAGATGTATTATTGTTAAAATCAAAATCGGATTTCCTATAAAGACACCAGAGACCACCACAAACTCGTAGAAGCAACAAAAGCTATTCGTCATGCTAAATTACCCGGCCACAAACCTGCGTGACCAAGCATTAAAAACAGGAGAAATCACACCAGAAAACCAGTTGTACACCGGTATTGACACATACGATTCATCTTTTGGAGTGGAATATGTAAATCTTCATCAAAATCGACTTCAAGTTCTGACATGCAAAATACATTCTGTCTCTTCCATCCAAACGTCTTGGATAGATTATTCGGTATTATCAAAAAGCTATGGAAAGCAATGTGAAGATCCCGTAAATAGGAAAGGAGATACAATCATATCAGGATGCAGTCACAACTAACTGCATCAAATCAAATGAATTAATTGCACCCTGGAAGGTTATTGTGAGAATCGTCAAATCCGTTGTAAGCTTCGAGAAGTTGCAATTGATGGCATGAAGTGAAGTTCTAGAACTTCAAGTCATGTGATGTGTAGACAAAAGGCAATTGAGCCACAATGGGGCGTCGACGCTGTAACCTTATCAGCCACATTTTCCAGTTGGTCTTGAGGTTTGACGGAGGAAGTTGCATCTTCTCGAAGCAACAAACAACAACTTTATCGCATTCTTCCATAAATGATTCTATCCCACAATGCGCGAGGAGCTTCCTCGTATGAAGAAAGCTAGGCCGCGAATCACTCATTCCTGTCAGCAATAGTAATAGATGTCGGGAAGCACATAAGGCAAGAGACGAAGGATCACAGTCACAAGGGACGGTCGAGGCTTTCGATAGTTTCGGGTTTTTCAGATCAGATATTGACTGACATCGTCCGAAGGATACTTACAACTGGAGTCGAAGAAATGAAACCCTACCGATACAACAATAGACTGTATCTGTCTTTGCGTAATCCTTTCTGTCTCACGGTAGCCTACCTCTCGTGGTTGAAGATTCTATGCTTGTTGGTTGAAGATAGTGACAGCGTGGGCTTTCGACCTACGGGATTCAAGTCTTATCTGCATTTCATAAAACACGCTTCAACATTGGAGATCTCCAAATACATTTCAACAGAGCAGGGCAGGGAGATGTTTCGTTTAAGCAAACGACGATGAATAAAAAAACACTCGATCAATAAATGCTCCTGACAAAACTCAATCTCATCTATTGGAACTGGGAAGTCCCTTGCAAAACTCAATCTCATATACTCCATATGGAGACAATCCCTTCATTGAACTTCTATCACCAGATCCTTTTTGCAAGTTCAGAAGCTAGAACTTCAGATGGAAAATCTCTCCTATTAGTATAGGGGTCCCATCACAATATCCGCGTATGACCAACGAATGAAAACCCCGTTTTGCTACGCTCAAATAATCAACTGTCGGCCCTATCAAATCCTCCGAAAAAACAACCATAATTTTCTTCTCTCCGTGTAAATTTCAGTCTAGGCCCTGATCATAGCAGAATTGCTCAATCTGGTTTGGATACCGAAATAAGGAACTTACACCCACCACCCACTGTACAGTGTGCATGAATTTTGATGACGAAAAAATGTGGCTTGGTTGACTTTAGATGTTGTGCTTGATTTGCTGGACCGAATCGCCGTAGAATACCCGCAAATATGTTCTTTTTGTTTTTGCGATGAAACCATACCATATAATTAAACTTTTGCCTAAAGAAAGCTCATTTCGGCTTGATTGTGCCGTTTTCAGAACCCTTTCGGATGAACGTTTGGATTATAATGCCAGATGTGGGAATTCGAGTGGATCAATACACACACCCTGTCACAGAGATTTTGAAACGTCAAAATAAGCGAAGGAACTTTTTTCGAAACGTGGGAACAAGGGTTGCCCTATCAGATTGTTTAGATGTTAATCGTTTAATTTACCCCTCAATATAAAATTCATCTAATGGCAGCCTCAATTTACCCCTCAATATAAATTCATCTAATGGTAGCCTCATGGCGTACATTTCCCTCTACTAATCCACTTTCGAGTGAAATAAATACACGACATAAAACGAAACAAATGAGAGAGAAGGGATTAGGAATCTCAATCCACCATATACCACCACACTTATCGATACAGTGGGCATATTCGAGACTCGAATAGATGAATTTGTTGAATGGAGCTTCTTAAGCCATTGACAGTGGGTTGACTATGATGGATTGTCTAACAAGGATATGAGTACTTGTATTTGTAGATTTTGATTGTACAAAAGGATTTGCATCTGCGCAAGAGTTGACCTTTCATTCTGTATCGCAAGAACAATTTTTTCTTCTCTTCGTTCCTTCCTTCTCTCATTTCTTCCTTTGAGTTGTTACCTTGACGGTACACATTCTTTTTCAAATCATTCTTTTCTTAAACTCTCATTTACAGGTCTGGTGACCATTTTTCAAAAATAAGAATATCTTATAACACATTCATTCAAACATACTATCACACGGAACAAACCTCAAAATCTCAAAATGCGCACTTCTCTGCTCGCCCTTGGCTTTGCCGCCAGAGCTCTTGCTCAAACAGCTGCCTCATATGTGGATGCCAACACTGGTATCACATTTGAGGGTGTTACGGACACTACCGGCTTTCAGTATGGTATGGTTATGGAGGCCAATGCCACATCTGACTTTATTGGTCAAATCGTAAGAGTCCACTCATTGTATCATTACTGCGCAACATGCTAACGGCATTTAGGTATTTCCAAGCACGGATGGTTCAGGATACGGAGGTATCTCATTGACTGGTGATATGGTTGGCAGCATGTTGATTGTTGCTTGGCCAAGTGGAACTGATGTCATCGCTTCGTTGCGTGAGACTAGTGGATACACTTCTCCAGGCGCCTACGCAAACGCCACTGCACAACTGTTGCCAATTGCAGATGGTACCTTTGTTAACTCAACTCATATGTCATACACTTTCCTTTGCCAAGCTTGCATTGGAAACACTTATACTTTCGCGTCTGGTGCTACTCAAGTTATCGTTGGATGGGCTCTTGGTAATGGCACGGTTACAAACGCTGCATCTGCTTCTGATGCTACTTTCACATACCACGGTACCGGGTATGGTGATTTCGGCATCACAACTGCCAGTGCGGTTAACGGCAACTACGCAACCTGGGCCGCCATGGCTAGTACCGTTGTCGCCAGCAACATAACCGCATCAAGTACCACTACAACCTGCTCAAACACTACCGTGTCAACTTCTGACTCGACCTACGACTATATAATTGCAGGTGCTGGGCCAGCCGGTATCATCGTTGCAGAGCGTCTCGCCGAGAGCGGTGCATCTGTCTTGATGTTGGAAAGAGGAAATGTTTCCACTTATGCTAGTGGTGGTCGAGCCACTGTTTCATGGAATGATACTGTCACTCAATATGATGTTCCTTCCATGTCATACTATCTCACAACCGCCTCTGTCACCGACGAGTACTGCACAGACACTGCCTCGATGGCTGGATGTCTTCTTGGTGGTGGTACAATGGTTAACGCTTTGATGTTTGTTCGTCCACAAGAAGCTGATTTCGATGACAAGTGGCCAACTGGATGGAAGTGGACCGATGTCAGTGCATCAGCCGACAGACTCTACGAGCGTAACCCTGGTACTACCTCCCCTACTGCAAACGATCAACGTTACGATCAGACCGCTTGGACCATAATTTCTTCATTTTTGGGTGGTCTCGGATGGTCCGAAGTTGATGCTATCGAATCACCAAATAAGAAGACTCAAGTTTACTCTCACCCACCTTGGGATATCCAAGATGGTCTCCGTGCTGGTCCAGTCAAATCATACTACCCTCTCGCCACCGCTTTGAGTAACTTCAAGGCCCAACTCAACACGAAGGTTGTTAGAGGTATCCGAAGTACTACCAACAGCACAACTTTCTCTGGTATTGAAGTTGAGAACGTCAGCACAGGTGTCAACCAAATCATCAACCTCAATGCAGGTGGTAAGCTCATACTCGCGGGTGGAGCAATGTCTACTCCCCGTATATTGATGAACAGTGGTATTGGTCCAACCGATCAAATTACAACCGTAAAAAACGGTCGCAGCTGTGTTACCCTCCCGAGTGAATCTGACTGGATTGACCTCCCAGTAGGCAAGAACCTCAAGGATCATCCAATCTTCACTCTCCTCTTCAACGTCACCGGTTCCATGGCCAGCAATTCTACTTCCATGTTATCTACCGCCTTCACCAGCCCAGACACCACTAACATTGATCTCTTCGCCCAACAAACCGGACCACTGGTACAATCGGGCCAAAGATTGAACTTCTGGACTTCCCTCAATACCACCACCGATACCAAATACTTCCAAGGAACGTGTAATTCCCCCGCCGACGGCCAAGTTCGTATCAAGCTCTATCTCACCCACGGCTTAACATCCTCCGGTGTCCTCGGCATCACGAGCGCAGGCGCCACGGAATTCACCACCAACCCCTGGATGAACACCGCCGACGATAAATCAGCCGTCGTAACCATGATCGACTATCTTCTCCACGCCGCTACCAACAGCAGCATTCTCGTTCCCGCAGATAGCACCATTACCGGGGCTTCTATGGTCGCAGCCGCCAATTACGTCACCGGGGATCATTTTACCGGTACGGCTATCATGGGTGCGACGAATGATGGATCGAGTGTCGTGGATACGGATACTAAGGTTTGGGGCACGGATAACTTGTTCGTGGTGGATGCATCGATGCATCCGGATATGCCGACGGGTAATACACAGGCGATTATTATGGTGGCTGCGGAGCAGGCTGCGCAGAAAATCTTGGCGTTGAGTGGTGAGACGATTTCGTCTAGTGCAAGTACGGCCACTACTTCAACTTCGTCTTCTTCTGGTAGCAGTAGCAGTAGCGCTGCTCCGGTTACAGCTTCAGCTCCAGCTGTTTCAAGTATTTCTACTTCTGCTTCTTCGGCGGCTACTACAGCTACAAGTGCTGATTCTGATGATGCTGATGATGACGATACTTGTCCTATTGGCTACGAGCTTGTCGAATAGAGTGATGTAGAGATCTATTGTATTCCGAGAGGGAAAACGGATACAGACGGGAAGGAGGTTATTGATTCTTTGTATATATATCCATATAGTTCTTGATAACCTTGTTGCAAATTGCAATTCATGTATAGATTTTACTTTACTTTACAATATTCAAATATACATATAACAGTTCCAACAGGAATCCGTTGTGTATTGTAGTAATTGTCTTCTAATTTGAAGAAATTAGGATGCGATGTGTATCTAAAATCATAGGTTTGAAATTTTGAAAATGATGGGAATGCGGGATGATAAGCACTAGGGTTAGAATCTAACTTGAAGTCTTGGGGAATCGAACGACGATCAAGATTAGCACAATTAATGAAGGTGGGAGAAATTAGTATTAATCCAAGCTTGGATTCAAGTTTATATTTTTATTAATGCTCACTCATCTTCGACTTCATATACTCGACTTCATATACTCGAGTACAAGCTTCAAGTTATAATACTCAATACAATCAATCCTTACCGATCTTTGAGAGCAGTAGGAGGGGAGACTAGGAGAATAGGAGTCAGTAACTGGTGACTAGCTGGACTATAGTTTTATAGGATAGGTATGTATGCATCTATAGTGAGATTTAATAGGTTACTAGGGCTACTAGTATGAGTGTAGCTACAAGTCGGATATGGATTATATCTCGAGTTTCGATTTAGATGAAATTCTTATGATGTGATGATTTCTTTGGAAGATATAATTTTAGAATTTTGACAGATTTGGGTTATTTGAGAGATTTGATTTATTTGAAAGAATTGATTCATTTTAAAGATTTGGTTTGTTTGAGAGATTAAATCCATCCAAAGGGTTCAAATAACTTTGCTTCTTAACATATAAAGCATTATACAAAACAATATATGAAACATAGAGAGCTCTGAAGGTAGGATATGCGTAGTTTATCTCAGTTTGTAAGATTCATAGTGTTTTGGAAGGTTTAATACCTACGACTAGTATGTTATATGAATACGTGATACCTTCGTTGTGAAGATTACCCAGAACCTTATTCTCTACTTATATCTGGGTCATTTTTGATCTACTTGTTGACTTCTTGGAGCGCCGTTAATACCTATGTCACGAATAGCGAAAGTTTGTTTTCCAAAGATATGTACATATATTTAGTAAATAATTTTGTGTAAAGAATTCCGGATGTGTTGTTCAATTTGTAATACCTCCAATCCTTAACACTTAAACACCTATTGGCTTACTATCCCCCGAAAAAGTGACATTTCATCCTACAATCACCTCACTACAATTTCTCAAACTCTGTCTCCCCCTCATACGGCTGCAAATAATTATCCCCCAACCAATCATGTTCGCCCTCCACAACCCCAAAATTGAACGCAACGCGACTCTTGCTACTTCCATTCGCGTCACTCGTATGCATCAAATTACCATGCATCAACACCAGTGTCCCCGCTTGCACCTCCAATTTCCTATATTCGAGTTCCCCAGCCTCATTCCTTCGCGGCAAACTCATATCAGAAACACCCTCAATCTCCGCAAAAACCGGCTCCTCCAAATCCACAAACTCCGGTCTTCCGCTCGCATCTCCCCTACATCGTCGTGTAATCGGTTGCGTACGATGACTTCCAGGAGCAACAGCCAAACATCCATTTTCCACAGTGCAGTCTTCGAGCGCGTACCAAAATGTGGTGCAGCTAGAAGGGTTCGTGAAGCCGGAACAGCCATCTTGGTGTGGAATGACGCGTGCGCCTATTTCGGCAGCTTTGACGATGATGAGACTTTGGATGATGCGGGGATCTTTGTAGCCGAGCGATTTGGCGAGCGTGGAGTGGAAGGGGGTGAGGATGGTTTTGCGGAATTCGGGGATGGTGCGGTGGATGCCGCATCCGATACGCTGGATGCGTTTTAGGGGGTCGATGTTTGGTTGGAAGGCATCTTTGGGGGAAGGTTATGTTATTAGGGGGATAATGAGTTTGTGAACTGCGACTTACAGTCGGTTAATGTGGCAATTGCTCGGCCGCATGGGTGCACATAAAACTCCTGCCCGGGTAGATAGGAATGTTTTTGGACCCTCTCGCCACCGCCAGCAAGTGTCTCTGCTGCATCATGTACAGTCTTGAGCAAGAGATCTTTTTGGGCACCTGATAGTGCATTTGGAATGACTAGGTAGCCATTATCTCTCCAGGATTGTAATTGCTCGTCGCTCAAACGACCTATCTTGGAGTCGTCAGAGGCAACATGTGATTTTGAAACCGAACTTTCGTGCTCAGGTTGCAAAGTGGCATTGCCGGTCATAGGAGACCTGTCGAGTGTTTGGTGAGAAAAATTGTCTATCGCACTTTTCGTAGTTACCGCCAGATGAACGAAATTGTGTCCAAGTAAGGCGGCTCCGTGCATATTGCCACCGTATATGACAGGAGAGTGAAGCTGTAGAAGATGAGATTTCATCTCCAAAACATCGGGGATGGCCTCTGTGAAAGTATCTCCAGAGCTATGATCGTTGGCATTTGAAGGGAGGGAAGATTTCAGTGGTACACTGCTTTCACCTATTTCTCCATCATCGTTTGTCAGGGAGCTCAACTCAAGACCGATATGCTTAGGATTCAATGTGTCGGGAGTGGTGTAGTTCTCGCCTAACGGCATGTTACCGTTGTTGTTGTTCCGATTGTTAAGCAATAATCCGAAAAGAAGTGGTCCATCGCCACCGCTGGATTGATCAGCAAAGTTATTTGACATCGAGACTATCAGGGTTTGAATGTAGTGAAAATGAGCTAGAAACAGGCAAGATAGGTTTAAGGTGGTCACTCTTCTAAAAGTGCGAAAGCATGTGGGTTTACATACTAGGCTTCATTCTCCCCTTATCTTCTCTATGACGTAAAAGCAATATCAAATATCGCATGGAGAGGGGCTAATGGCTTCAACCCCACGCGAATCCTAGTGCTCAGCCAGCCTAATATCTTTAGTCACTTTCACATGGTGGGCATAGTATTGATTCACACACTGTATGGATGAGAATGGCTTTATTCGTGTCGCTCAGCCAGCCTACAATTTCAAGGATGGGGAACATAATAGATAAATCGAGAAAGTAATGCATATAGTATTATTCAACAATCTTGGAAAGCTACACTTGGCCGTTCAATCGGATACTTCGCCTAACAACCATCAATCGTTGTCCAATTAATAACAACCATATAATATAACAATGACGTGAACCTGACCTCAGATTTGATTAGCTAGTTCAGAAATCTAAAGGAGAAGGGGTGGAACAAGAATGAATTAGGAAATGAAAGTATGTAACGTTATTCAACAATCTTGGAAAGCTACGCTTGGCTGTTCAATCGGATGCTTTGCCTAACAACCAACATCCACCATCTTATATATGGCGTCAACCCCACCCCAAATCTGCTCAGCTAATTCACAAAGCTAAAGGATAAGAGGTGGAATAAGGATGAATCGAGAAAGTGATGCATATCATATCTTACAACAATCTTGGAATGCTACACGTGGCTGCCCGATCGCCGGATACTTCGCCTAACAGCTATTGACCATTGTGCAATTAACATCCGCCAACTTATACAACAAAGACTTCAACCCCACGCCAGATCCAATCAGCCACTTGAAAAACTGAAGAATAAGGGACGGAATGAGGATGAATGAGGAAACAAATGCATATGAAATCGTTTCAAGAACCTTGGAAGCTGAGCCCCGCTTTTCGATCGGACGTCCGCCGGACGTCTGCTATATCGCCACCAGCCATCGTCCAATAAACAGCAGTCAGCACGAATACATGATTAAAAAACAAGAAATTTGGAAGCGCGGATGAAGATCTTCAGATCCGAAAGGAAGATGGAGTGGGGGTATAAGCGGGGTAGAACAATATCCCTCCTTTACAATTCCTCGCTTGATTCAGCTCCCAGAAAACCATTTCTACGTTGTAATTTCAACCTCTTTCTTTTCCTTTCCTCTTCAACAAGATATTCAAGACTTCTAAAATTTCATCTTGATAGTGCGTGACTCTTCAAAAACGTATCAACATGGCACCTCACAACCATCATTCCCTTCACACTCAACAGCGAAAACATGGCGATCATGAACATATCATGAAACGACTAGATGGATATATCAAATCGTACAGAAGCGGAGACACGGAAGCGATCATGAAATACTACCATCCAGACAACTTTGTCTACTCGGACTTTAGTGTGTCCTCCCCCCTTCCCTCTTCCATCTTCACTCTTTCTCCCCCAAAGACCAAAACTAATCCCCCAGGTACACCCACACGCCACCTCATGACGCACGACGAAGTCGCCACCCATTACACGAACACCTTCACCTCCTTCCACGATCTCCAAATCAACACGTTATCCCTGCACGGCCACAAAGATTTCACAGCTTGGGAATGGGAAATCTCCTGTAAACCAGCTATTTCGCTGGAGACGGGGGAGCCAGTGCAGAAGGAAGAGGCGCAGGCGCGGAAAGTGGTGGGGTGTACGTTGATGTGGTGGGAGGGGGAAAAGATTGTGAGGAATCATGATTATGTGCAGGTTATGGAAGGGTAGGAGAGCGTGGAGGGCGGTGGGCAGTGAGAATGGTGGAGATGGAATAGGATGGGAGAAAAACAGAAACAGAAATGAAGGGGTTGAGATATCGGGACGAATTATTGTAGAGCGTGCTTGGGACAAAAAGTTCAGTCGAGCGGTGGTTTACTACTTAGGCCGTACTTTGGTTGTTATTTTCCGTTGTTTCCCTCTCTTTTAACCTTTTCTTTTTCTGAAATCAGATTCCACAAAAGCTATATCCAATATCAAAAATACGAATTATTTTGAACTCTTGTACTCGTGAAAATATCAAATTGTATTGATTGTGTATATTCAAATATTCAATGGAAAAAGCAAGTGAAATAAGACAAAGTCTTTAAGTAAAGTTTTCTTAACGATTCATTTTATTATAGGTTGAAATCCTTTAAATAAAGTCTTTAATAGCGTATTATTATTACTTAAATAGTTATTCAAAAGATAGATACATATTTCAAAGATCTTATTTTGAGAAATAGACAGTTAATTCTAGAATGTAACTTGAATAAACTATACTAGTAAAGATTAATAAAACCTATAGAATATATATATAATTTCAAAAAAGTAAACAGAGCTTTTTTCCATCTATCTTTTATTTTCAATCTACTCGAGTATATCAAAATAGAAATAAAGAAATTTAAAATATATACTTCTATTATGATTTTATATACAAAACTTCCTTTCAAGTTTTCATTAGTACTCAATCACTTGACAGAATCCCTTCCATCCCTTTCCTATACATTCAAAAATATTCAAAGATATCAAAAGAAAACACAGGTCACCTCATAAAAAAGCCAATAAAAGACCATCTATCTTTTTCCATCCATATATAACCCAACTAACTCTTAGAGTAGATAAGAATGACATATGATATACCGTAATAGTACCCAGTATTCCCAATACCCAAATGTATGTTTGTATAATACAGAAAAGTCGACTTGTACTCGAGTACAGAAAAGTCGACTTGTATATAGATTAATGAGACTTCGTTCGTGCTCAAGTACCACTTTCCATATTTCAAATTAATGAGTACTATAATAAATGATATCACTATAATCAACTATACTTTTATTACTCAATTACAGCAATTTAACCAAAGCGTTTTGAACAAAATTCTACTCGTATTTGTTAAGGAATTTAATTATGGGTTGTTTTTGGAGATACAAGGTGCTTAGTATCTAGGATATCGATATATTATTTAAGAGCTTGAGACTGAGAGATTGAGAGATTGAGAGGAATGAAGAGGTTGGATTCACTTGAAGAAACGAATCTACTCGAGTATTTCAAAGAGAGAAGAGAGCTCGAAATCATTTGAAACTTTCCAAATTCAATTCCTCAGACTAAACTAAAACCTTAATCATCAAAGATATAAAAAGATTTATATCTAAAATCTTCTTGATAGATTGCCATAAATAACACTTGTTATATGAAGAAGAGTTTACTAGAAACGTTTGTATCGACGACTCATTGAAGCACATTCCTAATCCCATGGTTGCACAAGTTTCGCGCTTATGACATCACATTGCTTTATGTAACTCCTCCCACACTACTCGAATATATCTTAACGCTTCCGAGTCCCTGGACCTCCCCACTCTAATACCGTTAACTCTTCCACCTCCAACCCCCCCTCCCATCTAATCATCCCCTCCAATCCCCAACCCTAAAAATGTTAAAAGCGCAACGTTCAACCCAGCAATCACAAACCAAAGTAACCATCCCACTCCTGTGACCACCCACCCATTAGCTAGACTAACTGTGCCCTCTCCTCTCCCCATCTCTCCCCCTTCTGCATCCCTAACCACACCCCTCAATCCTCCCTCCAAAACCCCCACCACCCTATTCCCATTCCCAACTTCACCCCCATTCCCCTCCCCATAATCAACGCCATCATCAACCCCAACCCTCATATACCTCTCACAACACGTATACCACACCAACGGAAACGTAACAAAGATCAACGAAACCGACAACACCACATTACACGCATTCAGCGCCTCCGCAAGGCCCCTCTCCCCCATCGCCACCGCAACCACCACCGCCGGCCCAATCGAAACCAGCCTCGTAACCAACCTCCTACAAAAAGGCGACACGCGCCACTCCATCGCCCCCTCACAAATAAGTTGACCCGCCATCGTCGCCACAATCCCCGCACTCACACCCGAGAACAGCAATCCCACTGCAAAAAATGTACCTGCCGCCTGCCCAATCGTATCCACAAAAAGATAGTACATGCCCTGTAAATCCGCATCGTGGTTTGCATCCTCCGATAGACTAGCGGCTGCGACGATCAAAATGGCGGAATTGACAAAACTGGCGACTACGAATAGTGTGATGCAGAGTTCCGCTATGGTATATGTCATGCAGGATTTGATAGCAGAGAGGGTGGGTCGATAGAGCATGATTGCGAAGCGCGAGTCGGATGTGCGGGTTTCGTGGTATTTTTCATTTTGATGATCGAATTCGCGCATGCGGGCTTGCACGAGACCAGAGCCCAGATAGATGGTATGAGGCATGAGGTTCCCGCCTAGAATGGCACAGGATTGGAAAAGGCTAGATGTCTTAGGTTATGAGGAAATGAAGAGTGGGGGAGGAGTGCTTGCCCTTGACCCATGAATATTGTTTTCGAGGGGAGCACACCCTTGAAAACCTCGCTGGCGGGCGCTGTAATAAAAGAAAGTTCTATGCAGAACATGATGAAGATAGTAATTACGAATACGGAAATGATCATCTCAAAAACTCGTAAACGTCGTATGGAGCCATCTGGTTTGTAAAACAACAAGATGAAAAGAGTGTCTGAAACCGAAATCACACATCCGGCTATCAGGGTGATCTTGGGATTGAGTAAATTGAGTGCAATAGCCGTGCCAATCACCTAAACAAAAGTAAGAAGTCTGTGTATGATAGGGAATAAGAAAAGAATACTTGTCCAATATCAGTACATATGATAGCAGCCTCTGCCAGTATGTATAAAGCAATATTCAACCAAGGGTGCAAATGAGCCCTGTTCATCTGAGCTAAGTCCATACCAGTCACACATCCTAACTTCGTTGAGAGCGCCTGCCTTTTATTAGCAAATAACCAGCAACAATATTTTTACCTATTGGCGAGAACTGACCTGTAGAAATACAGCTACCATGTTAGAGAACACCACTGCACAAAGTAATTTATACTTAAATTTTGCACCCGCTGATAAATCCGACTGATAGTTATCAGGGTCGATATATGCCACGCTGATGATAGCACCTGGGCCAGTGAACTTGGCAAACTTCCATAGTAATTCTGCTACTCGTTGTGCATATCGTAGAGGCAAGGAACATTGGGAGAAACGTGAATGCAAGGAAGAATCTAACGAAGAATCTTGAGGTTCATTCTCGGTCACTACAACGATGCTGGGCTTCTTCTCAAGGGAATGGTTTGATTTGAGACTGCAGTCTATAGGTTCAGCTGAGGAAATATGAATCCCAGGTTGGTCCATACTTGGTTGTTTGAGGACTACTCAGGAGGATGGTCATCCCTTATATTTTCCCAGTCCACGGAGAGCCATATCGCAAATTTTCACAGCTTAATGTGAGCTTGCCAACAACGGTTCGGTCGGCCATTCTAAGCCATCTCTCCTTTAATTGGGTGATTCTGAGCTGCACTTAGTTTATCCCTTTTATTTCATAGCTTTCCATTGAAGTGATTGGCTTATCACTTCATTTCCACTCAGCTAGATCAATAAACTTGATCCCACTTTGAGAGGAACTATAGTTCAATAGGTTCATTGATACCTACCGTCTAGTATCCCAAAGGCTTCATTAGGCTAAGGCATTTACAATTGAGTTTTCTGATCACTGGATAGATAAAAGACTGGAGTGAAATGTGGTAGCACGAGGTCGCCAAGTTCTTCAGCTCAATTCCACATTCTGCCGTCGCGAGCCGCACCGCTGAACTGCCTGCTCCTCTCTGATGAATAATTAAACATGTGATGGACATTGATCACTGGATGAATGTTATGCGGTAAAACAGTGGTGATTCGGCATCCTTCTGATGTAACAAATGTGAGGAAAAGATTGAAATACTTTGCCGCTTCTTCGGGCAGGGGTAGGATTGCATCCGCACTTGCATGGCGGTCTCGTGCCGATTTTCTGTCATTTTATGCTTAAGTAACACCTAGAATTGACTGCAAAATTATCTCCATTCGATAAAGAGAGCTATAGGTCGATTTCATATAAATTAAGATCACCGTCGAACCATGAAGAACTCACCCGCCAAAAACGCCAGATATAAGCCCGCCGATCCCCAACCCATCCACCTTCGGCCACCCACGAACACGATCCCGCAAAGCGTTACACTGGACCCCCACATACAAGCCACCTCAGATATACCCACGCTATCTCTCAAAGCCTTCAAATCACCAGCAAGAAATAGTACGCCCGCACATAATGTCAGCAGAAAGATATTTGAGCCGGTTGTATTCGCGATGATGATTCCTCCCTGCCTTTTCTTTCCGGAAAGTATGGCGATAAGCTTTTCAGGAAGAGTTGTCGCGATTGAAAGGATAGTAGTGCCAAGAACGGTAGTGGATAGAGAAAGTGTCGTTGCTAGAGACGAGAGACTATGAGATAGAATATACCCGGAGAGGGAAAGTGCGAGAAGACCTAGCGTAAGGTGTACAATATGGTTTATAATGGAACGGGCAGTCTTGCGTTGGATTTTGAAGTTATCTTTTAGACTAGTTCCTTCATTTTGTTCTTCGAAAGATTCTCGCGGTGGAAGATTTTCATAGTCATCGTTAGACCGTGACATGGTTTGAAGTCTAGTGTTACTTGAGTGAATTGGAGAGCGTGACTTTTCAAGCGAAGTCTCATCAAAGTCCCTCTCATCCGAAGAAGTATCACTGTCACTATCCGAGTCATTCTCTGGCGCTTCCATGATGCCTTGGTATATTGCATATGCTATGGATGCGACATATGTCCCAAAGACAGCGATAAGCGTCGCTCCTACTATTCTTCCCAAAGATTCGAAGAAAAGAATGAATATCGATAATAAAGTAGTGATGATGAGAAGAATAGTGGTGTAAATTTTTGAGCTTTTGTCAAATTTAATAGAACTGGGATAGAAGATAAGACCTAGAGAGAATGCACCTAGAATATTTGAGATGTATGATCCAATGATATTACCAATTGCGAGCGAAGATTGATGCTGGGAGATGGCGGCCACGACCACGACAAGCTATCTTTTGTCAGTTTCTCATACTGTTTTTGATTGTTCTCACATACTTCTTCCCATTCGGCACCTGAAGTTAGCAAAGCGATCAATGTTGGTGACACATTCAATCGAGCTGCCAATTTCGCAGTGTTGTCAATGAACTTGTCAGCACCAAATTCAAGGACAAAGAGTCCACTGATGAAGGCCGCAATGTTGAAGGCGATAATATCGAATTCTGCCATATTTGTTGGAAACTGCGTATTCGTTGTATTCGAGTACATTGACCTTATTTTGAAGAATTTGAAAAAGAGAGAAAGCCAGAAGCGAGGAAAGCACAAGTAAGTACTTTCTCAAATGGGAACGGAAGACTAGCAACCGAGATTTGCGATGCTGTACGAACCCAGATCATGAATAGGACCATCTCTAGTGGACAACACCCAGAGGAAAAGATAGGATAATAGTTAGATGCAACTCGAACACCCGAAGTAAAACGGATACCGACAGATCTTGCGCAACAATGTACCACATGCATAGAAGTCGTTACAAGTCCCCTAGGGGTCAAGGGAATCTGATCGTTACATTCCATTCTATACATGATAATATGTATGACCTTGGTTCCTTGGATATTGAGATGGACTAATTACTTTGATTATCTCATTACCCTTAACTGACTGAAAAAGCTCTTTCTGATTAACTACCTGAAAATAGGTAAAGAGCCCATATAAACAAGGAGACTCCATATTTACATGACCAATTTCCTCTTCTAAAGAAGTCTTTTTGGTTGTAAGACTCAGAGTACGATGAATCATGATGAGGTTTAGTGGCGACCGAGTATGCCAAATCGCTCTCCAAACGCCCATCTCCAACAAGAACACCACCTCCGCTCAAACTCCCGCTTCAACAGCCGGTACTCCCAAACTCCAATCAATCTCCGCATGTTCCCCATACTTCTCATTCAACCACGCATTTGTCTTCTTGAAATGTTCACAATCAAACCATCCCCTACTCGCACTCAAAGGACTTGGATGCACACTCATCAAAACGCAATGTTTCTTCCTATCCACCTTTGCAACTCTTTTTCCCGCCGGACTTCCCCATGCCAAAAATACCACTCCTTTTGTTCTCTTGAGAGCAACCGTATCTATGACTTTTTGAGTAAATTTCTCCCAGCCATGGTTTGCATGGGAATTGGGTTGGTGCGCTCGAACGGTAAGACAGGTATTGATGAGGAGGACACCGCGGTCTGCCCAGGGAGTGAGGAGACCACCGTTATTTGGAGGTGGTTTAAAGTCTGGGTAATCTTTTGCGAGGGCTTTGAAAATGTTTCTGAGAGAGGGTGGAGCGGGTGTAGGAGCGCGGACGGAGAAACAGAGACCGTGGGCTTGGTTGAGGTTATGATATGGATCTTGACCGATGATTACAGCTTTGACGGTATTGAAAGGCGTATGTCTTGACCTGTTCATTTGCTATGATTAGCTACTTGCCACTCAAGTTCAAAAGGAATAAGTGATCGGTGTGCACATATAAGATAAAACAAAAGAATATATACCAAGAATAAACATCCTCCATCGGTGGAAATATCTTATCCTTTCCCTCCAATTCCTTCTTCAGAAACTTCTTCAACTCCAGAAATTCTTTCCCCAGAATCTCATCTTTCAATACCGACAACCAACTCTCATGAAGCGTATCAATTTCCAATTTTAACAGATCCTTCTGCTCATCGGTCAATGTAGCCACCCATTTCTCCTTGTTGAATTTGAATGCAGCAGGAGCTGGTTCAATAGTTTCTGTAGATGTACCAGTTACTTTGGTAGTTGAGGAAACGGTTTTTGGTGGTCCAAAGAATGAGGTAATTGATCCGTTAGCTTTGGGCTTTTTGGCATCATTGGTAGGGTTTGTGGTTGCTTTGCGTTTGAGCGACATGATAGGTGTTCGGTGCCAGGAACGAGGATGAAAGAGGAGTAGAAGAGACACTTTGACGGAAGTTAATATTCTATGAGTTGAGCTTTATGAAGATGTATATATTAGAATATTGGGGTTCGTTACTTCTTGTCAGAATATCTAAGAATATATGATGGCAGTTCGCGTTGAGAACGCCTCTGACGCGTAAAGTAAATTTACTGGGGTACGCGATATCAGCGGCCTCCTAGCCAAAGGAAAATCTGGGGTGTAAGTTGAGTTACGGCGATAGAGTAGGTAATCGATCACAATATTACAGCCAACTTGACATCATGATATAAGATTTGTTTCTCTTTTAAGTTTTGAATCTATTAATGTTATTCGAGCGATCTTATTCTCTATGATCTCTAATACAGTACAAAATTTCCAGAAAACCGCTCAATATCGCTGTGCAATCAAACAGTTGATGTTACAATACCGTGTTCCTTTTGTGCGCCCCAACCGACCAGAAAAGGGGAGATTTTGTTCACATCACTCGGTTCCTCGCTTTCGTTCCGCTTTCTCATTTACGCTTCTAAATGATCTCTTCCCTACTTCATAGCAACTGATCATTATCGCACATGCTGGAGCAACCTTCAAAGTCCTAGCTACCCATCCCTTCCATAAGCCGCCAATACCCTCTTCTTTGAAGATGTGCATAAGAAATCTTGGCATGGATTGTTCTTCAGGAGCTAAGACCTTTTCGACTCCTACTGCTGTTTTCCCCGGTTCCTGAAAGATTTGTCTTCGTGTCTTTCCGACATCGAAAGGCATAGTCAGAATAGAAGCAACGGCTCCAGATGTCGCTCCGGCGATGAAACTGTCGAGGAATGTCGCTGTGTGTTTCTCTCGACTTTGTGACCTAGTACGCAATTGACCTCTAGAAGTATTCTTGTCATATGTTCTCCCTCGACCGCGCTCTCGTGCATCTGTCAATGTCCCTCTTATTGATTCATAACCCCACCAGTAAATTCCGGAAAATGGAACGTCCCTCCAAAGTGTTAAAGTTAATCCTCGCCACAGAGAGGTATAACCATGAAGCGAAACCATTTCACCAACACTCTTCACAGTTTCTGAAAAATGTGCCCCCCCAGTTGCTTGACTAGCCTGCATTCTGGTTCTAAACATTTCGATCGGACTGACGACTGCAGCAGCTATGGTTCTGGCAGAGGCACCGGCAGCAAGAGGGGCATAATTGTCATGGAACGTTCGATTGATGGGACTTTGAGTGTTAAATCGCAGCCAATCGTATCCCGTAAAGTATATGATATTCGAAGGAACCGTCATAACCAAAGTAGGTGATAGTCCTCGCCATAAAGTTGTGAGCCCTTCATTTCGCGCAATCTTTCGCATTCCATCAAAAGTCGAATTGAAGGTTTTCCTTTGTGTTTCTTCCACGGCACACCCAACACCCTCCATTGCACCAATTCTAGGTGCAGCCATACAACCATCGCTCGTTGTGCCACTTGTGAAAAAGACTTCCCGACAGCATGCCGTTATTCCCAGGTTTGGTGGAAGTGTGCCGAAAGTTTGAGGGGATGCCATAGCGGCTTTGCGAATTGCTATTAATGGAGACTGAGAAGGCTGTGATTGTAGACGAACTCTGACAACATCTAGAGGAGTCACTATAATAAGAGTATTAGCTGAAGTTGTGAAGGGCTTTAGATAAAGGTGGCGCTACCTAATAGCGAAGTTAATAGACTTCCAGACATTGCCGAGATCATCTTTTGAGATGCGGTGATATCGATATCAATATCCTCATTATCGCCTGTCATGGCTACAGTTGCTGATACTCCAGGTATCAAGTTATCTCCATGTATTCTATCATGTCCTAAATGCTCGGATCCAAAGCTTGTTGAGAGTTGATCGGCCACAGGTGAAGGGCGATTATCCCAAAGGCCGGACATGAACTTTTTGTTTGAGTAGAATGACGTCGAATTGAAGAGTAAGGTTAAGTTTGAGTGATTGAGAAGTAAAAAAAAAGAGCAGAAATCATTAACGTCGTGAAAATCAAGTGTATATTTGTATATTTTGGAAAAGAGGGGAAATATGGCTTATTGTGTTTCTACTGATCATCAATTATGATTTAATTACAACCGTGAAGTGAATAGACCGAAAAGTTAGCTCGACTTGCCCGCGATCTTCAAGAAGTCAAGATTCTCCAATTTTCCAAAATAAAGAAAATGGGAACAGGAACCGAGCGATAACGGAACTTGCGGTGATAAGAGAAATTATGTCAGCGGCGATAAGATAGCGTCGGAGTGAAGATTGAGGACTTTCTCTAAAATCAATAGATGAGTTATTAACATCAGAGAAAAACATTAACATATAGTGAATATTTCCTAATCTTTTTTATATTTCTCTAACTCTCACTCTCATACTCACCTCATTTTAATCTCCTATCTCTCTAAAGTGTACAATATGGAAGATTCGAACCCCGAATTAGAAACATTTCGCAAGCAATGGCAGGAAGAAGTGACTAGAAGGGCAAACGTTGCCCAGTCACAGTCACTCCCAGGTCAAAACATTCAGGTGGCTGGCCCTTCTAATTTATCACCAAGCCCTCCACGGCCAAAAAATACATATGATGCTTCTAAAACCACTGACGAGGACGATGCTGTTGAAACTCAACCACTGCACTTCGATAGCCCAAGTGGCGCCCCTGGAGGAGTGGAAGATGATGGAATTCACAGACACGGTAAGAAAAATGGCATCAGTGAGCCACAAACAGCTTTGGAACATTATGAAAAGGCGGTAGAGAGGGAAGTTCAAGGTAGTTTGGGAGACAGTCTTGATCTCTACCGCAAAGCATTTCGAGTAAGTTCAGTCTCAGCTGAATCTAATTTACAAAACTCTTACTGACACTCACAAGCTTGACGATCAAGTTGATCGAAAATATAAGAACAAACATTTCCCACCATCTGCCTTCCCGCCGAAACCTAAAAACGTCAACCCATCCAATGCCTCTGCCACAGTACCTAATACTGCACACCACTCACTAGATGGGCCCCCACCGACTTTCAAACAGTTGATAGAAAGCTTCTCAGATTTATCAATTGAACCCGAACCACCTGAAATTGAGGGGACTCCGGCTCCCCCATGTCCCATTGCAGACTTACCCGATGAAATCCTCATACAAATATTCAAGCAAGTGGCAATTCGGGACGTGGCAGATTTCACACGACTCTCACAAGTATGCAAACGCATGGCATATCTTGTAGCTACGGGAGAACAAATCTGGAAAAGGGTCTGCATCGGGTCAGAGGTCGGCTTTGGGGCAATGCATTATCAATGGCAAACAGACGTCATGGGAGAGTCCCTTGATATGGAGCCTCAACTGCTCATACCCTCAGCAGACTCGGATGAGAAACCCACCCCTTTGATGCCCCTAAGTGCTGATACCATAACTCACTCTGTCCTCCAATCAACCTATTCATCATCATGGAAACAAATGTTCCGCCTCCGTCCACGCATCCGTTACAATGGCTGCTACATAAGCACTGTAAATTATATTCGAGCCGGGCAAGCCTCCCCTTCAGCAGTGAACTGGAATTCCCCAGTCCACATTGTGACATACTTCCGCTACCTCCGTTTCTTTCGCGATGGCACGGTAATCTCCCTTCTAACCACTACCGAACCTAGCGAAGTCATTCACCACTTAACTAAAGATCTTCTGGAATACCACAGGAAGAACAAATCTTCCCATCTCCCATCCTCAGTGATGGGCGACGCTCGCCGCGGCCGCTGGCGCCTGTCCTGCCTCAACGATTCCCCTCCCCCAGATTCCGATCTAGATCCCTCTTCAAAAGCTGGAGGATCAGAGGGTACGTTGTATGTGGAAACAGAAGGGGTTGATGAAAAATATGTGTATAGAATGGAGTGGAAGATGACTAGTGCAGGGAGAACAGTCAGAAACAACAAATTGGCATGGAATGGATTCTGGAATTATAACAAGTTGACAGATGATTGGGGGGAGTTTATATTGAGGAATGATAAAGCTTTCTTCTGGAGCAGGGTGAAGAGTTATGGGGCGGGTGGATGATGACATTCGACCTTTGGAATTCCAACAACGAGACGCGTTAATAAGGCTTCCACTTGGCTGAGCTGGATGCATATTATTGCATGGACTATGATTTTTAAACGGTCAGTCGCATAACAGATAGTAGGGTGGCAATTCGGCTTTGCGGTCAGTATTGAAATGGGTGCCAACCCAGAAGAGATGTTGATATTGTCATATATCATGCCCGCCCGGAATGAGTAATGATTATGACCCTGAGAATAGCCTGAGAATAGATGCAATAGACTATATACAATAGACAGAAAATATACTTCTTGATTCTACAAATATCTCAATTGATCCAGAGAAATTATTCGCTGACGATGGTCACTCATTGATTTCCTCCTTTTACTGATGTTAAATTAAAACAAAACTCTTAAAATAACTTAGCTTCGATGTTTTAGAACAGACAAAAATACAAAATATCGTGCTTTGTCATCCAATCCGTTAATCCACCAATCCACATTCTTTCCCCGAATCATCGCCGGATAAAGTCATTTATCACGTGATACAAACCAATGACTTTCACGATTCTAGTTCATGATTTCCTGTTTCCCCTCCCAAAGGGGCCCACCCACTAACGGCAGGCTTTACAAAAAGTGGCCGAAAAGAGTCATCGATCTAGTTGCAAAGTTTCATGGCGAGCAAGTTGCCCTCAACGGCTTTATCTTTATTTTTATCGATATCTAGACAATTGTTGAAATCTACTTCTGCAAGTTATATATCTACATTCTTACGCCAAGGAAGTCAAGCAAGCAAACCAATTCAAGCAAGGAAAGCAACGACCTTCTTCCTTTTTTCCAGAACAGCCGAGCACGCGAAAAACTTCTCCTCACAACATCTCCCGCAACATCATCTGGCCTCAATCACCACCAGACATATTCAATTCAAATCCCGGCACTTTTCAAGCTCGACACATCTATCTCTTGCGAAGCAATCTTCGATCAAAGGAGTCAAGATGGTTAAGGAAGATGAATATATCCTGACACTGTCATGTCCGGATCGTCCGGGCATTGTTCATGCCGTCACGGGATTCCTCTCGCAACATAATCTCAATATTGTCGATTCGCAACAATTTGGAGATCCTACCAGCTTGCGCTTTTTCATGAGAGTGCATTTTGCTCCTCCTATTGCTTCTGCTTCATCGACCGAGTTCAAAAAATTGAGCGTCGAGGAATTGAAGGGAGCTTTTGAGAGCATTGCGAAGGATATGAGTATGGATTTCCAACTCGATTCTTTGGCCAAGAAACCTCGAGTGTTAATCATGGTTTCGAAAATTGGTCATTGTCTTAACGATTTATTATTCCGTCAAAGCATCTCGCAACTCGGTATCGAAGTCCCCCTCATCGTATCCAACCATGCGGATTTTGCCCCCTTGGCCCAAACATACCAAATTCCCTTCCACCATCTCCCCGTCACCGCCGCCACCAAAGCCGCGCAAGAAGGCAAGATTCTCGACTTGGTGCGGGAAAACAACATCGATTTGATTGTTCTGGCGCGATATATGCAAGTGCTGAGCCCCACGCTGTGTACGGCGATGAGCGGCAAGATTATCAATATTCATCATTCGTTCCTGCCGAGTTTCAAGGGCGCGAAACCTTATCATCAGGCGTATGATAGGGGGGTGAAGATTATTGGGGCCACGGCGCATTTTGTCACGAGTGATTTGGATGAGGGTCCGATTATTGAACAGAATGTGGTGAGGGTGGGCCATGGGTTGAGTCCCAGGGAGTTGACGGAAGAGGGCAGTAATGTGGAGAGTAATGTTTTGGCGACGGCGGTCAAGTGGGTGACGGAACGGAGGGTTTTGTTGAATGGGCATAAGACGGTGGTTTTTAATTAGAGGGTTGGTGAGGGTATATATAGGGTTGGGGAAGTTTGGGGCGGGGGAAGGGGAAATAATAAAAGTTTGTTATATGATTTAGAATTTCATATCATCTGTTTTCCTCACTTCAAAACGAGAAACCAAAACCAAAACCAAAACCAAGTTTACACTTTCATATTCACATCCATATCCACATCCACATCTACATTCCTATAAGATTTCATTTGAGAGAATATATACTAGATACGCCTTGTATAAAAAGGCATAGATCTTTGAAGCTCGAATAGTTGATTCGAGATTTGAGAATTTGCGGATTCGAGAGAATTATATTAAATTTAATACTCAAGTACAGATATAGATATTTAAATACTATATATTAATAACAAAAAGAAATCTATTGTAAAAGAGTGAAGGTAGGTTTGAAATCATAGGAGTAGTAGTAGTAGTAGTATTATTTTACATCAGGAGAGCAGCTTATGGCTGCCCTCAGAACCTCCCTAGGGGTATGCAGATGTTCTAAGCTATGGTCTTACGATATATGAAATGAGAGTGCCTTAGAAAGAAAAGTGAAAGTCTTATGGCTATTCCTGGTAATTGTATGTTACCTTCCAATTTGTGTATTCTCTCTTTCGCTGGTTAAGGTAGTTTTGCTATCTTGCCTGGTGTAGATGGGTATGCCCTTGTTATAGGCTTGCTATTGCTTGTACTGAGCAGATTGATAGGTTGCTTTTGGTGTAGTTGCTTAGATGTTTGTTATACTCCGGGAAGTATTCTCAGATATGTTTTCACATATTTTGTTAATATTCAATCAGGTTTTTTATATCTATTGTTATTGTTGTTTCTTTGTATATACTCTGTAAAAAGAGTTTGGGGCTTTGTTTGTATTATACATTGTGAGTCGGTCCTGGTAGTGGGTATAGCTTGTTGCAGGTTTCTAGATTGTTTTAGGTATAGAATGCAGACTTGTGATCCTTTATTTAGGGCATATATCTTTGTAGAACTTCGTGAGCTTTAGTAGCTTAGCGAAATCCGTAGGGTTATTTAAGACTTATCGGAGGTATTCGATATCTTTCTCATTTGTCGATAATGGTTTAAGTGGCTTGTTTGGCCATTATTCAAAGGTGCCTTTTGCCTTCTGGCAGTGCATCAGGTGAATAGGGGTTTTGGGCCTTTCACAGGAGTATTCTGTGTCTCCTGTATGTCCAAATTTCCTGTGATACTATTCGAAGTCTCTGTGTGAGATTCAGATGGCTATCAGCCTGTGTAGAATTACTTGTAGAAATAGAAGCTCCAGGAGTGGTTTGACCTTGTAGACCAGGTCCCACTATTTGTACCATAACGAAAGAGCAGGTTTGTATAATATCCACCATTCTTGGCGGGCCTCTTCTTTGAGGGTGTGTATAATCGATCTCACTCTATTGTATATGGGTTGAGATGCTGGTCCGGTATCCCAACTAGGTTTCTTGACACCAAGGTCAGCGAAGTGATTAGCCACCTTATTTCCCTCAATGCTTTTATGTCCCGGTGACCACTTGACACGAATATCGTGGTCTTTTATAGCCTTATAACAATTATTGAACACCTATTGTAATAATATGGAGGCATTGGCCCTTATACCTTAGATGACTGAGGCATTATCGATACACATCCAGATTTTCTGGTTGATATACCTGACATCCTTGAAAATATATTCCAGACTTTTCTATACTCCGATGGCTTTTGTATCGAAGATATATGATTAGATGTTGATAAAGCCGAAGTCTGTCAATATCTAGTTTTTGTTTAGGTATATTATATATCTATAATCTACAATATACTTTCCTTTCATATAGTTTTCCGATTTATCCGAGAAGATGGTGATATCTGTGCCTGACAGGTTTTCCTACCAGGTGTTGAAGGCCTTTGCAGCCGTTTTCTTGTCGATCCCTTCTGTTGGATCTATTCAGTAGTTGGTTGTATACCGTAGTGGCTCGAGTGTAAACCTTGGGATCAGGGGGATAAGGAGACCAAGTTGTTGGACTTTAGTCTTCACTCTTTGTCTTGAATCTATATCTCGCCTTTTAACAATTATAAAGAATTCGATTCTTTTTGTAAACGGGTAGATTGTATCTATGTTTTGGAGATGTAAGGCAAACCTTAGTTTGGCTTCCTTGAAGGCTGCCATAACTGAGGGGAGACCTGCTTCACAATAAAGGGTGGTTACCGGTGTGGTTTTCCAGACTGGTATGACTCCTTGTATTGCCACTGTAAGAATCTTTTCGATTTGTGTTATATACCAGTTAAGACGGGCACTAATCTTTGTCTGTCCTGCTTTTAGTCTTTGTACAACTTTGAACCTGCTATCATATCAGGTCTCAATCCTGTACAGGAGTAAGGATAATATATATATCGTTATTGTCTTGCACATAGCGTATGCCAGAGAATCTTGTATAACTTTGGCTAGATCTCGGATATGCTTTGTTATTACCCTGGTTTTGTTTATGCATTCGATGATATGCCTACGAAAGTTTAGCTTTCTGTCGAACTACACTCCCAGCCATCTTAGTATTGGACAGGTATTTGTTTCTGTGACCATTATCGGGTGGATTGTAAGTTCTTCATTGACCCTGATAGTAGGTATTATATTACCATTATTTATAAAGATATAAATCATTTCCAGTTTCTTTAGAATGAAAGCGATACAATTGTTCAATCTCTATTGTATAATATCTTGTATATCTTTAGTGAGGTATCTGATGTTTTTCTCCAGGGTTTTGGATATTCTATATAAGTATATGTCATCTATATATCTAAATCTGAAGAAAATGTTTTGTAAGAGTAGTTCTGCCAGGTATAGTATATATAGAACTAATAATAGAAAGGAATCCTAAAGGGTTCTGCAAACCACCATATATTCCCTGATTATAACTTACTCCAGTTATACTCTGACTTTCCTTTTTATTAGAAAGAAATTGATTAATAGGAGAAGATCCTTGGATCAGTCTTGTTTTGTCATCCTAGCAAATAGCCATCTTTTGAGCAAGGTATCGAAGACGCCTTGTATGTTTATAGTGACCATGATTATTTTCTTGCTGGTCTTCAGTATTGTTTTTATATTATATATAAAGGATACTACTAGGTCTATCACGGATCACTTGGGCAGGGCTCCGTTATGTTAAGGGTTAATGATGCTATACCTTAGGGCTGTCCAGTCTAGGCGTTTGGCAATTATTCTTTCCAAGCCTTTTCCTATATAGGAGAGCAGGGCAATGGGTCTCCATAACCTTGCAGATATCATATCCTTTTTCCCGATTTTGGGTAGTATGACCATTTCAATTAGTTTCCAAGTTTTCGGGAAATAGCTGTGTTCAAGGCATTTCTGGTAAAACTGTCTTAACGGGTTCTTAAGATAGTCCTAACAGACTTTGAGGATCCTAATTGTAACTTGGTTAGTTTCTGGGGATGTACTGGATACTTCAATAATATTTGTTTCAACTTCTTCTAATGTAAACCAGGAGTTCTAGGGTAAATGCTTGCTTTTTTTTCATTAGTCTCTCAGTGGATTATGTTCCAGATTGTTTTCTGTATTGAAATAATCCAGTATTTCAGTTCTGAGTGCTTCGGCTTTTTCCATCGAGTCTTCTATCACTACTCCGTTTGAGATGATTGAAAAGCTTTTGAGGTTTGGGGCTAGTTTGTGCCAGTTGACTATCTTGTATAAATCTTTATCACTAGAGATATTATTTATGATATATCGCTAGTAATTGTATTTGACTACTCTGACTATTGTTTTGAACTTTTTTATTGCTGTAATGAAGAGGCTTCCTAGCATGGCTTGTCTGCTCAGGTATTCGATATAGACTTTTTTGTATTCTGCTATCCATCAGGGTACTGCTTTGTCTTTCCCTCTATCTGTAATTCCTATTGCAGTTATTACTTGCTTGATGATTTGTATGATTTGGTCTGCAAAGTCATCTATTTTCTCTGGTATATCCAGGGTATTGTTTGTAGACAGATATACCATTCTATTTGCTATTAATCCCGCTAATCATAATAATTCCGTTTCCGGGACACAGATATTATGTTGATCTAAAAGCTTGATGTCTCTGTCAGGTATTGTTGTTATTAGGGTGTAGTGATCTGAGTTATTATATAGGTCGTGTCGGACCCTGGTTTCTGCAAATAATATATTGGAGAATGTGAGGTTAAGCATATTTCTCTTTATATAAATAAGTACTCCTTTTTCTCTAATGAATTCTAGTTTTACCAGGTTTACCTATATTGCTAGTTCGTTTCCTCCACATTGGTTTTCCGATCCAGGTTGCCATGTTTCATGTATAGTATTGAAGTTGTCTCCAATAAGGCATCCTAGGGGTGGTTATAATTCAGTGATGTATGTTAGCATCTGTTCTATTTGTAATTATCTGTATATGTTCAGTATAGGGTACCCGTTCATGTTTATCCAAAGTATATCACAGCTTTTGATTGGCTGTCTTTATTGGGTTTATAGTTTCGTTTTTTTTTTGATATATATCAGTACTCGGGGTTTTTCTGTCTTTCTTTGTTCAGGAGATATTCTTGTCTATAAGTCTACTGGTGTATATAGGGTTTATCCGGGATATATTTTGGTTTTTGTAAACAGGAATATAAAGGGTTTCTGTATATATAGAATATCTGATTTGTTTTCAAATACTATTTATAATAATGTATTATAGGCCTCTGGTATTCTGCTTACATTCGCTTAGTAGATTGTTAGATCCTGTATCCTGGGTTGTTGATGATTATATACGTTATTCTGATGCGTTGAACATCTACTCATATACATTGGGTTGGGAGTCCTCCTTTATTTCGGTATCCTACTGAATGCCAGTCAGGGCTTTTTTATTGAATCTTGATTTCAACAAGGGTTTTCGTCTCAATCAGCTTTTTGCTACTGTGCCTCTTCTGAACTGTATTTTCATCATATTGTTTCCAATATTTTCATAAGCAATGATCTGCTCTCCCCAGCACTTGAATATTGATGTAGAGATGGGTATATGAGTAGATATATCTAGTACAAACCCCTTTTTAGAGTTGTTCTTAGGCTTTTGATTGGTGAACATTACTGTTTCCATAGTCAAAGCCGGTTTTCGAATAGCTTTAAGTTGTGACTTGGTAGGTATTGTAACCTTGCTATCCACTATCTTAGGTGCTGTAGGGCAATTCTGGTATCCTACCGCGAAGAGTCTAAAGCAATTAGTATATCGTGCTTTTGCTGTATAGTTGGGTCTTTATGGGCCTTTATGTGTATCTTTTTGTACATTACAGTTTGTACAGCGGGTGAGCCTAGTATATCTTGCTGGATTGTATTAGCTCTGGTATCCAGTGTTGTGTCGGATTATTGTAGGTTTTGCCTTAATCTCTCGTACTAGTTCGTTAATATTAAAGAGCCTGAAACTGTGAACTGGTTCTAGGAAGGATATTATCTATATGATTGTGCCGTTGTGGGGATTAGTCCTATAGTATGAGGGTTTGCAGTTAACTGGGGTTTGGCTTGTCTATACTTAAACCTCCGTTTTTATGTGATTCACTGTATCAGCTGGAAATTCTGCTATTATACAGATCGATACTAGAACTCCAGGGATTGCATAATTGAACCAGGTTATCGATTAGTATATTTGCATATCTTGGCTGATTCTGAGAATAATCTCTTTGTTCTCCTATGTAAAGAATAATGTTTAAATAACCAGGTTTTTTGGTGTAATAACCTATTCCATCTTGATGATAGATATGATAGGGACATCTACTAATATCAAATCCGTAATTATTTCAATAAAAGCGTTTTTTAGTGTATACAGGGCTGGTCTGTTAATCCGGACTACAGGACTGATAGCTATTAGTAGTCTGTAGTCCATGCTCCAGGCGGTTCGTGTCGCCTGTTGTTTAACGTATACGTTGTCGTGTGGGGCCTTTGGTGAAGCCTTTTGGGGTGTGGGTAGGTTCTTTTGGTCTGCCCCGTTCTGACTTGTTTTAGAGATCTTAAAGATCTTTGTATAGGTTTTAATAATAGTTTATATTTTCAAAGAAATTACGCTTTTTGTTGTTGATGGTGTGTACAATAAGTTTGATGCTCGGTCAGATCTATTGTTGATAGATAATATGAGGATTTCAACAATTCTAGTGCTCAGTTTCCTGACAGCTATTCTTTCATCCCCCACGGCGAAGAAGTTGACATATCTGTCAATTGCCTTTACCAGGCTAGTTATGATCTTTCACTGAATCCTTTTAGTATGTTTATACTCAACAAATTTGGTCTTGAAGACTTTCATTACTGGGCTGATATTATTGTTGTTCGCTTTGTTTTCTAGTTTAAGGATTGATGGTACTTTGTTTGTAAAGGTATATTGCTTTCTTTTAAAGTAATTTTGTAGATTGGATGGTGTTTCTGGATTCTGTGGATTGGTGAAATCTGTGTTTTCCAGGTTAACGATCTTGGGCGGTGTTATGTGAGATGCTATTTTGTCTTGTGTAGAGTAATATGTATTGTATGTATTGTTGTGACTCTGTAGAGCTTGAGTTCAGACCGAATTTCAACTTCTGGCAACCAGAAATTTTTCTTCGGAATATTGTGTTTGGGTGTTGAAATCATAGGAAAGCCTTCAGCATAACCACATATCGTACAACAATCATTTAATCGTAGTATCACTGAAAGATAGTTATGGTCAAAGGGGGATAAAGTAACTATTCGTCTAAACATTGAGGATAGGTATAACTTTGAAGGGATAAAACATAACGATTGATCTAAACTACGGGAAGAGGGGGTATAAGTACCCTCTCTAGACTATCACGTGACTCTGATACTATTGATTGGTTTCCTCACACTATATAAATAAATATATTATCTCTATAGAGTATATTAATGACTATTTATCCTACTTCATATAGGCTTATACTCGAGTACTATTGGTCAAGGTTATAAATGATTAGCACTAATAAGTCTGCTTTCTACTTTGAATAGCGGGGGGTCCTTGTGTAATTTTCGTCTGAACAAATTCCGAGGTGGGTATATAAAAAATGCTTTAGTGGTTTGGTATTTTGACGATTGGGAGATACTATGTAGATAGATTTGGTAGATGTGCGTGCATGAATTGACAAGGTTATTGGTAATAAAGTAGAAATTCATGCTATGATCCTTGATTTATTTACTCGAGTACTACTATACTCGAGTCTCGAGTATATATGTTAAGGGGCTCATGCAATAATGATATATTTGATAGATATAGAGATTGATGTAAATCGACCGAGTTTGTAGGAGTGAATGAATGAATAAATGAATACCTAGGTAGGTAGTTTTGAATTTTGGATGTTGCGTGCGAACTGGTTGGGTAGTAGCCTCGTGCTTGTACTGTACCAAGTCGGTATATATGATGTTAGAATTAAGAAGGTGACCCCTCGAAAATCCTCTCACTTGCATGCGTTAATGTTTATGTTGCGTTGGCAAAACAAAATCAAGATGCGGGAGTTGAATTGGGGGTGGTGGGTTGAGTTAGTTGATATGGGTGTCACACGCTCGCAGTAAGTACCTAGGTAGGTATAGACTCAATACAGGCAAGGCGGTAGTTGGATTTGGATTGGCTGTCTACAAGAAAAGGAAATGTGATATGCATACCTAGGTAAACATCAATGATAAATAATCAATCTCTTTCTCTTGATACTGAAACGGGTATCAATCAGAATATTGCAAATATAACACAATTGAGATCTTCTAGTACCTCTCACCCCTACCACACCACTAGAGAACAATATCAAATACAGTGCTTGGCGTCTTTTGTACAAGTAGAACCTTAAAATCAATATAAAACATCGATGTGAACGATCTCCCTGATGCAGCCAGTCAGATAGATGATGTTATTATCATCTATAAAATCTGAATAGAGCCCAAAATAATATAACCCAAATATCGAATACTAAAATACTATTGGCTAAGCCTTTTACTAGATATGGTAATGCACGGACCATTCAGCCCAATTAATGACCCCTGGAATTTAATTTGATAGAATTGATTACCGGGCACTAAATAGTAAATAACTTACCCAAGTTATATTCAGCTTGGTGGGTGGTGTATCAAGAATCAATCCCCTTTAATTTTTATCCGATCTTTAAATCTTCAATTTCACCAGTTGACTGATTGAGAGAGAGAGGAATTAATATCTGCCCATTAATCAATTTACATTGAATTCGTTTTTAAATCTATTCAAGAAAAGGATATCCCCTCCTCCCCCGCGCGAGAACGTGGTTAACAAGGACAAACTCACATCAACATTCATTCATTCAATCATTTCATTCAAATCATTCCATCCATTCACATTCTACCTTCCTTCAGAGTTACAAATACATATACAGCGACTTTTAAATCGACCCCATCTATCCATCCACCTATACAGTACTGTCCCTCTAATTAAATTCTTATCTCAAGGAGCGCGTATCTGTTACAAGACATCATTCGTCCACTCAATTTTCAAGCAACAAATTCGAATGTATTCTACATAGGAGATTTCATCATCTGCGATATCGATAATAAACTCGATATACCTTTCGCAATAATGCCGAGTTTCTTCTCGAGGTTGAAGGGTAAAGATGGCCCAACGAAAGCATCCAAGAAGAAGGGAGGACTTGACGATCTGGCCGATCAAGTACCAGCGAAATCGACATGGACAGATGCATGGACGCGAACCAGTGTAGAGCCAGAAGAGATTCAGGAACTGGTGAGGGGATGTACGGTGGAATTGAAATCCAGAGGTATGATATGATTCAGAATTGATATCATTCCGTTATCGATTATGCACGAAGCCTAGGGGAAATCTGCTTGGGCTTTCTGATGTTACACATGCTAATTTGTTTTTTGCCCTTGCAGCTTTGGACATGCCATTCCTTCTCCTTCCTTTCCGACCTACGTCAGATCCAAGTGCGGCAAGGACGTTCATTAGGAATTTCTTCGATAAGAGACGATTGGGTGGAGAGACGTTGGCACAAGAATTAAGACTCACGGAACCTATGGTGAGCGATGAAGATCGAGCTTTAGAGTAGGATAAATAACTGATGTCAATTAGGTACTATGTAGTGTGCTTAAATGGTGTTGGAGTCGAGTGGCCGGTGGTGTAGTTTCATGGGATGCATATGAACTATTCAAGGTTGGAGAGCATGGTACGAGAAGTTGGATCAATGAGGAGGAAACCATGGCTGACTCTAAGCAGATTCAAATTATGCCCGCGACGCATTTGTGACTTTCATACCTCTGAGTGTAGATACTGATGCGAGAAGAGATATCATCTTTGATTTCTTCGATCTCTTATCAGCTATTGCAGCACATGGTAAATTGAATGGTTTGGCTGGACGAAAATTATCAAGATATGCAGGATGGTGGGCTTTTGATCATGCTGATACGGGCAATGGATTTGAAGGTGGATATAAAGGATGGTCAACGTGGGTAGATCTGTTCGACTGGTCGGAGAATTGTGCTGACAATAATATAGTGCTGCAGATGCTGCAAGTCATCTATTCTTCGCCTATCTTCGATCACTCTCTCCCGATTCTGTCACAGGTATAAACGGCATATCTAAATTGCCCATGTCCCTACAGAAGCTTGTTCAGGAAACCGAATACCCACCAGACCAACCATCGTTATTACAACAGTCTACTACAAAGGTTGTCATGATAGTAAATTCCGTTTCACCTACACCATTTTCATTGTTGCGAAGAGCGAATCACTTCCAATATCGAGACGATGACCGCGCTCTCCAACAATTCTCCGAATACGAGGATCCTGTTAAAGCTTTGACTAATGAATGCCGTCGTGTCCTGAGATCAATTTCGTCTATCAATCAATCCCAAATATCTAATGCTAAAGACTCCACGGGTTTACGAGATGCTTCCTGGTCACGATTCGAAGATATTGGGTTTTCTGCATCTTTTGATGATGATACGGTAAACGATGAAACTAATTACTTTGGGCCACGGAAACCAAAACCAATTCAAGGGCTAAGAAATACTCCAGCGAATGGCGGGGCCAGACCTGGCGATAGACCAACTACCCCATCCTGGGCAGATTTTCTCTCTTCGGGCTTTGTTGATGATGGACCAAGCAGTCCTCCACCTTTACTACTACCACCCGATAAGATCTTACCACCGATTAACACCAGAGCAGGAAGCTCTCAATCACATCAACCCAGACTCGAATCAAATAAAGACTTGGAACCGGGTGAGCTTGCAAGTATTACTCGATTTGATTTGGATGACTCGTTCTGGTGGGTTTGGATTAGTAGTTTGGCTGGTGAGGAGACGATAGACAGAAAAGCTTCATTCGGACGTTGTGCTTTGATCGAGACAACAATCCCTGGTGGCCGGTGGTTGGTAATGGAGGAAATGGTCAAGGGTGCAGCACCAGAGCCTGAGGCAGGAGCTTATATTGCGGAGAAAAAGAGCTTCTGGGGTCGAACGAAAAAGAATAAAAGTAATGGAAACCGACGAGGATCTACTGGCAAAACCGAGATGGAGAAACCCAACAACTTAAAACCAGGATATAGTCAAAGTACGAGCGCCAGCAAGACCACCATAGGTCCTGATCAACATGCTCGAATTCAAGCAGCCGCTCTTCAGTTACAACAAAGACAGAGAAAGCAGGATGAGGAGAAAGGACTCGGAGTTCGACGTGGTAGAAATGATTTGGATGCTGCTTCGTTGAAGACCAGCAGTGTTTTTACACTTCAACCAATTCTCAAAACAGAGGCATCTCCAGCAATGAAATGGGCCAACAAATACGACAAAGATGCGATTCGAGAAGCCTATCTCGGCAGTAACTTCACGGGAACGGGACGAGGTCTTGGAGAAGCTACCATGCAGACAAATGGGAATTTATATGACCGTCAGGCGGCTCTATCGCCAGGTATTAACAGAGACAGAGATCTACCAGCTACTCCAACTACTCCAAATGTTCCTTCATCGCCTTTACCTCCTCTACCCATTGACGACGATAAAGCCGAACTTGCGCGAGCTCCAATTTCACCGAGTAATATTCATCCACTCGAAAGAAAGCCGATTCCAGTGCCTCCTTCTCCTTTGAATCAAAATAAGCCAAGTATGGATTTTCCCAGAGCTTCTATGGATTATTCAGCATCAAGCCCACAAGATCAGGATAATCATAAGAAATTGAAGAAGAAAGATCCTGCTACCGGCGGTGGATTCAGAGGCATGTTCGTTAGGAAGAAGCAAACGAAACCTGCACCACCAAATGCTTCTGAAATGGCAATGAATGGTAAAGGCGGACCCAAACATGAAGGAAAGAGGAACAGTCTCACAAGACGTTTTTCCAGAAAAAAGAGTCCACTCGTGTCCCCCAGCAGTGAGAGAGGGGATGAACTTGTTTCACCAGCTCCTCCAATGTCATCTGGTGACCGTACTCCTGTTACTCCAGCCACTCCTCATCGTCCTTCTTACGAACAGTCCCTTGCTCAAGACGACATATCGAGAGTTGATACTGAGGATGCCCGAGAAGCTCATCAAGAATTCTCTAGATTTGATCAAGGACCTCTCGAAGATTTTCCAGCATTTGCTCCAACAGCCGAATCAAGTACGCCAAGAGTAAGTGAAGATTCTGAATCACCACCAAGCCGATACGAAGAAGTCGACGAACACCCTCAAGGAGAACCACTCACGCACCAAACCTCTCCTCAAGAAAAATGGGCACAAATTCGTAAGAACGCCGCCGAACAATCAGCCGCACATAATAGACCAAGCGAGGAACAATCTAGAGGTGGATATAGTCAACGGACTGATAATGATGATGGAGAAACTTCAGGGGAAGAGAGTGAGTATTTACCTCCTTCTACATCTTATTCATGGGGAGACATACTAATGGATCCAGCAATTGAATCTCGCGTTGCACGTATTAAGGCTCGCGTAGCTGAGCTTACGGGTAATATGGATAATCATAACTCACCTGCTCCTCCTATTCGAAGAAAAGCTCTATAACTCTTCTAATGTTGATACCGATATCCTTGTCATAACAGATCCACCATTAGAATATCACTCATAGGCCAACATTACGTCTTTTCCAGCACAGCGATGGCCACGCCTCTAATTTGCACACATCGCCCCCATACATTTACATTCTACTGTCCGATAATTCTCATCAACCACGAAGCTTTTTTGATATACCAGATTTGGTCTTGATTATTGCAGCGCATATAATTCAATCCCATTCGATTCGATACCTATTTTCTTTTCAAGCTTCTCTTTTGTTCTTCATTCGCAGATTTTTCACTACTTTTTTTTGAGATACCATTCATGATTTCTGTTCTGCGTTTTACGGTTGGTGATCTTTTCATGGGATGAGATGGGAGAGGGAGGAGAGGGAGGTGAAGGAAAGGGAAGGGAAGGGGGGAGATTGCTAGCGATCTGTATTGTGAATAGGGATTGGGGTGGTTTAATTTTGTTGCGATTTTGGTTTGGGGTGGAATAATGAGTAAGGGGGGAGTGGGATACAAGTGGAGATTATGGACTTGGAGAGATGAGAGGAGAGGAGAGGAGGGGAAAGGGTCAGGGATGTTTAAAAAATGTTTTAGATACCTATGGTGCTACGCTGGCTTTCGTGGTGTCTCTGATGATATCGAGATTTGGTTGGTTGGTTGATTGATTGATTAGTTGGTTGATTGCAATGCATCTAGATTATGCGGCATTGCAAGGGAGAGGGAGAGGGTTTGGGGAGGTTCGAGGAAGTTTAAGTTGAGGGAGATTTAAGTTGAGGAAGATTAAAATAGGAAAGGATTGAGGATGGATTAAGAAGGATTAATTGAGAATTGAGTATTGAGTTTCAAAGATGATTATAGGAGTGAGAGTGAGAATGAGAATAAGATTCAAGATAAATTTCAAGGAAAGATTAACAGTCAGAAGTAGATTAAGAGAATGAAAAGAAAAAGAAAAAGAGAAAAAAAAGGAAAGGAAAAGGATGTAAAGTTATGAATACCAGATCTGAGAAATTGAAATCAGTAAATCGTTGGTTGAAGAAGTTAGGTATTGATAATTAAGAGGGGGGGGGGGGGACCTGTATAGTTTGATTAACTGGATTTGAATATATGCGAATAGAATATAGGATTCAATCCCCAGGTATATGAGGAGGGAAAAAGGAGATTATATATAGGTAAGGAAGTAAGAAGAGGATCGAATCTGAGTAGTGGCTTAGACAGACTACTTGAAGTTGTTAGTTAGTTTTGTCATCCCTTTCCTACTTGTTGGTTTAGTTTTAGTAAACTCTACGAGTATTACCTACTATCCAACCAACAACTAAAAGCACAACTAAAGAAATACAGTATGTAAGATCATTAGAGGATAATATCTCATTCGTTCTATGAATTGACTTTTCTTTGTAATGTAATCATAGTAGTCTTGTAGCTCTATGCGTTGTGTTACGCAACCTACGTATAATCTTCTGTCACGGTATTTTGAGTCATATGTTTTCGAGGCTTTTGTTGGTGATCATAAATGATCAAATAGCATTCATTGTGAATTGCGATATGCTGGGGCGAGGGAGTAGTAGTAACACTATGGTTGAAAATTAATACGAGGTCTATGTCTTCTTTTCCAGATATTTGGATGGGATAGGTTGACTGCCTCGATGTCACGGCACGTGATCGGGATACTCCATCATTTATGGATTGCCGATCATCGCCTACTGGTATAACCTACCCACTTAGCTTATTTCTAACATCATCATCTTTCTTACTACAAACAATACGACGTTGTATCGATTTCACACTCACTACTGACTTGTACCTCACTTAGAGTTATATCAACGTAAAGTTTCCCAATGCAGGGATTCTTTCTCTTGGTATAGGGAAGACTGGATCAAATCCAAAACATTTAGATTCAAAATAGTATAGCAGGTGGAGAATTCCTACCAATAGGAATATGAGAGTTACGCCAGAATGACCTTAGACTTTTATCCTTGCATTGCGAAACCGAAACAAGTATACGAAGGCTGGAAATGGTTCGTAAGCGGAAAACCCAAGAATTCTCGTCCACGGGTTCTCGCATTTCTCAGTGGTAGCACAGCATTGGAATTATTAACACTATTATCCCAATGAACCCAAGTTAAGGCACCACAAGGCTCTGTGCTACTGTGAGCGTGCATATAACTTGTTCTTGCGCACTTTGAAAGTTCGAATTGTTTCTACATTACTTTCCTCGTTTTTGTTGATTTTATTTCAGGCTGAGGCCAGCCTAATACAGAATAATGTCAGAGTTATCACCACCAAATCGGGACTTGTCTGATAGATCTTCTCCTGTACTGGCTCCTATTTGCGAAAGTTGCCAGGAACTTCTGAATACCTGGTATAGGATGGAACCTGGAGCAAGTATTTGTGGACCAAATTTGGCAGATTTCGATAACCCTAAATCAGATGACTGTTTCTTGTGTTACCAGTTTTTTTGGTTCAAACATTCCTCACACAAAATTGACCCCCGATTTAGTGACATATCATATGGATGGAGGAGATCAATAACTAAACACATTGTCAAAAAAAGCTTTTTCGTCAAAATACGCCCCCATGCTATTTCAAATCTAAATCGAAAAATCGAGATGTCCGAGTATTTATCATGGGCCAATCTTGACCTTGCTATATTATCAAAAGAAGGTGGGCAAATGATAATAAGGCTCTTCTTCAACTCATCTAAGAAGGCTAATAAAATGCCTTTTAGACGTTCCAGGTCTAGAGAACCTTGCCATTATAAGTCCGTCTACGGGATCCAATCAAAGCTTACAGCTTGCAGCACAGTGGCTTGAAGTTTGCAATGACAGCCACTCAACCTGCCAATGTGAAATTTCATCAGAAGGAGCCGAAATTTTGCCCACCCGTCTTATTGATATCGGAACAGAAGACTCGGTGATTACACCACGACTTTGTATGAGCCAAGATATCCCCCCCAAATCAATCTACTTTACTTTGAGTCACTGCTGGGGACGTGTGATTCCAAGACTAGTTCTCCTTCGGTCAAATATACAGTCTCTTTTGGAAAGTATCGACTTCTATCAACTTTCCAGTACTTTCCAGGATGCTTTGAGCGTGGTCCAGCGATTGGGAGGGAGATATATTTGGATTGATTCTTTGTGTATCATCCAGGACTCGAGGGACGATTGGTTGGTCGAATCTGCTCATGTGTGATATATCTACTCGAATGGCTATTGCAATATTTGTGCCACAGATGCCAAAGACGGCAACGAAGGAATGTTTCGCGACAGAGACCCACTAAAGATTCAGCAAGACTGGTGCAACCTCATGGGGCCTGAAACTAGCCAAATTTATTGCGTGATTAACCGGGCGTTCTGGAGTAATGAAGTGAACTTCAGTGCTCTGCCTTCTAGAGCGTGGGTCTGCCAAGAGCGCTTTCTATCAAAAAGAAACCTTCACTTTGCGCACCAGCAGTTAATCTGGGAGTGTCGACAAAAGGGGGCCTCGGAGACATTCCCCAAGGGTTTCCCGAAAGATTGCTTTCAATCGGACTTGAAAAGTGAACTGCTGAAGGCTTCACACAGCAATAATAGTGATCACTCAAGTAACTTTCGGCAACCTAGAGCTGTCTGGTGGAGACTCGTTCAATCATATTCCAATGGCGACTTGACATATCAAACAGACAAGCTTGTTGCAATCGGGGGACTGGCGGCTGCTGTACATCAAAGTATCGGAGGGAAATACTTGGCAGGACTATGGGAGAATCATTTACCTTATGGACTTGTCTGGAGAAGAATCGGAAAACCCGAGGTTTCTGCTTTTGTACTATCTACAGCCTCAACCGGGCCACAGACTTTCATTGCTCCCAGCTGGTCTTGGGCGTCGTTGAATTCCGAAGTATCTATGTTTCCAACGAACAGTGAGAATCGCGATGATTTATGTCGAATATCCGAATCACATGTCGATCTAGCAAGCGGTGATCCATATGGACAGGTACGCGGTGGATATATCAAAGTCACGGGGAAGCTTGCCCGTGCTGAATACAACGACACATGTATTTTTGTTCAGACCAGTAATGAAGTTGCACCTGTATTGCTTGAGTTTAACAATTTTCTTTGGGACTATACAGATATGACGGCGCTTAACCAGGTTGACTTCATATATCTCATGCCTGTCCACGAAACCTTCTCAAATGACGGGCCCAGACGACAAGTTGACGGCCTTGTAATATATCAGACTGGTAGAAGTGATGGGGAGTTCAGACGCTCTGGGGCCTTTACCTTGCTGGATGCCTTTTCATGTAGAGAGCTTGAGTCCGGATGCAAAGCATTTCGCAACTTTTTCGAGGGAAACAAGACATCCGGAATTGAGCAGGATGGTGACGGGAATTTCACTATCACGATTATATAATGATTTATGACAAGCGTTTTCTTTCAACTCGATTAAATTACTATTTTCAATATTTCTTAAATTAATTGGAATTTCAGGTGCTTGTTTTAGACTGCATGACACTAGTTTGACTTTGTGATATTCAACAGAACGAACGACGATAAAATGCCCTCGAAGAGATCTTAAGCTCTCGATATAACCCTCACATCTAATATCTACATGTCTAGGCTCCGGAACAAAGCCATTTGTTTCCGCCACCGAGAACACTTGATGTATAACCATATATCGAACAGACAAAAGGGTCCAATCATACACCACTAATCTGGAAGACTTCCACATTCGATCACCACCACAATATTATATCAAGCTGCATCTCATCTATCATCTGATCTTTCGTCTGACATTGTTGATGGTATTATTCGTGCAATAAGCCTGAGTTGCGACTTCAAAACTTAAGATAGTTTGGTATCGCTGTCTTTGTTCGTTCAAAGTATTCGAGCGCTAGCATTGGGCTAGCATTGGGTGCCCAACATTTGGCTTTCTACAACGATTTCCAGTTCCTCGAAGTTCTTGCTTGTGCTTATGCTGATGCTCATGCTCCTTGGATTCGGAATTTGCTTTCTTTGGTATTGTCTGTTTGGTATGGTAGTTTTACTTTTGTTTTGAGTTTACATATTCATTTTATATTTATTGTTAGCTAGGCGCTCACCTATCTAGCTCCTGCCTGTACAATAGAGATTGAGTTCTTATTTTAGAACCATATAATAATCTATCAATCAAGATATCGTTAAGTGTGAGATATCTGAAATATTGGATGATTTTTCTCAAATTAATATTGGAGATGGATTATGTTATGTTATCCACAGTCATGTAAACTATTCTCTGACTAATCTCAATTCATGTATTCCCGAGAAACGGGATCTAATACTAGTATTTGATTCATCAATAACGAGTTGATGAACTTGATGGCGGTGAGTATACTTGGGAGTATGATGGGGACTCGGAGTGGGCAAACTAGTATGACTTGGGCGGATCTCGGTGAATGGATAGGGAGAGATATTAGGAGATGAATGTACCAAACAGAAAATCTAGCTAGATATCTGTTATAGAGAATCAATAGAAAATTTAAAATTGGACTTCTGATAAGAACATATCACTAGATGCGGGTTTGAAACTACAAAGATCGACAAGCAAAACTCAGGAAACAATCAAACTGTAGAATAAAGTAGCGTCAAGTGGCAACAATAATTATTGAGAATATCGGTTTGAAAGAGCAATAGTGTCTCATAAAGAATAATCATCCCAAATAAAAACATAGTCTTGTTTCCAAGTTCTTCTTAATCCGAAATTCATCCTTACTTTCCCGACTCGTTCCTTAGTTCCAACAATTTATACACCCTCTCAATAAGCGAAACTCCTTAACTCCACTTCTTCCAATTAAAACCCTACACGCACCTCTAGTAACCCCCCCGCCCCATATCTTTCAAAATCTCCCCACCTCCCACAGAACCGAAGTAAAAAATAAACAAAATCACAATAGTATCTCGTGCAGGGTTTGAACCTGCGATCTTCTGTGTTCTCGAAAAATCCATAGAATCTTGTGAGACAGATGGCATGACCACTAGCCCAACGAGATTTTTTACATTGGCTGTTTGGTGATTTTGATCTGCGGGAGGGGTTGTTTCGGATCATATGGGGGGATGGGGGGTTAAGCGATTAGATGATGGAATGGTGCTAGAGAGGAGAGGAGAGGATGAAAAGGTTTGAGGTGGGAACTTGGAAGGAATTTTCTTCCTTGGATTGTGTAGTTGTGAGGTTTTGTATAAAGGTAGCATATATGGACATAGACTTGTGAAATGTTTTCTTTAAGGTTGGATAATTAGATGAAATTATTGAAAGAAGAAGGATGCGTTGGTCAAGTGTACCCAGAATATATATAAGAGTAGAGTTTTCAGTTTCTGGTCTTGAGAATGAGAGTGAAATTGAAATTGGTCATATTTGAACCCCTTAATGACAACAAATGCTCATGATCTCACCCACTGTCAACGCGCTAGCAATTGTCGTTATGGCAGGAACTTTTATCACCTCTTCCAAGTCATTTGGTTCATTCAGAATCAAATAGATCCACACAAAACTCGGGTTAAACCTGAAGCTGCGACATTTCACAAATACTAGGACCCTCAGGCATGTCGCATTCCCTTCTGGCATACTAGTGGCAGCAATGCTCAAATTTGAAGAAGGCATCAGATTATATAGGTAAGTGCTAGATTTACCGAACTGCACATCCACACTTTGGTCATCTCCTCATGTCACGTCACCCAAAGATCCATTAGCCATAATCGACAGGCTCAAATACCGCGAGCTGTATATATATTGAGGTCGGTATCATAACTCGTCCATAGAAGATATTTTCATCAGTGTGTTTCCCGTGTATTGTTTGTGTCGTTGCGCTAGAAGTGCAGTTGCAAGGAATTTTGATCATTCGATTTGAGTCGCACTTTGAGAGAGTGTTTGGACCAGCCAAACTCGCAAATTCTTTTCGTTTGTTCTGGTCAAAAATCAAGATGACAGCGAAAACACTTCATTGTTAATCAACGGCGATAGTTACCTGCGTGTACAAATCAGCTGTTTGTGACAGCATGAGAATTCTTCATATTATTCGAGTTTATCAAATATTTCTAGAAGGTTCGTCCATAATTATTTCGATTTTCGTACCTCTCTCTCCGCAATTAGGTAAAGTTTTTACCTTTATCATATTCCCGACGGTTTCCACAAGCACCAAATCAATGTGACTAGTTCTTTGCTCCTTGATCTTGTGATGTAGACCAGCGTCGAACCCATCTTTCCCTCTGATCCTTCACCCAACACGGCAAATTTGACCTTTACTCATATATGGTATGTCACATTATCTATAAGAATCTTAAGCTTCGGGATTGAGTAAGGCTACCCGTATCCGTATGCTGATGAGAATATGCAAAAAGCACTTTAACTCCAATCGACGGCTGACCAAGAGATCGTAAGTGTCTCCGTATATGCTGTTTATATAACAGAAAGTAGAGATGGAGATGTGATACCTGCTAGCGATATGCACTTAGAAAGCAAGATTAGTGGCTCCATATTTGATAGAATTTGTCCTCGAGAAGATATATCCGCATATCATAAACAGAAATATTCCCAACTTGGCAGTTTTGAACAAGTCCTTGACAGCAATTATCCTGTAAGGGAGAACAGCTTGTCAACAGCATTTAATGAATATGCATCTTTCTTGACAAGCACCCAAATCGGCTGGGCATGAGCTTGATCGCATGCACTCTTGTAAAGAAAAACGACGAGAAACAAAACTCCGTTACCGATCTGGATGACTATTGTTGACTATTGGATGGTCCTGCAAGAACTCCGAATGACCCTCGATAATATAGATGATGTAAAACTTACCTAGCACCATGCCGCATGATGCATATAGCAAAGCATGAGTTTGCAATGCTACACCCATCCAACATAATTCTCTTGTACTCACAGGTAGAACTTGATAACTTGATAACTTTTCGTCAGTATATAACCCTAGTTTTTGAAAGTAAGAGAGTTACACTCGTATGGTCGAGTAAGTTTGCACTTGAGATACCCGGATGCTTTTGCAATTGCATATTTGACAGTAATGCTTTTAAATTTGATCGTCAATGAATCAAAGGTCGTTTTGGAAAGTCAACGAAGCTTCAGTTGTAAGATTTTTGCGGTGATTTTGTCACGGTATCGCTAGGGGTGCGATAAGCTGTGGCCGCAACTCTTATGATTTGCACCGAATAATCTTCTTTAGAGACGTATAATATCACATTTTAGATACCGGTAGTCAAGATCGTGAACATGAGGCAAGTTTGAGAGATCTTGAGTGTGAAGGTCCAGAATCCAGATGCCGAGTATTCGGAGGTTAATCTACCATTTCCAGCAGGGAAGTCTGGCTGCTTTGCATTTCCTCTCCCAATATTGCATGACATTGTAGCTGAAACGCTCAGAGAAGATTCCTTGGTTCTAACTTGATCGACGGGAGCTCAATCATCTGCCCAGAAAATTGTTGAAAATTTGAATAAAATAGGCCTTTCCATTACTTTTTCGGTTAGTTTGTGAGACCTGGCCAAAACAACACCCACGTGACATCATCTAAACCACCAAATTTCATCGAATTGGTCCATCACTCCTCACATGCACACAATCTCGTCACTAACTTGCAGTGCCTCTTTCTGGAGAAACTGGGTCCTCCCCTTCGCGACACTGATAACCCTTCAGTATGCTAACAGATTGTTAAAATATATCACCGGTTTGGGAACACTATGCTCTATGCAATCCTTTGAGGATGAGGACTGCCCCGCATTGTCCACGCAAGTTTACATCCATCCCATCCAACACATCCGCGACCGTAATGTTCAAGATCCGCGTTATCGCCGCGATGGGAAGACGAGAATATTGCAATGATGTCCTCCCTTTCATCAATCTCTGTATGGAAAGAGAGAAAGTTATCAAGGTCGGTAGTCGTACGTGATTTGCGTTCGACGAGATCAACCAGCAGCGCAAAGCTTGCACATTACCTAGGAAGCATCGGAATAGCCTCGGCCATTTAATCTCTGCGTCTCTTCTTGCAAGAGCCTGCTTTCGAACGGTAACTGAATCCAGCCGCGGTGCTTCTGTCGGAGTTCTTCAATTCTGCCTGCATTGCAGTGGGATAGAGTACGTATGAGGATAGTCATGTGAGATTCAATGAAATCGGCATCACCGTCGGTCATCACATTTCAATTAGGGCTTTACTTACTGGCACAGTTATTAGCGGTACATTGAGTTTTGTGGTTGGTCATTTATTATTGTATTGATGATCTATCGCAGAAAACCCACGCTCCTCCTACGATAACATCATTGCCCAACCAAAACCCACCCCAATGCCGTCTATATTTCCCATCAATACAGAGCTGTCACTCCCCAATCACAACACCAATTGCATTTACCCATCAAGAATCAACACCTGCCTCGATTCACGCAACAACAAACATGTCCTCCCTCAACTGCCGACTCCCGAAAACCTCAGCTCTCATCGACGACTTTATTGCTGGCTTAAGAACTCAGTCTTGTAGACCCCATAGAGTCTACGCTCATAGGGGCTACCAATTTGAATCTGCCATTTTGTGTCGATACCTGGAACCTTATACGCCAATGTCCACTTGGGAAACTTCAAGCCATAGGCACCTGCAGCAAGCTTGAGCTGCCCAAAATGATTGTGGCTGTTGATAAACGCAATGACTTCCAACTGGATCACGCGAAAGTTTTTCATAATGCCGACCAATTCGGTGATGCTTCTAGCTCTAGCGTTATAGAGAGCTAGATTCTGGTGGTGCCTAGGGCATTTGATGAGGATCGTAACTTTCAAGTTGGTAATGATCTCGGCGTATTTAGGAATAGTAGCTAGAACTAAAACGTTGAAGAGTTAGATTAGTAAATGTCTATCAAGGGGCGCCCTACGGCTGCATTAGGAAATGGAGAGAAGATACAGAATATGTAACTGAACAGGGGTTTCGGGTTGGAGGAGTTAAAAATCAGAAAATGAATTATACTCACGGGATGCCATGCTGGGGGCCGAAGTTGATTGGAAGAAGTTAAAGTCGATAACCATTTCGACATTATCCTTTGTCTTCTTGATGATCAAGTTTGGATGTTGGGGAAGAACAGAGAAATCGAACTCTAAAGCTCGCTTTGTGATGGCTTGATTTGCTGCGATCTTCTCCTGCTCAGCCAATTGTCGCTCCTGTTCAACTAAGTCAATCTTCTACTGAGAAATTTCTGCTTGTCTCTCCGCGAAGATCTTAGATCCTTGAGGGTTTTGGCTCTTGCCACTTCGATTTTTCTTATTTCCCATTTTGTTTATAGGAGAACGAGTATGGATTACTAAGAGGTTGTGTAAAGAAGGGTTGAATTATATGATGAGTATTGGAAGTAGTTGAAGATATCTTTTTGTGATTAGAGAACTTGGTTTTGATTGATCCTGAAAAAGAAGATGTTTTGAAATCCAAGAATCCAGGTTTCTGGAGAGAGGAGCAGCTCTTAAGTATCTACTCCTAGTACGGTTGAACTTGGGCTCACCGCATCTAGTATAGCACCTGAGCTAAGGCACTCATTCTACAATCGTATCTAAAATTTGATTCGTCGGTCAAGCTGCCGTATATGAATTACAAGCGGAACATTCCAGATAGTTTCCAGATCATCTAAAGTTCAATATCTAGCGGAGAATTGAAAATTAAATGTCAAATTTTCAAAAGGTTGGATAATGACTTCAGCTTATTATTTCTGCTATCTCTCTTTCGTCACTTCAATCGGCATAATCCTTATATATTGGCTTCGAATAATTGAGACTACAAATCACCAATACGATATTCAGTCTTAATTTGAATATTATGGAAAAATTGTGTGTTCGCGGACAGAAAAAGGAAGGAGGCATAACAGCGTATCCAAACTCCTCCTCTTTCCTTTTCCCGACTGAAGGAGATGAAGGATAACTCTAAAGGATTAGGTTCTGGAGAGTATTTTTTTGAGCGAGAGCATAGCTTCATGAAAAGCTCGGCAGAGGAGGTCAGAGAGGAGAGTTGAAAATTCATTGAAAAATATATTTTGACAAGCTTATTACTGAAATTTGTTAGTATAGGAAGTAGTTTTATTTAAACCTGTTCGAATTCACATAAACTCATTTTTCATTTAATAGTATGTTTAAAAAAAACTGTTCAAATGTCGATTGTCCTCTTTTTCAAGAAGAATAAATCGATTTGTTTGGAACATTCGATAGATCAAGAGAAATATATCAATTTATCGCAGAGGATAAGGATTTTTAGAGCTCAGGAAATGAGAGGAGGGGAGTTTGTATACGCTAACCAGCCATGATGTGAAGTTCAATGGGCGTAATTACCGCAACACCGTCGATATTTTAGTCGGTGTTTAATGTATTAGTATGTCTCACTCATAAGCAATATTTTTGGTGGCACTTATATTGAGGGAGGTAGTTGTCATTGCTACATTCTCATTGAAAATCAAGGCTCTTTCTTTGGACATAACATTATCTTCAGCTCAGAACTAAACTCCACGCTACTTGACCAGAATCAGATACTTGTCAACTCGCCAGTAAAACGCCATCCTTTCCTACCAATCAGTCCACCAAATTTATCCCATACCGTTGCGAACACGCAAATACCACCAGGTTCGCCATACTGTAAAATGCTCCCAGTCCCCATCAACATACACCGAACTCACAGCCTACTGAGTACCAAACTCAGCTCTGTATACACCTCGAAGTCTCTTTCCATAGGGACTATATGTCTCAATCTTGTAGTTACCCTCATCCCAAACCTCGTATGCCAAAGTCCAGTCTTGGAATACGAGACCGTTAACCGCCGCAGCGAGCTTCAATTGCTGGAAGCTGTCGTGAGCATCAGTATCAACTTTAAAGTTAAGCTTGGTGAGGGGGAATTTGTTAAGTCGATCCACCAATTGTTTCATTCTCTCAACACGGTGCTTGTAGATGGCACGTGAACCATGCTGGGAAGGAGCAAGAATCTTGACTTGAACATTGGTGATAGACGTAGCGTATTCAGGAAGAATAGCAAGTACTGCATGCATGTCTGTAGGTGGATCAGCACAGAAGTTGAGTGTGATCACAAGTTGCTTCATCTCGCCCTCCTGCTTGAGTGTGATAGCGTAGTGTTTCTGGATGCAGTCGAAGTCGATTGTGTCGGCAATCTTCTTTGCATTCTCTTCCTTCAACTTGTTGTCCATCAACTTCTCTGCCTGAGCCTGCTGTCTCTTAAGCTTCTCCTCCTCCCATGCCTGTCTCTTCTCTTCGGCCCATTGCTCGTATTCTTCCGCCTTCTTCGCAGCGAGTTGTTCCTCCTGTGCCTTCTTCTCCTGTTCGAGCTTTACAGCCATAGGAGTCGATTTAGGTTGACCGCGATTATTGGGGTTACCCATTGTGAATGATTGTAGTGTATGTGTGACGAAAAGAAATTTTAGGTGTTGAGGATAGATTTGTGAGTGTGGAGAGTCTATATGCTAAGGTCAGACTTGAATCTGGAGAGATCTTGGAGGAACTTGTTGTGTATCGGTGCTTACCTTCGTGAATAGAGAATGAAGTTATAGTAACTTCGTGATGAGATAAGGAAGTTGTTTCTTGATGAAAGTATTCTATGTCTGAGTGGAAGATGTTAACTGTAAGGAAGATGTGTTGTAAGGAAGATGTTTTGTAATGAAAAGTTCTGGGATTCCAGGAGCATGAGAAGCTCTTAAGTATGTAATATTATACGGCAGCTCCTGTGTCGGTCTACTTTAGCGAGTGGATCATTCTGCCACATACACTAAGTCTTGTGGTGAGCCGTAGCAGAGCCTTATGTTACATGATCTTCATCATCTAATTCGCCATCCTATGACGTGTTCAGTATATATATAGGTAGAAAAGAAGTAAAAACCGTATATTTTCCTACTGAATTGAATAGTTTAACTTCATAGAAACTATCACAGCTGCAAGGTTGATATAATCGCCACATCAAATGATTTATATATCGTGGAATGCAGTGGAACCGACTTTCAAGGACTAATCACCCTGTTTATGGTTAGTTTCTAGTGGTACAGCTACTTTGTATAGTCTAATGGTAAACTTTCTTCAGATTAAATTCACTTACCCTGATCCCTTGAGAGATATTCAAGAGTAGACTTACACTTCAAGATGCACCCACCATCCCGTTTCGTGAACTTGTAGATAGTGCGTTCTAGGTAAGTGTATAGAGCCGCAATTTCATAGTAAGCTCATGATCCGCAACAGCTGTTAGGATTAGTTCTATCCTCGACAGTCGCAGAACAAATTGATTCGCATGACTAATATCGCACTTGTAGAAACATATGTCTTTGAGGCCACCAAATTCTTCAAACACCTGACAGCCCGCAGCTCCGACTAATTGGGGCAATCTTAAGCTTATTTTAGCTAGCAATCTTCTACATAGGGCAAAACAATGCAATTTCCCTCAATCTGCCTCGCCGATGCAAAATAAATGACTATAGTGCATGGTGTTGCGTTATTTCATCGAGGTCTAGAGGATATACTAAGAATTCATTGGATTAGGCTAAGATGTTGAAGAATTAGATATGCAAGATTCCAAGTGAGCCTGAATAATTAACGAACTCCAAATTTTTGTACGATTTCTGATACCTAAGCGTTGCAAAAAAATACTCAAATGGCCCTGAAGTTTTGCGACGTCGCCATGTTCTCTCTACTTCTGTTGAAATACCGGTAAACTTCACACTATGACCCTCATATTCTGTTTTTCTAACCCTTATTACGTTCTGACTCGAAGCCTAGATCAGACGGCGGCCATCTCCCTGCTTTTCTTTTTTCCCCCCCTTCTCTTCATCGTGACATTGTACACGAGACTTTTTTGCCCCACCACAGTTGTTTTATTTCCTTTGTGACATTTGATAAAGGGTTTGTAGTTATGCGTACGAAGAAATGATGGAGTAGATGAAATGAGATATTGCATTGAAGGAATATGAGGGATCCTATGAGGATCCTATGTTTTCACATGTATTTCTTTCAACCCCCTCCGTCATGAAGATATCTTCTCCATAATATTCTCTCATATATAATATGCACGCAGCAGTCAGATTGAATTACCTTTTTTATATCACGAGCCAGATTACTATCGTAGAATATATCTCACTTGATGGCACATCAAACTCTGGTATTTGTTTGTATTATTTGATGCTACTTGGCAAAGATCATCGCCGCTCATATCATTGATAGTCCCCACCAAAATCCCCAACGATTGCCTGGATTATCATAATTCCTAATATCAATACAAATCCCCCAATTACAGACCTTTCCCATCCCAAACAAGCATCCTAATGAGCACCTCAGACTCCCGCAAAACTCTCAATCTCCATTCACAATACGTTTTGAGTCAAGAAGTCACGCTTGTATACGCCTGCCAATCTGCGAGCAGTCGGACTATGGACTCCAATCTTGAATCCCTTTTTCTTATTCCCAAATACTGTTGTTGACATGGTCCAGTGATCGAAGTTCAAACCGAAACAAGCGGCAGCCAGCTCCATCTGGTTGAAGTTGTCGCGTCGATTGAGTGAGATGACAAAGTGGAGTTCGTTGAGGTCAAGTGCATTGAGGATTTTAATGGTCTTGATCATATTCTTTACTCGAAGATTGTAGACCTCGATAGATTCGTGGTGCGTCGGAGCGATCAAAAGGACTTCGACTACCTTGATCATGGGAGCGTACTTTGGGAGGATTGTCAGGAAGTTTACCTCCTTGGCAGTGAGATGCGAGTGGACGATATCAATTCTGATGAATAGCTTAACCGTACCACTAGCTTTCTCAACATGGAGGGCGGGATGTTGTGGAAGATTTGAATAGTCAAAGTCCATGGCATGCTGCTGAGCTTGAACCTGCTGTTGATGTAGTTGATCGTCGATAGCCGCCTACCTATTCTGCTCGCCAACTCGCTTTGTGTCTAGTTGTCTCTTGGCATATTGCTCAGCAGCTCGTACCTGTTGGGGGCTACCACGATTGTTTTTGTTGCCCATTTTGCTCTTCGGTAAATGAAATTCGGTTTTGCGAATAGATGATGTAAAGATGACGAGATAATGTACCGAAAGTTGTTGAAGAACGTTGAAGAGGTTAGTGTTTCCGTCAAGGTTCTTGAAATGATTGATGAAAAGAAGGTGTCTTGCTGGAATAAACAGATTCAAATTCTGGATGGAGAGAATCTTTTATATGCTATGTACCTTCCTCTGAGCCGTAGTAAGTCTTCCCAGTGTTTGCAAAATAAGCACACGTGTCCAAGTCTGTATTAGCTCCAATTATTCGTGCCGTAGCAGCAATTCAATATTGGCTAGCGGCATCGATATCAAGAATGCGGTATCCACTATCACACTAATAGGATTCAGGTTGTGATATACATTAAAAAAAGCCTCATATACCTTATTTTAACCTAAGTATCTGTTTACGAGTGATGTTCGATGCGTAATTGCCCAAAATATATCTACAGATACTGAACTGGAAGTCCCTTTTTCAGGATACAAATTAGATTTCGTATATTAGCGACACTATTGTATCATGTTGCAGCATGTGATGTGTCTGGTAGCGCGATTTATCAACACCAGCGAGGTCCATATCTGATTCATTGATTATTGCCATAATTATGAGATCATGAACAAGATATTGATGAACTCATCCATGTTGCAGATAAGAAAGACATGCGGGGCAAATTCTCATAGATCGAAGAGCTTTTCTCTACGATAATTCGAGCCAGCATGCTCTCTTTATTTCGTAGCCCCGACTGCTTGAATGATGGATCACCATCCGGTTATACCTCCTTTCGCAAGCGGGTGTCAATATACATTGTGGTCTTCTAACCAACTACAAACAAACTGCTTGGCCACACTACATGACTGAGCGCATGGAGATGCAGATGCAGGTTTAAGGGAGGCGAGATACAGCTTTCTCAGGTAATTATCAAGCGACGGATGAATAAAAGTTACGGACGTCGTTGTTTAGACGCATATATAGAAAGATATCAAGGAACTGACTATAACTATCTGAGAAAGGATCCAATATGCACCTCATTATATACTCGAGTACAAATTCTCAAAGTCTGAGAAGAGCAGTTTGTACCAGCTTTTTCTTCCGGTGACTCTCCACACGAGACGCAAACTGCAGAAACTGAATAGCGTGATATCACAAACTGCAATAAATCCACATAGTATCACACACAAGCGCAGTTTATATCTTGTAATTCCTCATTACCTATGACAAATTTCAGATTTTGCTGTGTGCGAATATTACGAGCCCCTTTCAATTCTCGCTAAAGAACTAGACTCTAGACTCTAGACAGTTCTACTCCGAAAACGTAAACCCAAGCTAATCCCGAAGCATTCGTTTAATAACATGCGCATCAGAAAATGTTATGATTGATGAGTAAATCACAAAAATTGAAGCTCTCGTCCTATTGTAATAAATTTGTGGTCTGTACCCTCGCTAGTGTTGGCGCTAGCACTAGCTTATACACTACCCTGTTTATCTATACAACTTTATTATAGATTATTCTGTACATAACAATAAAGGGTTCCACTTCCATCAAAATTAAATAATGGACAAGCATGCAACGGATACCTCAAATTATACTTCTGCCCGAACTTTATTGCGCTTGTAACTTCATTATTTGCACTCCTCATCTATGTTTCTTTGTCTCCCAGTATTCAAGAATGTCTGGATCTTTGCTGCTATATCAGCCATTCTAAGATATTATTTGATCCGATGTAGCCCAATTTTTCTGACAATTTCCCCTATTGCAAACGTGAGATACTTATGACTCATTAGCAAGTTCTTGCTTGGCTAGCAGACGTGTCTTCGTCGGCATTGTGAAGTTTTTGATGGGATGAGACTATTCTCAATCGAAACGGATAGGTGGAGCAAAATTAGATGACCACCTAACGTAATCTAATTATCGCATAGGTTGTTGAAAAGAAACAATTTTTAGGCATGATACACATGCACTATCATATGTAACTATTGAGGAGATTAGGAAGGAAAAGCATTGTGGGCCACCGATAAATTATTCTACTCATTATATATACATCGAATCGAACCTGAAGAAAATATTTACATATAAATCATCCCTTTCCGTTCATAAAACATTAACATTCGGCTTCCCATCACTCTGTTCCGTTGGTCCTTCTATCCCCGGCACATGACAGGGATTGCTGGGATCGTACGCGATACTCATTACATTTGCTCGAAGCCGATTGACAGCTTTCTCGTCCTCCACAATAAGAGATTGGCGTGATTCGCTTCTCTTTTCTTCTTGAGTTTTGGCGCGGCCAGCCATAGATGATCTGCGCCATACCCATAGCAAAGATGTGAGTATTAAAACGGCGACTATGACTCCAATGGTAGCCCCGGCTATCACGCCAGTGCTTGCGGCATGGCTTACATTATCACCTGAAGATGAAGATGAGACCATATCAGATGAGTTGGATGTGGTACCACTGGAAGTATTGGTAGTACTGGAAGTATTGGTGGTTGTGGCCAGTAAGGTTTGTTTAAAGAGCGAGGCGACATCTGCATTCGCAAAATCATTCGAGGGGCGTGTAACGTGTGCAAACCCACTAGAACTGTTCATTAATCAGTATATTAATCTTAAAGCTTCGAGGAACACATACTTTCCACCAATAACATTGGTTATATTACCAGGGACGATATAGCTGTTAGCGTCATGATGGAAAGTTGACGACCATGACAGCGCATACAAGTCGTAAATAGCCAGCCCTGAGCTTTCCCAATCACAATACGATGAGAACTTCTTTTGAGCTCCACCGACTGTTAGCATCTGTCGATCCCCAACTAGATGGCAGGTGTGTCCAAAGCGTGGGCTGCCTGGTGCAGCCTCATAGACCTTTATCCATTTAAATGAAGGTAACGAGAGCACATAGACATCGTCGTAGGATACAGAATTCCCGTCCTGTCCACCATAAAGGTATATATTGTAACTCGAGTTGTCGGGGGCAATGGCGACGACAGTACAAGAATCCATTCTTTTCGGGGGTAAATCTCCGGATGCCTGTTGAGTGTACCAAGCGCCATTTCCTTCATTATACACACTGTTGATATCAAAAACGTTGATTTGATCCATTGGAGCCTATTGAAAACTAGTTAGACATGATATTAATGCTACCAAGAACTTATTGTAACTTACCAGAGTGCCGAGTTCATCTGATAGATTACCAGCCGGGCGATACATGCCACCAAATTGTACTAGTATTCCTTTGTTTTTCTCTCCTATTGCGGGAATATACTGTAAAATACTCGCCGTTCTTGAATTTGTATCAATGGCAGCAGTAGATATATTCCTCGTTGTGTTGTCGGTCATATTTAGCATAACCATACCCTCTAGAGGCACGGAGCTTCCACCAGGAATCAAGGTCGTTTCTGTGCTTGACCCATTGTTGATCTCGCCATTAAAGTAAAACCCAAGGCCCTGATCCGGGACATCAGCGCTTGACCCGGAGCTGGGCTTTTCGGGTATCGTAGAGTCTATATTGATCGAAGCCCACTGATTCTGCGTTATATCGTACGACAAAAGGGTTTTATTTGGTGATATAGGGTCGGCATAGCCATAAAAGCTCGTATTCATACTTTGCTCAGTTCCGCCATATAGATATATCTGGGTTCCACCGAGAGATCCAGAGAAGAGAGCACCGTTGAGTACTACGGAGGAGAAGCCGTTTGATGATTCTGAATCCGAGAGAAGGACCTGTTCCGATACCAGTGGCAGGCTTGCTGAAGCTGTTGTCCAGTCCCAAGACTCATCCATTCCAACACGTATCATATAATTGTCTGTAACAAACATATCAGCTAGACCTTCGATTTTGAAACAACCAACTTACTTGTACCCATAGTGATATTCCCAGTTTTGGCACCATGTTTGTTGGATTCAATAAACGTTTCGTAACCACCATAAATATACAGGATCTCGTTCTTCAAAATCGATGAATGATACCATCTCTGGCACATATTGTTGACGGGATCTAGCCCTGATGGAATGTCATTCTGCGCACGACGCAACATCTCGAGAGCCTTCATCCCACTCCTCCTTTGCATGTTCTCATTCTTGTATGATTCGACAGTTCGTTCCAAGTTTCGCCCGGTCTCTAACTTTTCCTGTATGCTCATCGGCTCTATAAGATCCTCAAGGCACGGTTTTTCGAGTCACTAGCGAAATAAGTATATGAATGTCCAAACTGAAATCCTCGAGACTAACGGGCGCATGGACAAGTAAAAGTTGAATAACACAGACGAGAAAGAATCTGTGTCATAAGGCTGGATGTTGAGGAAATCTCACACAGGAACCATGTTCAGGGAATAGATGTTCTATAATATTAAATGAGATTGCTGTAAGTCACATGGTTGCTAGATGAATTCCTGAGATGGATCGGCACGAGAGGGTATAGCAAAGGAGGCTACCAAATACCATCTGCTCGGCCAATGAAGTCAGATAGAGCTCACAAGCATTAATAACTCACAAGCATTGATAACTCACAAGCATTGATATTAGGGTCAGGCACATATACTGTGCAGGCATGATAAAGGATTCGGCGGTTGCATTTGGTGGATAGAAGGATTGCGGCTATCTCATCATTCTTAGAATAAGTACCAGGGAGTTGTGGTTACAAAAGTGGAACTGGATTATATTTATACATCAGCCCCCAAATTAAGTGTAACATAAGCGGGTCGCAAAATACGGGAGGCTAAACTATCTATAAGCGCATTAGATGAAAACCACGTGTAGCCCCTGCAAGTGCACGGCCGAATAGAACCAACATAATAATATCAGCCTCAAATGAGATCACGACAGCTCTATCGTTCTATCGCTTATCAAAGTTTCTACATCTAGACGTCTAGTCAATATATTTGGGTTTCTTTTTCCATTTACATCGGTCCCAAAAGGTCAACCCTTTGACAGGTAGACCATTATTGTTGGGCTTCGGTAAATATGCCTCAATCTCCTCTCTCGTCTGATCATCAATGTTGCTTGCGAATCGCTCATCCGCACCTATTGGTTGGTAGCCAAGATCTAACGCTACGAGATATTTGACTATTTCAACTTTCCCGAAGTAGATAGCCCAATCTAGAACTCGTCTTTGTGCAGACTGTGTGTCAATACTGGTGCTACCATATTCTGCCAGTGTCATAATTGTGTGCACATTTCCTACCCTCGCAGCATACATCAAGGAATTGTTACCATTGGCATCTCTCATGCCTTCATCGGCACCCTGTTCGAGCAAGCATTTGACTCCTCGGTCATAACCCTTTAGACATGCTATCATCAAAGCTGTATGTTTCGAATTCCCAGCTCCAATATTGATATCGGCGCCAGCCTGAATAAGTAGTTCCATCACATGTGTGTTATGAGCGATTCCTTTATCGAAATAAGCTGCCGCTATTAATGGTGTTTCTCCATATTTCCTATCTTTTATATCCCAATTGCAAGAATCAACAACTGCGCCATACTGCAGTAATAGCTTCACAGAAAACACACAGTTTTGGCGCGAGGCGATGTAAAGAGGGGTCAGTCCATGCGCATTCTGAACCTCCGTCGCTGCACCACGGCTCAATAAGAACTGAACGATATGAGAGTTTGGGGGTATCTGGACAGCTCCATGTAACGGGGTACATCCCAAATCACCCGAAACTAAATTGATGTCTGCGTTATTCTCAACCAGCAACTTGACCACATCGAGTGATGCTTCATACTGACCGGCGGCTGCAAACAAAGGTGTACACCCCGCTTCATCGCATTCGTCCGGTTTGGCGCCATATGCTAGCAAACACTTCACAGCAGCCTTGGAGCCCCATTTAGCTGCAAGTACCAGAGCAGTGTCGCCATTTTGAGCCAAACGGTCGAGACGAAAGTCTCCAGATTTGACAAGTGACTCAACTCTCTTCAAGTCTTGGTGTCGTATCGCATATATTAGTTCCTCATGCCCCATGGGGGTTGTCCGTATTGATTTCATGATTGCTCCTTGAACTTGTGGGTATGCAGTACCCTGGCTTGTAGCAGGAAATTTCGCCAGTCGAGAGTGATCCGTAATACAAGGAACTTCCACCTCCCTTGAACCAACGCCGAGTATTGCTGAGTCTATACGCATGTTAGCGTTGTCGAAGCTTGCGGGTTAAGATCTTAGGGTTATTGTAAAATGCTTTGAAATGCACTTACCGGGAGGTACCATCATCTTTTCCAATCCTTGTCTTGCCCATGTGCCATCGGCCATCTAATGCGCAGGTGAGTCATTGTTATCTTAGTCAGAGGGTGTTACTAACCTCAACCAAAGTTTTGGTTCGAATGGTCTCATAGACTGACAGTATCGAGATATCTGGTGCCGTGGATAAGAAGTGACAAAAGTCGGAGTTCAATTCGTTGAGCTCATGGGACCGGAAAGATATTTGTCGAATCAATGGGGCTGTCGCATCGTGCTTGACGAGTTCAAGAAGGGCCTCCGTGTCCAATCCACGATGAGGTGTTCCCATGAATATCATTAAAGGGATTAACGGCATGATCTTCCATCGCCCTAACATGGCCTGGTAGATCCGTGAGCAGTAGTACTGTACGTCCCAGATGATTGCATACTTTTTTGATCACTAATCCTCCTAAGCTATGTCCGATAAACACGAGGGGCCGATCCTGCCAAGGTCAATAGCTATCTTGAAAAATGCTGGTGACCACCTTACCGATGCATGTCTGCGGATCTCCTCCACATCGCTACGAAAACGAGAACTAAACACTGAAATAACAGCCTCTGAATGACTACCTTTCAAGTGAGAGTCAAACCCGTAACTCATGATCCTTGCACTAGGAAAGTCGATCGCTAATTTATCTCGCAGCCACATATGCGTTGGCTCCGAAGCCCATGACCCAAATGCATTCCCCGCAAGTCCCGTGACAGCGATGATGCTATCAGTATCTGTTAGCAAGTTTAACTATGAAAGTGGAGAAGCTTACTCAAGAGCTACTGGTTCTTTCGGCTCATTCAAAGGTGTGAACCCATAAAACGTTTGGTCAACGACAACTCTATCTCCCCCATGGCCTTTCAGAGTCGGGAATGGAACCGATGGATTCCAACCCGGCGGTGGTATAAAGTCTACTGTAGCCACTCTCAATTCGTTCGGCATACCATCAATAAGTGGCGCTACTGATCGAGCAACCAGTTGCATATTTGCTTCCGGGTCAAATTGCAGATAATTATGGACATTTTCGAGAGTTGTATCGTGGGGTAGTCCCTCCACACGGTAACCTGTTCGACCCATCGTTGATTCGAGTTCTTCGAAAATTGGCACACAAAAGACTGCTTGGGTGACAATGAGCGATGTTGTCGATTTTTAGTTGAACCAAAGTGTTTCGAATTACGAATTTACAATAAATGGAGATTATTTCGGATTGGGGTTAGGCCCCCCTGTAGGTGAGACGCTAAGAACGAAAAGTACTACTATCGTATTCCTTCAATGTCAGCACCTCCACATCACATATAAGACACGCCAAAATTCGAAAATTATCTTGTTCCGACCTAAATTGTCATAATCACCCAAGTCTTCCCACGTGTTGTTTGGCAAGGATGTGGCTGATAAGGTATCACAGAGAGGAATCGCGAAATTTCCGCAGATTCCATATCGGCGCCAACTATTACGAAGGAATAAATCTGCGGTTGATTTGCCTCCCCTTCTCAAGATGAAACACGACTCGCTATATTACTTGAACCTGCCAGTCCGAGTTGAGCATACCCCAATTAGACTATTACCAACTCTACTTTGTGATATTTCCTCACTTGGATCTTGTTGCCACATTGTCTCACAGATGATAGTTCCATCATCTACTTACAGATTATTGTCACAACCCCTACCCGTCCTAGACTCCCATTGCCGGTGTATAGTCCGGCATCAGCCGTTATTACCATTACCACATTCTCTCTTCATAGTTCACGGCAAAAAGTATACCGTAGGGCTGTAGACATTAGGGTATTTCCGCCTGTGCAAGCGCAGATGATCTCATATAACGAGGTACTACTCAAACTTATAAATAAGGAATTACTTCGCTTACATACCATACCTATGGCTGTCCTCGAGTAGTTAGATGGAATCATGACATTCGTAAATATTAATGTCTAAATTCTGACTTCCTTTTTTGAACAAATGATACACTCATACTCATATAAGCACTATCATACAATACTCTCTTCAATTACACATTTTACATTCCATAATCCGCAGTTCCAGCAATAATAACAATATAATCTCATAGTACTCTTCACATACTAACTATCTTTGATCATTTTTCAAACCCCCCTCCACATCATCCACATCATCAGATCGTCCAGATCATTACTCGAGTACTTCTGTCTAAAGTAAACATAAACTCCAAGAAACACCCCCCCTAGTTGTAAGTACCTACCGGTACTCAATAAATCGGAGTTCGCGATATGAGATGTGACATAGATACATAGCCCCCATGCTTGATCCTAGACTTTTATTAGTTGGGGGCCATTATGTGGAACCCCTGTTTACGGTACAGTAAGCCGGAAGTACCGAGAATGGGATGGGAAATACGAAGAGGATCTTAGGCCAGGAATGGGATGAAATGGGATGAGATGAGATGGGATGGGCGCTTATTTTTTGAGGTTTAGGTTTGTGATTGGTGTGCAGTAGTACTCGTATAGTATGTGTTGTGTTCGGTTTCGATATAATTCTTGTAAATCATTTTCGAATTAGAGTAGAATAATGTATCTTTTAACGGATCTTTTAATACACGATACAAATTATCTTTAATGCTTCAATTCAAGATGATATAATTCTAAATCTGATCAAACCGTTCCGTATACGCTTTTATCAGTATTCAATCCGGGTACACTACAATGGGAATAAAGAACTAATCGCTATTTAAAGTCAAGGTTGATCGTAGGATATACAGTATACACAATATATATTGAGCTAAAGTACTACGAGTAGTAGCTGAGCACATGCATTTGATTTGATTGGATTAGATTAGATTGAAAAGAATAGCAAGTGAAATAAATGGTTTTGGGAAAGAAAGCGAAAATCTATTTTCCAAGTCCGTAATGCCTACTATAACTCCATTATCGTGATCAAGCAATGTTAATTCGATAGAAAAAAGAAAGAAAGAAAGAAAGGAAGGAAATTCATCTAAACAGTCATGACCCAAAACCTCACTTCGAATACCATCATTTGCTCCCCTGAACTCGAACCTTATTATCTCCACCCCCAAGAATGCCCTATAGATTTTTGAAGAAGCAAGAAGAAAAAGATCAAAAAGTCAAAAGAAAAGCCCCCCCTCTGTACCCCCCTCTCTAACACAATCCCCCCGTTCTCCCCAAAGCCCCCAAGCTCCACTTCACATGCGCATGCTCCACCCCAAAAATCTGCACCTGCCCCTCATACGCCCTACCATGCCACCTCCCCGCCTCCAGCAACTCTCCTCTCCCCTCAAAACACAGTCCCAACGAATTCATCGCCCACAACGTATCCGCATGCATATCCCCATTAACCTGCATTCTCTGCTGTAGCACCAATTTCCTGACTTCAAACGCCTCGTCTATTCTCCCTAATTGGTTGAGACAGCGTGCTGTATCGGAAAGCGTCCAGATAGCATGTGGATGTAGGGGCCCTAGCGTGGAGACCATGGAATTGTAGGCGCAGGTGTGGAGGGCGAGGGCTTCGAGGGGGAGAGGTGGAGAGCGGGAGGGAGAGCGGTAGCAGCGTGCGAGGGCGTTTTGGGTCCAGGTTATGTGGTGGTCGGTGGGGGGGAAGAGAGGGTCTAGGGTACGGAGGGCGCGCAGATGTAGGGATTCTGCTTCGGGGTGTTTTTGGAGGTGTCGGCAGACGCGTCCGAGTTCATTAATGGTTATTATTATGTCGAGGTGGTTGTGGGGGAGGAAACTAGGGGTATCGGTTAGTGTTTTGATTAAGGTAGGAGAAGAGATGAAGTGAGATGTACCGATGTTGTACAGCTAGTGCTTGACGTTGTACAGCTTCCGCAAGTCGAAAGCGACCTTGCTGGTCGTAAAGAATTCCAAGACTATTTAGTAGCCATGTCTTTGACGCTTTTCCTGAATTGGTACCTCCAGTCTTTGTGATCTCTTCCTCAAAAACACGTACTCCCATATCTATTTGGCCACTCATAGTATATAACCTAGCAAGATCTCGAATAATCATTGATCTTTCGAAATTAGAGATAATATTGATATTCCCCGGTCCTCCTCGACGTTGTGATTGTATAAAGTCGTCTAGACGAAACAAAGCTTTTTGAATATCCATCAAGTCTTCGGCGGTTTGTTTTCCAGGGGGACCGGATTGATTTGTCCAGGTCTGAACAAGTCTTTGGAGTTTGGCTATTCGATGCATGGGAAATGGTAGATCCTCTGATAATAATGATCTTGTGATCCAAGCCGATCGTCGAGTTTCCGATGCAACAAATTTCTCATATTGGCGATGCAGCTTAACATCGTAGACAGATAATGAGAGATGGTAGCACCAATTTTCCGTGGCATATTTTGCTAAAGGATACTGCTGCGAGTTCAAGATTATCGATTCGGCGATTCCCGATTTACTTAGGTATGTTAACGTCGCTTGGGCGAGTCCAAGGTGTGAGTATTTCTCCTCGAGAAGAAAGCCGGCTGCTTGAGATGACAACAAAACAAAGTTGGAGTGATCGTGAAGATATTCGTAGACTGATAAATGGCCAAGATGGAATGTGTCTGATTCAGGTCTATACTCGACCAAGGGACAACACACTTCTAGTACCGAGTCCTTAGAAGGTGCAGCATTTCCGTCAAAGATCATTCTTTCTTCGTCCCACGATAATGCGCATTGCAACTCAAGCCAGTTGAGTGGTCTGGAAGCTCTACACACCCAACTGAATGTTCGTCGTGCCAAAGATTGACCTGTAAATGAATTGGATGCTAAACGTTCCAGAATTTGTCCGTATACATTGTAAAGTCCTGTTGGAAGCCTGTCCAATGAAGCTAGCATATCCTGGGTACTAAATGTTGCTTGCAGTGTTTCCATACCAAGTCGTGCGAACAAGAACATACCCGCTGCTTTTTGGGATAGTATATTATAGACATACTGTTTCAAATGAGATTCCGTACAAGGAAGGGTCTCGATGGCCTCTCTTAGATACCGATCGATGTCTGACTGAACAGCAGTCGTGTTGATGTGGATCGATGGCAGCATTCCCAATTCTTTGCGTACGGGCAGGATATCCCGCGAAAAGAATAATAGACGTATAGAATTGCTATCTCGGGAAATGCCATTGAGTAACCGCAAGATACCCAACATATCTTCGGATTCACATTCGTCGATGCCATCTATGATGATATTCAGCGCTGGTAATTCACGAAGGACTTCTGCAAGCAGTTCCGGAATCCTGTCGGCGACGGAGATGCGACATCTTCCATATCGTTCGGCGAAGAAATATGCAGATATTAGTGCCTGTGGAATATTGGTCGTCTGTGCTATGATTTGACCCAAAAGACTGATATATATGCTTTCCTGGGATTGTTTCAATTTGTCTGTTGAGCTACAGTGAAAGAATACTGTGGGGGTGGATGCGTAATAGTCTTGTAAATACTGAATAATTGTGGCACTGAGAATCGTCTTCCCGCACCCAGGGGAACCATAGCACCACAGTACCGGGTCTGACACCCCATTCAGCCAGTTTTGAAGGCTTGCTTCAGTTAGGAGCCATTGGCCTGTATTTGCCGATCGTTTAGCGCAGGCCTGATACAAACTCTCATAGTATTCGCCTGGGGACAACCAAGTCATTACCTGTGTCCTAATATCTGCATCTAGATTATTCATCAGCGTTAGCTTCGGCAGTTGCGCTGAATCATCATGTGGGATCTACGGACCCTTGTTCTCTGGAGAGAAAGACATTTCTACGGCGCCATTTTCTCTCGCCTCGGGTTGCATTACAGCATAAAATTCTGCATACTGTTTATATGCAATCCTAGCTTCCTGGGATAATATTGTGGTGGCCTGTGCAAGCCGTCGAACGTGATTAGAAAACTCCGCATCGAGAGTTTTCAATACTGTGCGGACAAGCTTGAATGCTTATACTGGTCAGATACATATCTTCGGGTAATTAAAATGGGAGTAAGAGACCTACTGTCTTTGGAAAAAGCCGCGCGAACACTTCTCAGGAAAACAAGGATTTCGAAATACACGTCCGTAAGAGCATTGGATACCCGCGGCTCGCTCCCAAATATGACTTCGTAATGGATAGAAATATCTACGATATTGGTGATTTTCAAGATGATCCTCGAAACCAATTGATAATGACGAACTGAGGTACGTCCAATCTGGTCTTGATTTAGCGCAGATATTCAATTAACCTAATTATATGCTTACCTCCAGCAAGGCTTTCGTTGCACTCCATACTAGAGCAGATGAAGTTGGATGACATTGAATCACCATATCTACGGCAGGTCCGCAAATGGTCAGGAAGTCTATTAGAGGAGAGATTTTGCGACTGAAGCACTGGGAATTATCATTAGATGGATGATAATTTTCAAGCAGTTCGACTTCTTCCATGAGATCTTCGACATTAGCCCCCATGCAACAATTTCCGGTTGATTGTAGCTTATCGACATATCTTTGTAACAGTGTGTTGGTGTTGACCGGCAAAAGCTTTGGCTCATCCTCAAGATACATTTCCACTCTTTCCTCGTGCATTGTCGAGTATTTCAAAAATGAAGATACTAGAGAAGAAAAAGACAACGTCGTAGTATGATAATATAGCGAACAAGATTATGTATCACACCTTACAAACCCAAACGTGATCACGCCCATGTGCGTAACACGCCGACTTTTACAGATGCGTTTCAAGGCTGTGTTTGTAATTAATAGCCAGAAATGTCGATCTCAGATTATCTCTTGTCTGGCATTGCCGAGTTAGGGTAAGGTGATATCAATGAGGGGCAATGACTGGAAAGAGTGGGTATACTCGAGTATTAGCAAGCGTATCGCTATATGCTGACTGCAGAGTGTATAGATCAATTTCAAGATAAAGTGTCTTCTTGAAACATTTCTTGAAATTACCTTCGGTTCGGGCGTATTACAAAACAAAAAAAGAATTCCCACTAGATAATAATAAATCATCGAATTGGAAGGATTGAGGAGAATTGCGAAATGATCCTGAAGATCCACATCCGGAGTTGGGGTCCAAAGTGCTACTGTACCATGCCCATATGCCAGCATCTCCCGTAAGCTTAAAAATGAACACGATAAGTACAAACATTTGATCCTCCTTTCAGCTGAAGGATAATTCTCTGATGACAACTGGGATGATTATGCTTTCCTTACCGCTGGATCTAATTCCAAAGAGACATATCGAAATTATTGTCTAAAGATTTGATCTCATCTTTAGTATACACTTGTATAATCAAGTTAATTATTATGAATCACTCAATCAATTCAGATACCAACTTTTTCGATGCAAGGGAGTCATGAATGGAAATCTCATTAAGTGTTATGCGCCTGAATATCTAACAACGCCCATCCGCATACCTACTGACCATATGTGCTCATCCTGTCACAAAATATTTTCAACCCAATAGATCATCTAATCCATTTCCTAGCTTCTGTTGTGAAGTGTGTGAAGGGGCTGATCCTGTTGATGAGGCTCCCCAAATACCTGCGCTTGCTTTCTCCTTGGCCAATTGCCCCAGAGCCGGGCCTGAAGTTGTGGGAGTGCTAGTCTTTTTGACACCAGCACTGGCAGTAGACCACAAGGATCCAAAAGCATCTCCTCCAGATGATTTAGCAGCTACAGGTGACTTGGCGGAGGATGTTGCCGAAATTGTGTTTGGTTGTTTGCTGGGAGCTTGAACTGACGTAAAATAATTTGGTTGTGCACTTTGATAACTCGTCTGAACTGGGCGTGGTTGTTGAGCCATTGCAGGGGGAGAAAATGCAGAATAGTTGGCTGGGGTGTTATTGGTGCTTGTTGCTGGTGAAATCGATGAAAATCCGACTAGATCGCTCAAGTTTGCTGCCTTTGGTGCCGAGACTGGTTGAGGGGCAGCATATTGTGTATTAAAGGTCGTAGTAGCGGTAGGTTGTGATGTGAGAGAGAACGCTGCTGGGGCAGCTGGTTGTACGGGAGTCGCAGATTGGAAATCATCGAAGTCATCATCATCGGCCAGAGAATTTGATGCCGCTGGCGCAATTGCCGGTGTAGATACGGGTATTGGGTCGTCGAAAGAGAACAAGTCAACTTCAGGCTCCTTCTTCTTTGGGGGTTCGACTTTTTTCGTTGATCGCTCGGTTCCAGCCCTTTTGCGATTGGAGGATGCTGAGGAGCTTTCGGCTTGTCTTCGTGATGATGAAGGAGCTGCTCCCTCGTCATATTCGTCATATTCCTCAAAATTGTCTCTGCGGCTACTGCTGCCACCAAGTTCCCCTGGAGTGCCAGAATCTTGAAAGTCGCTAGTCTGGCCTCCAAATCCACCACCATCTCCATACACACCTCCACTATATCCACCATAACCACCTTGTTCCTCACTCCCAAATCCTCCATATTTACTGGAACCTGACATTCCACCACCTAATCCTGCTCCACCTTCAACTCCAGTATATTTATTTCGGGTAGTTCGTGCTTTCTTCCGTTCCGCCCGAATCCGGTCGACATCGCTCAGAAGTTCCGCCAGCTCCTTGGCTCTGTTTCTAACATTAAGACCTTGGTCTTTACCATTCTGATCGATAAAATGAAATTGGCGTAGCATCTTGAGGAGTGTTAGATGGGATCGTGCATCATCAATGACACGTTCCGAGCCATTCTTGATCAAGAATTCGAGTAGTTGTAATCCTTTGTATATTTGTCTCCATTCCTCGGCGGCTTTCTCTGTGAATCTCTTATAAATCATAGGCATGATCTCGTTGAGTAGTTGACTTGAGGGAAATTAGCATGCACATTGGCATCCGACCGGAATGACTTACTAATTATATGTGCCATTGGCAATTTCCTGCATCACTGTAACGATATATTAGAATTGGCGACCTAGACGATGGATATGAACGGATCCTCGCGACTGACATGAAGAACTAGCACCCCATGGCTCATTATTCGTAGCCTCTCTGACCTTGGCCTCCATCTCGGTATAGTTCATCACAGCTATATAGTTATCAGTAAACAATCAAATCGGCCAGCTGTCTACATTGAGCCCTTACCATTTTGTACCTTTCGCACACCGGCCTTCAAATCGTACAACGACAAATTGGACGCAGCCTCTTTCAAACTGGCAAGATCCATGGCGACAATTATTTGGTAGAAGAGATAGATGCTATGGATTTATGGACGCGGGGGGGGCGGGGGTTATTTGGATACTGTATGGGGATGCAGGTGTCCCATGTGTCCAAGACCGGCCGATCGCACGCTAAGTTACTGTTGGTTAAGCACTAACCTTAATCTGAGCACATAATCACGTGATTTGAGATTGAATAACTTAGGTATTGCCTCGGAGTTCTTGAGAGAAGTCTAAAAAAGGCCTTCGGGTTTGTAATGGTCAGTCGAGGTAACATATATTCAATGATTGCTTGGTATTCTTGAAATGTGTGTAATATCAATATCAATACAGAGCGTATGAATGGCTTTAGATTCATGCATGTGCGACTGATGCTGGAGCCATTGTGCCCTGATGGCAGAAGCAATTAAGCGGTGAAGAACCCCAAGTCGGGGGAAATCGCTACGAAGAAAAAAGATTAAGTTAAGATATCCCCAGAGTTTACTTTTTAATTCATTGCTTCTGAAAGATCACATACGACATTGTACAATCAATATACTGAACAGTATTCGCCAATCTTATCTTCCCCCCGATCATTTGTCCTTCCATCAACCATCATCTTACCGTATCTCCTCGGTACTCGTAAAAGCATCCTTCACCAAACCATATACAAAGGTATGTTGTTGAGAAATCCCGAACCTGCATGAGAAAGACCTGCAGGTTTAACTTTCCTTTCTTCGTGTTCCATTGCCAGCTCTTGGACGATTGGAGCATGGCTCATTGAGCTTCTAAAGCAACCTGCTTGCCACCTCTTGAATCTTGATGGTGTGCTGCGGTTTTTGCCCCCCTCCTCCACCCGAGACAGGAATACATGAAGGCGTTATCTCGTCTCAATCAAATGGGCGGCATCTCCTGATTGGGTTTCCCGTTTAGGTACATATCAAAGTGATCAAATCACTAGACCGAGCAAGTTGAGATCATCGCCCTCCAGCAGCTGGGCAAAACGCCGATGACTACTGTACGAATTTTGATGATGATATACTGTAGTACAGCTGAAAAGAAGCTATGAGAGGTTATCCTTCAGTCAAAGTTATGGTATTTTCCGGGACAGTTTATGTGTACCGTGCTATACTTTAAATGGGACTGAAAGTTAACCTCAATGATTATCCTTAACAGGTACTAGGTAATAGGTAGGTAAGCAGAAGAGATACAGAGATCTAGAGAGAAAACCATATCTGAGAGATGTTCGAGTTATTCTCTCCCTTGAAGAATACATAGGTACTCGATCTCGATATAATCTCTGTTACTTTTGTTTATCTATCTGTCTAATACCCACCTGTATATGCATCAGAATTGTCCATTGCCTATCAATCTATTCATCTACTCCTATCCCTACCCTCTTCTGAGCTCAACCCTGTATTATTACTTTGATTCCTTCCAACCTCCTTCCGATCGATTCCTTCTCTTTCCTTCTACTCAGTTTAACCAATACCTTTCCCCCAAATCCCGAAAAAAGCATCCCTGACAATCTGACTTGATTCACCTTGTTTTTTTTTCGGTCTTGTTGCACTGCTTATTATCAAAACCTCCTCACCCACCCATTCACTTCCCTTACACAGATTCTAACTCCGTACGCTCAACTCACTTCTTTGTACTTACCCCACCAGAAAACTAATCAGCCACTCAGGAAGCTACTACCCACTTCGCTAAAAATGCTATTCATGCCCCGCACTGCTTCTGCGTTGAAAAGCACTTCGCTGCCCCTCCTTCGCAACACCTTCATCAACAACTCCTTCAAATCCATCTCCTCAAGACAATTTCACGCTTCTAAATCAAACATGGCTATCACAACGTACGTTTTCATATCAAAGATCTATCAATTCAACTATTCTGAAGCTCACATATCAATAGTTACTTCGATGTTACCTGGGAAGGCCCAGTTCTTGATGCTTCCGGAAAGGCTACCAGCACCATCCAGGGTAAGTGATACAAATCTTCATCTCATCAATCCATTGCACATCAATTTATCAATCTCAATCAATTCCCATCAACATATAACAATGCGCGTTTATCAATGCGTCGATTGAGCTTTCTGTTGAGCTTCAAAAATACCCCTCTTGTTTATTTTGATTGTCGTCGACTCAGCCCCACCTTCCAACCCCTCCATTAGTTCCGAAGCTGACATATCTTACCTCGCAGAACAAGCCGGAAGAATCAAGTTCACCCTTTACGACGACGTAGTCCCAAAGACCGCCGAGAACTTCCGTGCTCTCTGCACTGGTGAGAAGGGTTTCGGATACGAGGGTTCTTCCTTCCACCGTATCATTCCTCAATTCATGCTCCAAGGAGGTGACTTCACCCGTGGCAACGTACGTTCCAAGAATCCATTCGATATACATTTTATATAAAGACTCGAAACTAAGAACATTATAGGGTACCGGTGGAAAGTCAATCTACGGTGAGAAGTTCGCCGATGAGAACTTCGACCGAAAGCACGTCCGCCCAGGTCTCCTCTCCATGGCCAACGCTGGACCAAACACGTAAGTTTATACACGTCCAATCCCACCCATAATAGTTCAATAAGCTAATGATAATATAGCAACGGCTCCCAATTCTTCATTACCACCGTTGTCACCAGCTGGCTCGATGGTAAGCACGTTGTCTTCGGTGAAGTCGACGATGATTCCTTGAACATTGTCAAGGCTCTCGAGGCTACCGGATCCGGCAGTGGAAAGGTTCAATACAACAAGAAGCCAACCATTGTCAAGTCTGGTGAGCTATAGATGCATTGGCTAGGGAGAGTCTCGGTGGAAGGTGGTCCTTGAAAACAAAATCGGTCGGCCGGTCTTCATTATGATTAGCTATTCGGTGGACAAGTGACGAAAAGTAATGCAATGGATTTTACTAAATTATGCTGTCTATTGAGTGTGATGTCTGCCTATGTGACTAGATGCGTGAAACTTTTATAGCTCCATCCTGTGGTATCTTCCTTTAACTCCATTGCCGGCCGTCGCTATGCTATGTAATAGAATCACATCCCGAGAATCCACCTTCGCCCTAAATATTCAGCCATGTCTGAAAATACTCGCACGTACTTGGTCCTACAGGTCCACCCTCCTCACAAAGATCAGCAACTGGACAGTGTCCGCACGGAACATCCGTCAAAGCACTAAACGGGCCACCTTCCTGATCCTCCCTGAAACTCTTCCTCACAGCCCTATAGCAAAACCCTTCTGGACCTGCAAGAACCTTCTCAATCTTATTATCAAAAATTAATATTTCCAGTAATTGCTGAATATCTTGAGCAGCCAATGTCGTAGCCGTAGCTCCTGAGCTATCGATGAACGATGTGAGTTCATTGAGGGTCGGATATCCTTGGTAGCCGGGTGGCATGGGTAATAGGGCATCGTGATGTCTTCTAGCCCCATCCAGAGCATCTGCTTCGGTCACATCTTCGATTTTGACTCGGGGTCCTAGACTCTGGTCTCGCAATGCTTTGGCCTCATCTCCAGACATCTTTTTCCCCATAACCTTCTTTGGCTTTCTCAAACTCGCCGAGCTAGATTTATAGAAAGATTTCCGGTGGATCTGATCAAATAAGATGTGCATAAGTTGGGTAATAAATTCTTCGTCTAGTTCACCGTCGGTATACCATGCTCCACCTGTTGCTCGATCGGAAGGCTGCAGGCTCGATTTAATGTACATTTTCCGATTATGATGCTCCACGGACTTCATTTCCGAGATCAGATGTTTGGTTTCGAGGTGCTTGATCGCGGCGCGAAAGACGGCCTCGTGGAGATTGGACTTCATCTTGATGGTTTTGGTCCACATTCCTTCATCGCCTGCTTCGTCGATGAGCGCGTAGACAATCTCATGTTCGGAGGAAAGGCTGCGGTATCTGTTGTTTGTGAATTCATTAGCATTGTACTTCATGGGTTAGTAACGCCGACTTGAGATTATCGCAACATCGAGCGCGGAAAGATTGATATGTGTCCTACTTTTTGGCTTCATCTTCACTACGCAATTTCCATCCAATTCCCCTCTGCGAATCCTGAACTACCTTGAACAGCTTGTCATTTGTAAGACCCTGAGTGACGGTCAACAGCATAGACACATCATCGCTGGGTAGTATTTGTAGCTCGATTAAATCATCCTGGAAAAACGTTGGGTTGTCTTCGAAGGATAGAAAACACTCATCATAGAGGAGTTTTTTCAAGGCTGTAGTTTTATCTTCGGGCGCGCCGGCGCTGGCAGGTGCTCGTGATGCCATGATAGGTTATGAATATGCGGATTGGAAGCTGTGGATTATGCTACCGGTGTTGACGTAACATTGAGCAATTCTTGGGATCAATGAGGTTGGCGTGTAGTGGTGGAAATGCCGAAGGGGTTGTTCTGAGTTGATAAATTATTATTTTAGGCGAGGGGCACGAGGCTATGGAAAAACGGCGCCTTGTTATCCGGCCAATGATAAGTCTAGATTATTAATAGTACTAAGCTGAGCGGGGTGGTCTGGGAGCTATTCAGCAACTTCAATCGTTAATATATCAGAATGTCAAAAGTAACATCAAGGAAGGAATGTTATGATTAGACCTCTCGTTTCACTCCTTTTTAAGAAGCCTCTATCTTCTACTATTTTATCCTTTCTCTTTACTTGCTATCACTATTTTCTTGGTCACAGAGCTATCCTGTCTGCTACCGAAAGTTCCTTCAAGTTGATTCTATTGAAATTGCTGTTATGTTGGGTTTGATGCTTCCTTTGACGATTCCCACAGTCTGGATTATTGCTTTTACTCAGTACCGGTGCACTTATATCGCTATTGTCACCATCATTAACTGACTTCCTCACAAAAACAGCGAGTTCCCATACTCTGCAAGGTGAATCGCGAAGATTAAGAAGCGTAAGCTATCATTACTAATTGCGAGCGATTTGAATGCCTTCGTCATGTGAATTCATTCGGTGTATCAGAGATAAAATTGCGTCTTCCGTTATGGTGTCTTTTAGACCAATTTTGGACATATGAATTAATTTTAAGTCTTAGGTCATGTCGAATTCAAAGAGCTGGATCGTGCCGAAAGAACTACCTGTCGCTGATATTACCCCATCAGGAATACGCTAAAGTCTGGTAATAGAACTTCCGGTATATGATGCTTGAGCTTGGTCGTTCTTGGGTCAATTACGACAAGTTTCCCATCGCTATAAGAGACAAGTAGTAGGTTGATGTTGGGAGTTAGGTAGAAAGCCATGGCCGCTGCGTGATTACACTTTCTATGGCCCCTTAATATCGAATATGTTTACCACACAAATATTCGTTATAGAAATCGAAAAGGGACACAGCACTTGCCTTAGAGCTGATTGCTATTATCTCTAGACTCGGTGCGATGGGGACCTCCGTTGGCGGCTTTCAAATTGTCTTCCACCCATCATGATTCATGGTGAGCTTCATGCCAGAACCTCCGACCTTTTTCCTTCTTTTTTGATATATCGAACCAAAAAACAAGATTCCCAAATATTACGACTATTGATCCATGGTTTTCAAGGGGTTTTAAGGGTGAACCGAAGGGCCATTGCGACAAATGAGCTTGAATGACCGTTCACCAAACCTATTCCGAGATTATAAATTTGGATCGAGCTTATTCAAGAAGCAAACAATTGTTACTGAGTTCCGCAGCCGAGAACTTCACTTCTCCCCATGGTCAATGTACGTTTTATTTGACTTGAATTAGTGCCATGCACCAATATTTGACCAGAAGTTATTCCAACAGCAAACGCATGTTCTTGATAGGAAAGTCTGATAGCTTTTAGACGCTGGTTTTCAAGATAGATTTGGGCCAAGCCGCCCAAGTTTCACTTGACAAACCGATCACAATCAAATTATGCTTCAGCGATGATTTTCTGTAGCATTGAATGATTGCGAAGAGCACATGGAAGGGATCTGGCTATGCTTCCAGAATAAAGTGTAAACCTCGTCAAGTAACTTTGCTTCAGGATGTTTTGAAAAGGTTGAATCTTCAAATCGTATCCCCGTTCACCTCTGCTCGGTCTGCTCTGTACCCGAAAGAGAGAAATCTGACATTTTTGGAGTCTAGGTCTCGGGATAACCATTCTTCAGGCCAGGGGTGGTAAACGATCTCTGACGACCATGTCTTCCAGATCCACCCCCAAGCCATGGACAAATATGATATCTATTGAAGCTTTTAATGGCGCATGAAGGGGATTCTGTCCTAAAAGACCCTTGAAATCGGTCGCCGGATCATAGGAGGCTTTACTACTATGGTGAAATGACACTCCTTTCAGTGCTCGGCCAATGTAGCCCAAGGCATGGCTACTAGAGAGAACTTATTGGTACTCGCAAAAGTGTCAAGAATACTTTTCGTATTGCTGGGGTTGGAGTCCGATATTAAGGTCACCAATTACGTGTTGATTTAAGACCATGCAAATTGCAGCCGGGTACACGTGAAGAAATATCGGCTGGTCTCATTCCAACTTAAGGTTCTCATAGGCCGGGTATTCAACAATGTACTGCAGTAATAGTCAAGTGCGGCTCAGTTACACAACTGCTGGCGTGAACAAGAGAAGCATCATCTCCATTTATTTGCAGTGAATGAGGACTCAGAGAGGAGGCTATACCTAACCAACCAAACACCTTGTGCATCGGATAAATGCTCCAGGAGGGCTTGCTCGACCGACGGTAGTATTGCTACATATCGATGTGACTTTCAAAAAAATCAGATACTGGCTATAAACTAGCATCTAGGAGGCTGTCTTCGCATCCTGGGAAAGCCTAAACATGACAATCTCATACGATGTAAAGAAATCGTAGTACGGATTCTGTGAATCATCCTCTAGATGTACGAGGGGTTTTTGAGGCTGTTTTATTTAGTTTCGGGTTTATCAAATTTTGACAAATAATGACTCTATTTCAGCGTCGTGACTTTCGTGTTTATAGTGAGAGCTGATACTGGCATACGGGTTTTCTTTGCCTCCCGCTATTATAGTGGCCTTGCGGGACAAATATATGAGATATCAATAAAAATCAATACCGAAATTCATTCTCAAATTCAAACTTTTGCTTGAAGCTTAATGCAAATGGCAGGTTTCAGTCCGGATTGAAAATCATCAACTGAATGAATAAAATAAGGTTAGATAGGGTTATAAGAAGTAAGTAATACTGAAAGCGCTAGGCTAAGGCTAAGGCTAAGGCTAAGGCTAAGGCTAAGGATCTGGATCAGGGGCAGCGGAGGCGAGGGGGGAACCGGGCATGAGAAGTCAAGCCCTTATTTTCCAACTCCTCTGAACTTTTGCCCTGTAAACCTTATTGTTGCATTATATGCCAAATTCTGTATCTGTCTTCAAATTCTATCACTCATATCAATATATCGCGAATTGTCTCAGAGCATTAAGCGTTACTATAGCAAACAATTTACTATTTGTCGTTTATTTCTTCACTCGAGTAATATATTAAGTTCGACAACTACATGCAACTAATACGATAAGACTCCATGGAGATACGGCATAGTGTTAGAGTAATTTGATATCATTGGAAAGTCAGGAAATGTTGAAATAGTGTTGGCGCATGTAGATTGACAGCTCAGTCACTGGTATATACAGTTACACATTGTACTATGTACTTTGTTGTATGCTCGTATTGCTTTTGCCTTTCTAATTTCACTGCTTCAGGTGATTGAGGAAAGACACTTTGGAGGAAGGAACAAGTATCAATCTCTTTGAGTCACATAATCATGTTGGTATTATTGGGATATGATAATCTCACTTAGTCGGAGTAGATGGTTCAATGAAATCAAGCTGTACGTCTGGGTCACCGGGCCTCGTTAGTGTGAGACAGGAGATCCAGTCTTACAAAATTAAGCTGTATATGTCGAGTACTAAATCCCATCAATATGGAGCGAGAAGGCCAATCGTACAAAACTAATCCGGACATTTCCATCATGAAGTTTCATTAGTATACAGACAAGCTGTTTGGTTGTAAAATTCGCACAATTGGATTATAAAGTCCCATCAGCATGTTATTAGTATGAGATGAGAAGTTTAATTATACAAAATCAATTTATAAATTTCGTTTGTAGATAATTATCATACGAGATTAGGGGTTCCATTGAGTAACTAACTCATCGAGGATAATTAGACGAGAGATTGGATTGACATTAAGTATAGACTATCAGCTAAAAACAGTTGGCAGAACTTTCCGATGTGGAGAGTATACCCCAGATATCCGGCCTAGGGGTTTCTGCTTGGGCCATACAATCCAGGTTTTTATAACACTAAAAGATGGAAATCAAGGGACAAAGATCAACATCTGAAGGTATTTCATTGAATCTCACCAAGATAATCTTTGGACATACGACATTTTGCGATCTAGATCGCGCTGCTGCTATTCATGGTGAATTCTAATCGATAGAGACTATTCATAAACTCACACCTAGGTTTATTGCGGGCCCAACCGCATAAATATCAAGGATAGATTGGTTATGTTATCACTTCTACTTAGACCGATATCTACCAATTCTCAATGTATTGTAGGATCCTGCTTTTTTCTGTAAGCAGATTGCCAGACTCGATAAAAACTGGTCTCTCCGAACAACAAGCAAGGATTCCAAATCTCCCACAGAATAATGACTATTTTGAAAGCTGGAATTCCCTTCTTCGCAGCTAGCTGTCGCCAGTCACATGTTGCCATTGGCGATAAATAGTTAGCGCGCAGAACCGAGCGAGGAACTCGAAGCACTACTCCCTGTTTTCTTTGAGAAAGTTATTCCAAGGTCACCTGCGCCACTGGAGGGAAGTTAAACCAAGCTTAGATCGTAAAGCTAGCAGTTTCCACATTCGCTTTCTAATCCGAGACCTGCTCCATTCTTACATTTTTGATTATTCATGATTCACATAGCATAGGCGGAGACATGTCACGGTGGTTTGGATATGCCAGTCTCAATATTCTCAACTGTGAGGAGGGGGTAATTTTCGCTCCTAGATGCCTATATATCCACATCATATGTACGTAGTCCTCATTGATGGCTTTGAAAGCTTGCCAGTGCCAATTAGCAACATGTCAGTGAGAGAGACGAGTTTGAATTGGCGATGTAATAAGTTTTCAAATGCGTATTTAAATGCCTACCATGTCTATTTTCCAAAAATCTCGCCTGAAGAAGACTAGTAATGATCATATTTTGTTATATCCGATGCATTGTGATCCGCATGCAGCAACTCTCTTTCCACTTGTAAGATTTCAGAGATTCGTAAGTTTCCTCTGGTGA